CGGGACCCGGAGGTCGGAGGTTTCGGGGACCCCGGGACCCGGAGGTCGGAGGTTTCGGGGACCCCGGGACCCGGAGGTCGGAGGTTTCGGGGACCGCGGGGAAAGGTCGCAGAGGTTTTGGTCGGGAGGTTTCGGGAGTTGGGGTTGGGGGTCGCGGGAGTTGTTGGTGGAGGTTTCTGGAGGTGTGCGTTAAAATTTTTTGTTCTATACTTATCATTATGACGTTTGTCATCATGTATTGATCTGCTACCCTACGCGACCTGATGAGAAGCCTACCCGTGTAACCTTAAGCCCAACTCCTAGATCTGCCTCGCGACATAAGAAAGCTTTACACGATTGCTTTTAACGAGCTACAACCACGATGATGCTAATATTCTCTAGGATACAAGGAAAAGGACCTCGTCGTTTGACTGATTTTATTACTTGTGACGGTTTTCTTGAGAAGCAGAAGCATCACGATCGCGACCCAGCGCACATAACTTATTACCTTTTCTTCATATCGTTTAACCATGTACTACAAACCGGTAAAATTACTTCGCAAGAAAAATCTACCGCCCAAAACGACCCCACCACCTATCCCCGCAGACATACCCGCGCCTCCTAGAGCTTCAAATGGATCGCAAGCGCAAGCCGTTTATTGGCTTTTTTGGGTGTAACTGCGGAGAGGACCACGACGGGGACCCTTTGGAGTGCCCCGAAATTGACTTCGGCGGCGAGTTTCGCTTTGACGCGGGGGGAGAGAAGTTCTGCTCCGCCGCGATTCCCGGCGGAGCCGACGAGTTTGGCTTTTCCGCCGATCCCGTGTTTCAGAATTTGGGCGCGGCGCGCCGGCGCCGCGAGCAAGAGTTTTTGGACAGGAAACAGCAGGAGGACGAAGCTGCGGTGGTGGCCGGACAGGCGGAAGTAGAGAAGAAGCAGCGGTCAACATCGGAGCAATCAAATTATAAATCTGCGCAGGACCACGGGAGCACATCTGCTCCAGTCGTGGCAGTTGAAAAAAATACTTCTAAGTCGGTAGCATCAAAAACAGTTCCTCCTGTCTCATTATCCGCTCTAGCGGGTGTACAACCTGCAGTCGATTCGGCTTCCAGCAATCCATTGTCGAAAATAAAGATGAGTGAGTCGGAAAATAATCATAGTTCCGCAACGGGGCCGGACACGGTCGCGCGTGACCATTTGAAGGCCACTGTGCTGCAAGAAGGTTCCACGCGAGCCGCCCAGCCCTCCAGTCCGGATTCCCCCGCAAGCACCTCGTCACTGCCCCCAAGCAACGGCGCGGAGCAGTGGCCGGAGGGGGCGGAGCTTTCCGCCTGGGCTGCCGACCTGCTTTCGGAGGAGGAGGCGGGGACTACTCCGCGGCCGGTGGTCAACATGTCCACCGCAGCAGGCACAAGCTCCGCCTCGTCTCCGCTGTTGAACAAGAAGCAAGGCGCCCTGTCGTCGTCGGCTGTCGCTGAGCTTTCGAATAAAGTCGCGTTAGTAAGGAGCACGACTCCCACGAGGACAAAAACATCTTCGCCGTCACGAGGACCTCCAGGGAGCAATAATAAGCCGCTTGCTGTGGCCACAACACCCCGACAGCAGGAGTATCAATCGTTGTCCGCGTCTTCTCCCACCTTCGGAACAAGTCGGGAAAACAGCGGAACTAACAGCTCGCCCTCAAAATCCAGCTCCGCGTCGGCTGCCTCGACCACCGGCGGCACGGCGACCACACAGCAAGTCGCGCAACGATCCTCCAGTATCAGTGGGAAGGTGTTTGTGCGCCGCAACAACTACTTCCACCAGGAGAACAACGTCTTCGTCAGTGAGTACCTGGAAAACTGCCGCGCCTACCAGATCAACATCGACCCGGGCGTCGTGTCATGCCTGCAGACCGACGGACAGGATTTGTACATCCACTGCGAGGGCCTGCTCGCGGTGGCCAGTATCTTGTGCAACCCGAAGAACCCGCCCGTGACGCGGCTCCACGTCATGGCGCGGTACGAAACGCGCGCGAACCAGTACGTGTGTCTGATTCTGGAGCAAATTTTGCACGCCAACCGGACGCTGGAAGTGCTCGACTTCGCGGACATAGGGATCAACTCGGACGGCATGGGCTACCTGACCAACGGGTTGACCTACCACCCGTCCGTTCGCCAGTTGCTCTTCTCCCGCAACGACCTGGGCCCCAAGGGGGCGAAGTGGGTCATCAAGGTGTGCGCGACAATACCGCACCTGGAAAAGGTGGACGTGCGGTTTTGCGAGATCGGGGCGACCTATAGCTATGTGTTGGGAAAGCTGAGCCAGAAACACCCCAAGCACCCAGAAATGCTCACCGAAGGCAACATCGACATAGAGGAGCTGTGGGGCGCTATCACACACGGGTATATTATAGTTCGTGGACGTGTTTTCTTGGCGTCCGCATCGGGAAATAAGAAAACATCGTGCACCATATTAAGCCTGTTTTTTTTTGTTGGGGGTATCTTGTCCTTGCGTCTATTCGAATACGAATTCCACCAAAAAGAGCGTGAAAATAAATTGAAATTAACCAAAACGCAGCCTGGGTCTTCTGTGGTCGATCGTGGCGGGGATCTACATGACGACCGCGGTCCGGAACAATCCGGGGCACCACGTGATGGCGTGCTTGATTTACTCGGTGTGTCACGTGCTGCTGTTCCTGTTTTCCACCCTGTACCACTCCCTGTTCATGCAGCCCCGCACCGCCCAGGTGTTTCAGATCCTGGACCACTGTGGTATTTTCCTGTTTATCGCGGCCAGCTACACCCCGATCGTGGAGATGTCGGACCTGAGCAAGTCGGCCGCCGTCACCATGCTCGTGTCGCAGTGGTGCCTCGCCCTGTTCGGCTCCGTCGCCTTCATCGTCGCCTTCTATTTTGAGGGCTTCAAGGCGTACTACGGGCTGATCGAGCCCTATCACAGGAAAAAACTGTTACAGTTACACATTTGTTGGAATTTCTGCATCACAAAGTTGCTCGACATGGCAAAGAAAACCTGTGATGCGCAGACTATAAGGGAAAACACGCAGGAAATGAGGCTGGTAAGCATTTTCTCCATGACAGAGATTGTCTGTCTTGCTTGTCTTCCATCAGAGTGTGTAAGTGTAACACTTTTTTCTCACGATACGCCCTTCATTTGTCTCGCCATGGGCTGGATGATCATGTGGCGTTACGAGGACGTGGTCATGCCGATGCCCGACGACGTGGCGACACTGTTGGTCGTTGGCGGGGTCCTTTACACCGTCGGGGTGGTTTTCCTCTTGACGGACAAATACTACCCGATTTTCCACGTCTTCTGGCACCTCTTCGTACTGGCGGCCTCGGTATAAAAATACTGAGTTTAGAATTAGAAAAGCTTTTGATTTTTTCCACACCCTGATGTTTGTTTGAAATTCAAACACACACGCTTTGAATGTAGGTGTATGTGGTTTGTTTTTGTTTACTCTTCGATGATTTTTGTGTGAAATTAAATTGAAAATCAGATATGCCACTGGTTTTCAATCCTCTCTTACGCGGAGTACGGAAGAAAGAAGTGGGAGGCCGAGCATCCCCCGGACGCATTTGGGGATCTAGAGTCCAGCATGCTGATCAAGTTCTACTCCGAACATTTCGACAAGCTGAAGGAATCCATAACGTTCCTCGTCGGCAGCGCGGCGGCCGGGCGGTCTTTGATCCATACCGCGAGCCATGTGCTGCACCTGGACAAAACGGAAACGCCGCAAGCTAAACTGCCTGGGATCGAGCAGAACGACAGAATATCAGACCTAGAATCGGAAGACGAAGGGCCGGGAGCGAGCAAGGTCGGGTCTCCAACTTCCTCCGATGACGAGGAGATAGATCATCGCTCCAAGAAGCCGCCTGCACAAGAAGACGATGAAATTTAGAATGGTTTGCTTACGATGTCGGTAGGTACTTGCGCATTGCGATTTCGCGTCCGCATGTTCGAGGGGTCGAACAGTGAAGAACAGATAGAGCTTAGATTCTGAGTTAGCCATGCACGCGCGCATCACTCAGTGACAATACTCTCGCAACTAGTCGGGTAGTGGGAATGCCGGCCCACCGTACCGCATTCCACAAGATGTTTTGTTCGCATGGTGTTTGGCTCTGCAGCTGATCCCGTTGTCAGAAGTGCCGCTCAAGCTGCAACAGCATCGCAGCATCAAGTACGAGCGATGCATTCGAGCTCGTGGTTATTCATTGACGCCACTCATTCTATTTAGTGAGGTCACGAACGTTCTAATGTGATGGTTTTTTTTTTCACGTGGACAGCAGAACGGCTGGCAATTTTGAAGTGGCCGGAAGTGTTTTTTGAAATTAAGGGGCCGAAATTTCGGCTTCGCCATCAACAAGCTCGACTCAATTATAACAATTACCGCTCTTGAGTTTGTTTCTCAAAGAAATTTTACTTCTCCAGCAGGAACTGATCCACAGATCCCATGTTTCGCTAAAGGTTCGTCCCGAAATCCAGAACGCATGATACGTACATAGTTAAGGCAGCGCCTTGGAAATAGAAGAAGTAGAATTTCTGTGCCGGTAACCTAGTGGCTTGAAAGACATCACTTTCTAGACGGTAAAGGTTTTACGTGACCACTTTGTACCCCGCTCGCAAGGTTTGCAAACCTCTAGTTTCAATCATGAGTACAATTTTGTGAAGTTTCTTTTTTCTGTCTTGCTCGCAGACGAGGAGGCCCCCACCCCAAAAAAATGGAGCCCGTGTTGACTGAGTCCGGCTCGCTCTCGAGGGGCAGTAACCCCTTGCTTTTTCTTGCGCAGACGCCAGGGTCGACCACCTCGGGAGCGGCAGAAGCTCAGAAGGTATTTGGGCAAATTAACGTCGCGTGCGCTCTCCTGTCTGCCTGCGTGGTTTTCTTGTACCGAATTGGTGTGAGAGTCGCTCCCAAAAGCCGGATGTCCCTACTGCTCTGCACCAAATGCGCCATCGGATGGGCGATCGGGGACCTCTTCCTGCACGGAGTCGGGATCCAAACAGAATGGCTGATCACCATCGGAAACTTGCTGTTCTTTTTCCTCGCCGGGGGGCCCGACTGCGTGGTGATAACCCTGTCCTACGCGTGGCTGTGTGGCAGCGTGGGCTTCCTCGCAATAACGAGCGACAAGAGCTATTTGTACTGCAACCCCGAGAAGCATCCGGGCTGGGAAATACACACCGCCGTTACCGTGCTGGGAATCCTTCTAACGCTGGTTTGCATCAGCATCAGGCCCGTCTTCGTGAATTGGGAGGTGGTCACGCTGCCGCCGCTTGCGGCAACCACCTTGCTTGCGTGCGTCACGCAGGCTCCGGTCTTCCTGTTTGCAGGTACTAAAAAGTGTGAGTTTTATGTATGAGGTCATGGTCAGGTAGACGTAGAGGTGAATTAATGTCGATAGAGCATGTTTGTTTCTTGCAGAAAAACAAAAATTCGTTCTGGGAATTTAACCATGCAAAACTCAAGGAGATCCCATACCCGGAGCCTTCGACGTGTCGTTTCCGGCGTCGATTCCAATCGTGTGGGCTAGCGTTTATGCCTGCGGAGTCCTTTTGCAGATCCTCTCCCAGACAGCGAGTTCCACCCGAAAGATTGATCTCAGCGACCCATCAGGTACATAAAAATTTTCGCTGGCAATTACTTGTAGATGCAGATGGATGCTCTTGTCCTTTTTTATGGTTGTGTGAAAATTTTTATCGTGTTTGTTTCGGTCCTACGTAGTACCATGCTGCATGCTCAAATATAATTTCACAGCGGGGCAGAACGACCTAATGCGACGACTGCTGGCAGATTCAGAAGTGACGCGGACGGACTTGTTTGAAAGCCGGTTTCCGATTGTGCAGGGAATGGGTGCCGGGAACCAGCCTGGAGACCCTTTCCGTGCCCACATCAATCAGCCTCCCGTGCCGAGCGGGTCGGGGGGCATTTTAGAGCGAGCGCAGCGAGAAAACAATGGTGTGCTGACAGAGAACGAGGAGAAAATTCTTGCGATTTGTAAAGAGGACGAGGAGCAGCGCAATCGGATACTTTTCGGCGGCGGACTCTGGTGAGGCTTGATCGATATTTTATTTGTATTCGCGGCATGATGTTTCTTTATTCACCTAAAAGCCCACTGCGACAACAGCGACTGATATTTCACATATTCATAGAGGAAAAGCGACAGATTATTCCTGAGAAAACATAGGAGCCGCGCTGACAGCACCATCGGCGTCACACACTTGGTCTTGCTTTTGTGCAGCGTCACAGCAAACCCAAACATTTTGTTTAATCGCGACTTGAAATGATGTCATAAGAAATTCGTTGTAAAACCTTTTTCAACAAAACGATAACAAAGAACCAAGAAAATGCCCCCTACTATCGGTTTCCGATGAAGTCATTCATCTTCGTTTATTTTCGATGTGGTGGATGTCTGTACTGCAAAATGGTTTGTGTCGGTTGCGTCTTCGAGAAGCACCAAACTCACTGAGTATCGGTTTCTGCTGCGACGCCAGCTTTTTTATCGCGTGCCGAAGGTTTTTGTCGTCGTATGCGACGACGACGCCAGCAATGAATCCATAGCTGCGACTGCGTATGAACGTTTCTATGTGCCGAGAACTGGTCTGAAGAGTTTTCTATCGTGATCTGCAGCGGCCCCACCTCACCCCTTTCTCCCCATTATTCTCGCATTTGTGGCGTGATTCTGTTTCTGCCCCATCGCTCATTATTCTATTACCACCCGCGCATATTAGCCATACTTTTTCTTTAGTGATTCCCTTTTTTGCGTCTCCTTTTCGTTCCCCTGGATCCGATCTGCGTGCAAGAATTCGAATCAGTATGTGTAAACTAAATTTTCATCCTCTCTGACATGATTGTGGATGCGCTTTCGTTTGTGTAAGACCATTTATTATCTGGAGGTCCTCATGATGTTGGTGAAAAGCCGTTCATTTGTGAAAGCGAAGATAGGTAGTTACCGAGTTCGGTTGAAAAGTAAATTTTGGTTTCCTCCTGAATAAGTAGAAGCATAGATACTCTACGATGGGTTCTACAGCTGTGATGCGGCCTGGAGAGCAGGTCGTTCCGCAGCCGGCGGTCGGGATCTTGAGCTCGATCAAGCAGAGCGCTCGGGAGTCCTATCGCCCGTCGGCACCGAGTTCGCGAGACACTTCTTCAAAGGACCGCGACGCAAGCGAAGCCCGGTTCACGGAGCGAGGCGCAGGAGCCGGCACATCCCTGTACGCGGTCACCGAAGTAGAGCCAAGGACCAGCGCAGTAGTAAGCAGGGTTCGCACCGTGGATAGTGCGGAGAGCGAGCACGGTAGTACCCCAACGAAGAGCCCAATCATGCCAAATCAGGAATCAGCAATGAGTCTCCTACCCGGGTCGCCCGTGAAGAAAGTAGACTCGTCCACGTCCCTCCGTATCTACGGCGGGGAAAACTCCCTGGCCGCGTTGCTGAAGAAGCAAGTGCTGACCAGCCTCGTGGCCTCGGTTTGCGCGGAGCTGGCGACCTATCCCCTCGAGACGGTGAAATTGATGCAGCAAGTCCGTGGCGGTTCTGCCATGCGGATCATCACGGGGCTTCTGAAGAGCGGGGGGCTGCGCGCGCTGTACCACGGAACGCAGGCCCGGTTGCTGCAAACGGTGCTGTCCAACGTGGGTTTCTTCCTGTGGCAGGCGATCTTGCAAGAGGACGATGCGACCTGGGTCAGGAAGCTTTTGCTCAATATGGGGGCGCAACAGATCACCCGTGTGTTTACCATGCCCCTGGAAGTGGTTGCGAACATAAATCAGTCGGACCCGAAGTCCGGGGGCGCGTTGCGCGTCATTAACCGGGTCTATCGCGAAGACGGCATTTGCGGCTTCTGGAAGGGGCTTGGCATCTCATTAGTGCTCAGCTTAAATCCGGCGTTGATGTTCACGTTGGTTGACAAGCTGACCGCACTTTTGAAGAAGTTCGCCAACGCAGAGTCGGTGTCGGCGGGGCAGATGTTTCAGGTATTGTTTTGATTATTCGGGTGCTAGCTTAGACTGCTTGCCTCGGCACTTTCAGACAGATTTAGTGCTCCGAACGACAGCATTGATGATTTCTACTTCTGCGTAATAGATACAACCAACTTACTTTTGCCGGAAAAAACAGATCTCGGCTGTTGCGAAAATGATCGCCACGCTTCTCACCTACCCCCTGATTCGGATGAAGACGGTGATGCAAACGAGCAAGAGTTCCGGCGACAGCGCGCCGATGATGTTTCTGAAGATGTACCAACAGGAGGGCCTCCGCGGCATGTACCAGGGTGTGTGGGTGTTGTCCTACAAAACCGTGCTCTTCAACGCGTTACTGATGGCGGTAAAAGAGCGCGTTTCCAAAGCGTATAACGAATATCTGAGAAAGCCGTTGCCGATGGGCATTATCCAGTCCGCGGATAGTACACTGCCCATGAAGCCGGCGGAACTGCCGTTCAACGTCGCGTCGCCCGACGCGAACCCGCAGGACGAAGGACAAGGCTCACAGGTTCCTTTGATAGAATCGATGCTCATAATTTTTGTGGTCACCTGCTGACGTGTAGAAGGAGTCGTCTGCGACGTTTCACGTTGTCTAAGTAATGAGATACACATAGATCTGATCAAACTCAAAGCTGTATGTACTAAATCCAAATTCAACACCGCAGGTTGAGGCTCTCCTCGCCGAGTATCCTTGGGAAGCGCGAGCCCATGGGAAGTCCGTTATCTACGTCGCGGGCGCTTGGGCGTTTCTTCACCCGAGTCATCAACATTTGCTGAATGAAGCCAAATCCCGCGGGCACCACATCTGCGTCGGCGTCCACGACGGGCGAACGCGCATCAACAATCACGCCAAAGCGCCGGAGGAGAAGTTTGAAACGCGGCTGGAGAGGATACGACAAGTTAAGGGGGTGCACTCTCTGGTGAAGCGAGCGCCGTGGGAGATCGACGAAGACTTCATCAACAGACTCGGAATTACAAAGGTATAGTGCGATAAAGAGATTTATTTCTTGCAACGCTGCTACGAGGAAGATAGATTGATTGGACAGCACCTTCGTGCAGTAATACGACCATAGTTTTGATTCACGCTGTAGAATTTATCTCTTCTTCTGGAATTTTTAGCTCTTCAAGAGAAACCTCCCAACTGTATCACTCAGGTCCTTGCGGGTCGTCGCTGTTCTTCCGACCGGCGCGATCCGTATTTTATCGCGGAACAAATGGGAATCTTCGAGTTCGTGGAGGACCCGTACGCGGGCATGTGGCGGCGCATGATCAAGGTGATGTTCTCCAACATTGATAGCAGCAACATCGGCGAGGTGCCGCTGATCTCCTCCCCGACAAACAAGCACGCCGCACCGAAAAAGGAAATGCCCCTGTTCCGCCGGGACAGTCGCGGGGACCTCCGAGTCTCGGGGGCGCACAAGGGCACCCTGCGACAGACCGGGTCTTGGTACTTTCTGTACCAGTTGGGCGAGGACGACCGCCCCGACCCGAGCACCCGGCGGGCCCGCCACCTGCGGCAGACGGAGCAGCGCCGGGATCGCAACTGGAGCAAGGACTGCTCCCCGGACCACCGCCGGTCGCGGGACATGCGGCTGCAGATCGAAACCGCGGACGGGCAGGACGCGAACTCGCTATTAGACGACAGTAACGAGGGTGGTTCCCGGTCCGGCTCCGCGGGCAGCAAGGGACCAGCCGCGTCGCAGGAGCAGGATGACGGCGAGAAGGACCTGACCCAGGAACTGGTGTTGCAACTGAGCAATCAGTTTGTCGAGGGCGAGAAAGAGGAGGACTTCTTGCAAGGTGAACTGCACGGCGGCAATATCCTGTGTAAAAACGTCCCCACCCCAGAGTTGTCATGCAAATCTGCATGCTCGAAATGTTTGTCATGCGGAGCCCTATGAGAAGCATTTTCCAGCCGTGTTTTGGAATTTATAATGCGCCAATCAGCATGATATACTAGATCTGCGATGCTGCTGAACTACCTCAAACAGCACGACACTGCGAGTCCAAATTTGTCATGCAAAACAGCCAAAACTTGTGGACTTGTCTAGCCGATTCCCCGTCTTGACTATGGGGTGGGGACGTTTTTACATAGGATACGCAACCGACCGCGCGGGTTGTCGAACACCATATCCATGCCCAACTGCGCCATATCCCCGAGCTCGCGCGTATGGATGTGTCAGAATCGAAAATGACAAAGTCGAAAAATTTGTGATGCACAAAATCGATGTCAGTTGGAGCCTCAGTTTCCAAGAGGCGCATGACAAATTTGGGTAGAGCCGAAATCCAGCCTGTCATGCTGTTTGGGCAAAGAAGACTCCTCCTGTCATGCTACTCTGGCAGCGCATTGCATACCCCTAAACAAGATTACAATCGGCCTCATTTGCCTGCTCCCCAATACAGGCCGGCAGTGCCCTCTATTTTATGCATCACAAATTTTTCGATTTTGTCGATTTCGATCCTGACACATCCATAGCGCGACGTTTTGCGGTCCCGGGAAGACCAACTGCGGAGGAGCAGCCAGACTTCGACCTCACCTGCCGAGCAGAGCAACGGCGCAATATTAAAGGCCTCGCAAATGAGTCCGAACTCTGGTACGCCGAACAAAGGTAGCAGTCCGGGCAGGAGTGCGGGTGGAAATAAACATGCGGGAACAAATAGTGGCGGAGGTGGTGGACCCCCGGAAGCCTTGCAGGCAAAGCAATCTTCCTACTAGGAGTTCTGCAAGTTGACGACAGTGCTACGACCATCCCGGGTGATGATCGCTGGGTTTGTTTCGTTTTGCCCCTGTTGTTGCGAACGATGAAATCATCGCTGTGCTATTCAGCTGGATGTTGGTGATCTCATAGTACTTGTCGTAGCCCGGACGCGGAAACCGGTTCTGTGGCTTGGTCATCTGCTGCGGACTACTACAGTGTGTGCAACGAGAGGAGCTGCGCAAGAACCGGTTGCTTACAAAGCGGGAAGATGACAAATGAACTTCATCATGTTCTACTACCAAATCGATCGGGTAGTTTTGAGCGATGCTTTTATTTTCCGAAGCTGGTACTAGTTCGAGTCATCTCAACAGCTGCGAGGCTTCTATATGTAAAAACATTCTGATAAGAAGGAAACATAGAGAATATCGAAATATGAGTCACGACATGAACATATTGCTCGCTCAAAAATTCGCATATCTTCCCCTGTAGAAGTTGTCGGAAAATAAACTACGCACTTTTTATGGGCGGAATAGATCTTTGTCTTTTTGGCTCCCTCGATTAACATTCCTCATCCACCGTCGCTTGCGCACCTGGCTACCCTCTGAACGATCATCCCACCGCCCTGTCGAGTGGTTCACCTCCACAGCCCTTGCACAATTGCTCATAGATTCCTGCTTCGGACGCCAGATTTTGCGGGTAATATTGGTTCTCCTACCCAAAAAAGGAATAATGTTTTGTATACCTGTGACACTGTACTTGATATTATACAAGAATCTCCCACGCGCACGACACAGTGCACGTATCCGCCGGTCGACTGCTCGGCGTTCACATGCAGAACTGTGCCGTTTTCTCTCGCGGTTTTGCTTCGTTTTTGTACGTCGGTCCAGCACTGGAGAGCGCGACACACATGTACTACAGATCTGATGCAAATTTTGATCTTTGTGGTTCATGCTTTTAGATCTCGAAAGCCTTGAATTAGCGGTCTCGGCTCCGACGCAAGTTCCTTTGGTCTTTTGCGTATTGCGTACAATCCATTTGGTTCCGCATCAGTACAACTTTTTGCGTTTTTCCTTTCATCAACGAACTGCCTCGCGCAGACTTCCTCGTCTTGCGGACGTCGTGCAGCCTTGTACAACTGCTCGTGTAGACACGTTTCCTCGTGGAACTACTCGAAAGTTGGTCTGTAGTTGTGGTGCCGGAGGAGTAGAGCAGCTGAACGGATTATAGACTTTTTCGGATTTTGGAACAGCTAACTAGCTAATTGTACGCATGTAACCATGCCGGATCAGCATGTACAGCAGCAGCGAACGAGTGCTTTGGCGGGCGGACAACAGGCGGGCGCCGACGGCAGACCGCGCGGCAAGGAATGGAACGTACCGCACAGGTACGAACTAGGCAGGTGCATCGGAAACGGCTCCTATGGCTCCGTTTATCAAGCGTACGACCGGATCGAGAAACGTTCCGTCGCGGTGAAAAAGGTCAAGCGCGTCTTCGAAGACTTGATCGACTGCAAGAGAATACTGAGGGAAATCGCCATTCTGGGAAGAATTAACGACACCAGGATAGTCAAGGTATCAGCTCTGATATACAGGATTGCGCAGTGTAAAAGCCCTGTTTGAATTTGTGTCATCCATTGCTACTTTTGTTCGTATGTAGTCGAGGTCGTAAATTACTTTTGGTGTTTAGAAAGTCGCGAATTCTTGTTTCTCACCGGGTTGCTCTCGCTGATCAACACACCCAAAAAAACGTGAACTGACACAAACAGCTCTACGACATCTGCGTTCCAAGCGACTTGTCAAATTTTACGGACATTTACCTGGTCTTAGAGCTGTGCGATTCGGACTTCAAGAAATTGTTCCATCTGCGGGAATATGAACTGCAAAAGTATCGTACTCGTATAAATGCATTACAAATTTTCTCCGCTTGAGAAATGAAATTTGTCATGCTGATTTACCTTAAGAAAAATATTTGTAATGCAAGAATTGCATTGCGATACTGTTGCACAGGATAGGGAATTTCTCACCGAGTGCCACACGACAACGCTTCTTTACAACACATTATGCGGAATCAAGTACCAAACTACTGCTATTCTAATCGACGAGATTCGATTTCATCACAAAGTTGCAGCAAGGGTTTCATCGCTTTCTTTTGTGAAGCGAAGTTTGGTGGACCCATCTGGGGTTCTTCTTCTTGCCGATGCATAAAGTGACCGGAAGATTTGTTCTTTCTGAATCAGGTACCTCCATTCAGCCGGCATCTACCATCGGGACATAAAGCCAGCAAACTGCTTGGTAAATACGGATTGCGGTGTGAAGATATGCGATTTTGGGCTTAGCCGAGCGCTGGGCGAAGACCCGCAGTCGATTATGGACGACGAACCACGACAGTCCAAGAACCGCACCCTGAAGAGGCAACTCACAGGGCACGTCGTGACGCGATGGTGGGTCATTGTGTTTCTTGGCGGAAAAACGTTTTTTTCGCCTAGTGCGGTTCTCTATGCATTACTTACACCGAAGATCTACATTCTTGCTCAGGTTGTTGCCCTAGGCGTCCGGGATCAAAAAGATCAACCGTACCCCCACAGGTATCGCGCACCGGAGCTGATCCTGCTCCAGGAAAACTACAACGAGCAAATTGACATCTGGTCCCTGGGCTGCATATTCGCGGAGCTATTAGGTATAAGGTTGTCGTCGAGCGTGCTTCTGTGGCAGCAGCGATATATTTTTCGGCCTTAAAATTCGATGCAGAGGCGGATAAATCAAAGCCAAAGGCTGTTGCTGTTCTCCATTCATCTATTACGAAATGACAGGTATGGTAAAAGAGAACATCCCCTACCCCGGCAACCGCGGTCCATTATTCCAGGGCGGTTCGTGCTTTCCCTTGTCACCAGACCGCAAGCAAGGCCAAGACAAGTATTTTATAAGACTTTCTTCGCAAGCCCAAGCATCGCAACTCCCACTCCGCTGCTTCGGGAACTTTTTTTCAAGACGTAGTTGTTTTGTATTGCCTCCTTCTTACAGCACTATGAATCGCAGTCGCTTTTCCGCATATACAACCAGGTACAAGTCTTCGGGAAACCGTGACCAGCTAAACATGATTTTTAACATTCTGGGCACCCCGGAGGACGCGGCGGTGCAAGCTCTGGAAAAGGAGGATACGAAGCGATATGTCCGATGCTTCAAGCACCGAAAGCCAGTGCCTTTGCGCGAAATCGACCGGTTTAAGGTACTGTGAACATAAAGGAGTAAGTTTTGAAAAAGTTTTCAGCTTTACAACTAACCTTCAGCTTCACTTTTTTTTTGCAAAACTGAGAAGAGTGGCAGCATTCGACGAGGAGGCATCTATTACAAAGTATCTTCTCCCCATTTGAAAATAGAACGCCTCTCCCGAGTGCCTGGATCTCCTCGAGAAGATGCTGGTGTTCGAGCCGAAAAAGCGGATTAGCGTGGAGGCGGCCGTCGAGCACCCACTTTTTAAGAGCATCAGAAAGCTAGAGGAGGAGACAGTATACAGAGATAGAAAAACATACAGTCGTGAAAACTGCTCCGGTGGCGGGTTACATCGTCATTTTTTATGCATATCGTGTTCGTTTGCACTCCCTCTCCCGCCCAAGACGAAAGTAGTACTAGTGACATTTATTCTCGCTGCTCTTTGGATAAAAATAAAGCTGTTTCCAACAAAATACAGGTGGCGCCGGAAAAGATCGTACTGGATTTCGAAGCCGAACCGGAGCTAGACGAAGCTCGTTTGCGGAAGTACTTCATCATGGAAATTCAGCGGTACCATCCGGAAGTCGAGATGCCTCCGCATTTGGCCGCGCTGCGCTAGTAAATGTACAAAATGTAATATCGCAGCATTTTCGTTTATTTCAAAGAATAGAATATAGTTAAATTCAGTCAAAGAAACTAGAACTACACGTAGTGTAGCGAATGGCAATGTTTTGCAGCACTCCTGCAGAAGATTGCGTTTGGCCGCCGACATACAGCTCTGACAATTTTAACAGGCGGATATAACAATTTTGTATTGAGAGTTCTTGCGGTTTCAAAGAATTCAGATGTAGAGAATTTTCACACAGATTTCAACTGGAGCCTGAGCCTTCTTTTGGTTTTGGCATCGACTTAGTTACAGGTAGTTTTCATATCGAGAATCCCTGGTGCAGAAGTTTTTCTGTAGTATGCCACTTATACGTTTGATGCTATTCGAATTTGATTATCGGGTAGAAATGATTCCTTTTTAACACTTTTCGTAGCTTCAAATCACACAGACTCGCAGAATGCTTTTTTGCTAAGGTTAGGATTTTGGTTTTCGTTTTCGTGGTCGCACTGATATCGAGACGCTCCAAAGCTTTGGGCTTTTTGAGAATTTTCGACCAGAGGATTGTACGTTAGAATTTCCAGATGCCAAGAATGACCTTTTTACTTGTTGTCTTATTTCAACCTGAGACTACATGGAAATTTTCTTATTCATTGCGGTAAATTGACTTTCAATGTACAACTAATGCTGACAACACTGCTCAATTGTTTCTGCTAAACGTATCAGATTGCTCACAGCAATTTTCTATCTCGGCTGGAGCACCGGAAGATTGAAATGACAAGCATGTATATCAGAATCAAATCCGCGCACGGGCGGCCACATGATCGCTGCGGGAGTAGGATTGTGAATTCCTGCGTACTGTCTGTGCCATCCCCTCAACGTGGCCACGGTTTTCTTCATCCGGCATTGGAAAGAACGCCCCCGTTCGTACTGACAGGTGCGCCGTGGATAGGGTGTCTTGCAGAAGCAAGCTAGAGCGGCAGTTGGTTCCAGAGGAAATAAACTGTGTTTGGAGCGAAAGGGAATGGGAAAACGATAACGATATTGGTAGTTTATCTTTAACATTATGCACCATGTAAAAACTTTTGAGAAAAAAGCCTAGAAAAAAAATGTCGTCTACTGCCGCTAGCGCCGAAAGCTGTTCTGATTCTGTCGATGGGCAGCTCCTGCAGGTGGATGAAAAGAAGTTGGAGCAGCTTCGACGCGCCAGGTGGAGTGCGGAATTCTATCGAAAGCTGCCACTTCCGAGTTTCCTGGCTCGCTCCGTGGATGCGGTGGCTCTCTTTCTATGGGGCGGCGTGGGCATTCTGGCACTAGACAACCGCTACGACTGGGGCGACAGCCGAACCCTTGCGCACAGCATGGCGCTTTCCGACGTCCTTGCTGTGGGTGCATTGGATTGTCTTCTCGTGTCGCTGATGCACTGGTGTCGTGGTGCGCTGACTGGGGACCCGGAGGACTGGGAAGTTGCTGACGATGCGGTTCTATCCGTCGCGCAGGCTGCGGTTGATGGTGCCGGCGCACCGCCAGGAACGAACAATGCGTCGGATGGAAATAAAGCGGGCCTGGCGGATGGAAATGAAAATGCAGGGGATCAAGCAGAGGACGGCTGGCAGATACGCTTGCTGTACATGTGGCTGGCGTACTTTTTTCGGGCCGCAGTTTTTTCGATGGTTCTTGTGCAGTTCGTGGTGATTGGCAGTGCAAACCGCTCGAACGAGCTTCTCATGATTGCCGAGCGCCTCACGCTTTCGTTTTTCTGCGCGCAAAGTATCATCCTGCGCCTGCACCGCTGCGGCTTGCTCAAGTTTGGGATGGAGGTCTGCGTCGTGTTTCGCTTATTCGAAATGCTTCTTCTGTTCATGTGCGCCGCCTTTCTTCCAGCCTGGAGAAGCTACACGATTGGGTGCAATGTCGGCCTGTGCATCACAGAACTGCTGCATGCCCATGATCACTGGTCACGTGAGGCCACGCGGCAGGCGGTCCTTGCGCGGAAAGAGTGGCGGAAAAAGCGGCGCGAAGAGTGGAAAACCTGGCGAACCGCAGAGCGGCCGAAAGGAGAGGATGGTAGAAGCTGCGCCGTTGAATCTTCCGAAGAGAAGAAGGAGCAGCACCACGTTTTGGACACGCAAAGCCCGAATGATTCACCGAGTAAGACGCTCTGCGAGGGCGACATTATTGAAACAGAATCAGGCCTGAGGGGAAGGATTCTGTCGCCCGCCATGCTCGAAGAGCTTGACTAACGCTAAAGTTTTACTAGCAATACACCATAGGAGATGATTGAAGATGCACATAGAATATTAAAAGATACAAACCCGTCGTTAGTCTTTGATATTAAAGGTGATTGATGATTTTGTTTTTCATTTCCAAAAAGCAACAATCGGACAGACAGATCGGATTTCCTCTGGTGTGCTTCTGGATCATCACGTTGGTTGTTGCAGTTCAGGCGCCCACGTTCTAGAAGATCCCATGATTTGCCACGACCACAACTCGGATCTATTTTGAAGCACGACGTAGGCAAGATAGTGCGATCGAGGCATTTCGTGAACTCATCAGCGGTTCTTGGAAAGGAGATCGTGGCTTCGTTGTATCACCAGACACAGGCCTATCTTCTGTTGCTCAATCACTGCACTGCATATCAGCGAGTCGATCTGTGTCGTTTTGGGGCAATGACTGATTTCTGGTTCGGTCACTTACTTGCTTGTCGATCAGGGTTATCCATGTATAACGGCGTAACTTAAGTTGTTGTACTTGCATTTATTCGAGGAGCAACAAGAGGTAACATCTTCGCCAAGAAGTGATTACAGCATGGATGCGCAATTACAGAGTCGCATTGCCGCGACCACTCCGACAAAGACCGGCCCGGCGACAAGTTCTGACTTCCAGATTCAGCGGGCACTGGCTTTTTTGGCAAATCAGAAGAACCAGGAACTACCGCATCCGAAGCCGAAGGCCGAGCAGGAACAGATATTGGCGCGTCTACGTGAGAATGCCCGCGCCGAACGCCTGCCGCCCGAGCGATCGCGGGACGCAGAGTTTGAGGACAAGCTGCGGAGAATGCATGCCAAGGAAACGTCCGACCAGGATTACGAGCATGCAAAAAAGGAGGCGGACTCGTGGGTCTCAGCGTACTGCAAAAACTTGTTGCACCAGCAGAAACATCACGCCGAACAACGAACGACAAACGAAGACACCGCGACCTCAGCTCCGACGACCGTGCAAGGCATGATGAGCAGTTTGCTGGAGCAGAAAAAAGCGAGTACGAAGACGCTGCCGGAACTGCGGAAAGACACGGCGAAGACGGCGAAGCTGTGCGAGGAACAGGTGACGGAGTACCACAAATCGACGGTAGGCAACCGCCTTTGTGTCGTTTTGGACATGGACTGCTACTTTGCCTCCGCCGAGCTGCGCGACCGCGACCAGAACCTGCACAAGGTCCCCGTGGCCATCGTGGACCTCGGTGCGGTTTGCACCGCGAATTACGTGGCACGGAAATACGGTGTGGGCGTGATGCGGGTGCAGTACGCGCGCGAGCTGTGCCGACTCCAAAACGTGCCCCTGGTCGAGCTCCGGTGCGACTACGCGAAGTACGGCGAGAGCTCGAAAGACGTCCAGCGTATTTTGCGCAAGGACTTTCAGATTCCGAAGAGTGCGATTCAGGTACCCAGCATGGACGAGATGTACCTGGACCTGACGGAGGTGGTGCGCGGCGAGATCAAAAGGCAAAAGGCGTCGCAGGACGATCTGGAGTGGCAGGTTGTGGCCGACCTGGTCGCGGAGATCCGGAAGCGCGTGAAAGAAAAGACAAACATGTCTTGTTCCGCCGGCATCGGCCCGAATTTTGCGATCGCGAAGATGGGCAGCAACGTGAACAAGCCGAACAACCAGTTCTGTGCGTGTCTGCGGACGGACGTCGCGGCCGCGCTGCGGAAGGCCGGAGCGGGCAAGGGCGCGCAGCTCTTTCACGACCCGATGGGAAAAGGACGGACCGGGGCGGCGGCGGGCACTGCTGCAACTAAAAATACGGTGAGTGATCACGGGCACGACACGGGTCTTGCGAATCTGTCCAATGCGGCCATGCGCGTGCGCTTGCACAAGAAGCTCCGGCGGGCTGGTGGTGCTGGGCCAAATTACGCACATCAGCAGGCACGACCAGTAGAGGCGTTTCACAAGACGGACTACTTTTCCGAGAACAGCCTCGGGGCCGAGAAATCGGCGGCGAGTGCAGTGCTGGCAGAGGAGGAAGACGAGAACGTTGTCAAGCTCGAAGACAAAAAGCTGCTACTATTGGAGGAGGAGTGCGCGCACGACGGGCCCCTAGTGGGAATCGATTACTGGCTACCGACGCTACCTGCCCGCGCGTGGCCGGGCATCGGGCCGGTTACCGCGAGGCTTTTGGATCAGTACGGGATTCAAACCATTGACAGTCTGCATAGCCACCGAGGCCTGCTGTGGCGGTTGTTCACACCTGCGCAGGCGCAGCTGATGGCTCTTGCCGGCTACGGCATCGAAAAAGTGGTCGAAAAAAAAGTTCAGCATAAGCAGTCCGTGGGTCAGGAGCGAAGTTTTGGGAGAGAGGTTACTGATGTGGCCACGGTAAAGCAACGCTTGCAAGAGCTGGCGCTGCGCATTTCCGAGGAACTCAAGGCCGAGAGGCTGCAAGGGCGGACGCTAACGTTGCGATTGAAGAAGGCTAAGACGTTTGACTACAAGGCTTGGAGCCAGGCACTGAGGGCCATCACTGCTGCTTCTGGAGTCGCGCAACAGGGCGGGCCTACTGGTTCTTTGAAGGGCAACTCCAGTGCGCATTTTTCTAGTGATTGGAAGACCATTTACGCAAACAGCGTGGAACTTCTGGATACTGCTTGGAAAACCTGCCCCCACGGCGTGTGGCTCGCCGGCTTGACGGTGACCAATTGCAAGCCACTATCAGAGATAGACCTCACTAGTTTATCCTCCGCCGGAGCGCGACCTCTCACGGCGAGCATCGCCGGGGGCCCGAGTGTGCGGGAATTTTTCAAAGGCGAGCAGGCAGGCGCTGGCGTCGTCCTCGCTGCTGATGACGGAGATAGTTCCAAGGCCGGTCGCGAAGACCAAGATGGGTTCTCTACCGATCAAATAGATGCCTCCCAGATGAACAATCCCGACCTTGCCGACGCTATCCGCGAGAATCTTGGACGCGGAAACTCATCACTGTGCGCGCGACTCTGGAAACTAGACTCAGACGAGGAGGACGAAGTCAGCGGTCGCGGACGTCGTTCTTCTGCGAAAAGCGTGGCAGTAGTGGATTTGGATGGAACATCCGACCACAACGATAATGCGCAGCTGGAAAGCGACCACTCGCCGGATACGAAACGACAAAGAATTGACGAGGAAACTGAGGATTTTTTGGGGGATGATGTTGCCCTCCGCAACTCGTCTCACAGAGGCAGTCAGGAGATCCTTTTTGGAGGAGAGATCGTCGCTGGTTTCGACTGTGACGACTTACTCCTAGAAGAAGAAGACTGAAACTCGAAGAGTTAGGACTTCTGTCTCGTGTAATTTCATTTTTCGCAAGAAGTCGGGCTCGTGTAGAAGTGCGCTAGAGGTCGAAACCAAGTTAGTATGTCATGCTGATGTTCCACTCTTTTGTTTTTTTGGAAAGGTCGTGCTGGTCTTTTTCTCTTCCCTCTTTGAATCAATGTGTTCTCTCTAGTCAAGACCGGGTATAATTTTACCGGGATGATCATGAACAATGCAGCAGCAGCAAAGCAGCACGGTGTCCAGTCGCAACATGCATGGTGCTGGGCGTCGCTTATCGCAGACGCCTCGGACAACTAGCTACCTCGCTGGTGCCTCTCACTATCCATAGTGTTACTTTGAAACTAAATGCAGTGCAGAATATGTGTACAAAGATGCTGTTGCTTTCTGTGTGTTAGTTCGTTCTTGTGAAAGCAGGGAAGCCACCGGATAGTTACAGGCAAGATGTCTTCCTGGTGGGGTCCGTTTCTGTGGTCGCTGGCAGTCTTATGCTCGGTACTTTTAAATTGGCGAGGCTACGTGACCGGCTGGTTTTGTATCAATGTGACAGTCGTCGCATTTTGCGACGTTTTCTTTCTCAGCGCATACGATTCTGCATTCGAAAAACTGGCCAAACAGCGACAGAAGCTTGAGAAGAGAAAGAAGCAGGCCGCCGCCAAATTTAAGAGGAAAATCGAGGCATTATCGGCATCGTCGTCCTCAGTTTCACGAGACTACGGAAATACTCCGCGCTCCTAGAGGAGACACGGGAGAATGTGGTATAAGTACATTCATGATGATCAAGACACGGAAAGTAAATGCGTGCCTTGTGCACTTTCTATTTTCATGAAAAAATATTCTTTAGTGTTTTCATCCTACGTGCCAAAAAAATCTTCAACTGCACCTCAAACCATAAAATATTTTGACAGCTTTTTCTCATCGCGCCGCTCGCACTGACTCTTCTCCCAGCCACGTGGACAGACCAGTATCCCGCCCCGCCGGCGAAGGTGAAGGCAATTCCGGTGTCGCCAACGGAGATTAGGCTCGTATGGAGCAGCGGAAGTCGGATGTACGGACCGCTGCACACGGAGCAGTACCGTGTGGAAATGCGGAACGTGTGGAAGCAGAACACTGTGCCATTGACCGAAGCGCAGGAAAAGGCCACCAAGTGGCGCGTTGTCGGGGACGACTTCGAGGTGACGGGCGCCGACGGGTGGACCTGTAGCACGGTGGTGGACAACCTGGAGGCCGGCGGGGAGACTGAGTACCGGGTCACGGCGTGGAATTCCCGCGGGGAGACGCCCATGCTGCAGAATCCCGTGCGCGCAAAAACGAAGCTGATGCCCAACGACGAAGACGGCGGCTCCGGGCCCAACTACGTCTGGGGCCAGACAAAGGAGCGCGTCACGGTGGTCGTGAAACTGAAAACAGAGGAAGACGACGATCATACAACTGTAGATCCTGCGACAGGAGAAAAAAGGAACCCTGGAGCTCGTCCACCTCTCATCGTGACCAGTAAGCAGATAGATGTAAAGTTGAAACCGAAGGAGCTGCTGGTCAAAGTGGCCGGAAAAGAACGATTGAACGGGCAGCTGCCGTTTTTCGCCGTTCCGGACGATTTGACGTGGACTCTGGAGGCTGAGAAAAACGCTTTGGAGCTGGAATTCGCGAAGCGGGACCCGGGAACCAAGTGGCCCACTCTGCTGCAGGGACATCCGGAAATCGACGTCGAGGAAGTGGTGTTTTCGTCGCGGATGTTTGGCGGTAAGGGCAAGTTCAAACCGGAATTGATGAAGCTGGGTCTGACGTGAGCTTGGGATCTGCATTTTGAAACTGCTTGATTTGGATAGAAATTTTTATCTTTCTTGTTGGCTACGGCGAGCGCGAGACGAAGAAGTCTTCGTGTAAAAACCGCAAAACGCAGAAAATTTTCTACGCGCGTACGATAGAATTTCATCAGGGGGACTGCGATGTTGCCTAGTCCAACCTAAGGAAATTAGGTTAAGTACGCTGGTGCTACATCGCAACTAAGAAAGCGAAAGCATAAAGGCAGAGTGTCTGCGATAAAATGTATGGCGCGCTGGATTCTCCGTTGTATCGGAGAGGCTCTTTTGGTTTGACAGGAAAATCAAGAGAAACTTGAGTGGGTGTTTCATTCGAGAGCAGAATGTCAACATGGTGGGTTGACTGTGTCGGTCTATACTGGCTGTATGTGCGATAGTGGTACGACGTCTAGCTAAGATAAAGACGAGTGATGTCGAGTCCAGTACAACTTCTATCAGAACGATTTTTCATTGCCGGGGCTCTTTGGGGTTTAGCGCTAGCTTTTTTCGACTGTCAATCTTTCCACAGGATGTTGATGACTTTTGAACCCTGGATGGACTGCAAGGGAAGTCAAACAAAATTTTGATTTTCCGACTAAATGGAGTTACCGTGCCAATACAAAAAAAATGGCCTTCGTTCTTCATCCGCGGTGCAGCAGGTTGCTTCGTGGCACCGCGGAGGTGGCCCCCTACCAAAGACCATCAGCCGTTTTCTTTGTTAGAAATCCACAGCAGCGGCGTTAGCCTCAAGAACAAGTATGAGCACAACTACGCCGGCTGCTAAACCGCCCGCAGGTGCCGTCACGAAGCTGGTTTCAGCCATGATGGGCACGAGTAAAAAGAACAGTGGCGACCCCCTGACCGCCAGTGGCGGGGGGGCGGACGGCGGTGGAGGGGATATCAATGCCAACACTGCGGACAGTATGGTGGATGTTGAAATCGCGCCGGGCGAGCACGCGCTGCGCCGTATGGGCACGAAGGACGTGAAGCGCGAGCAGGAAGCTGATAAAATGATGGAACGGGTCCTGATCGAGAAGAAGGTGCTGCAGGTGGCCAAGGACCGCATGGTGGAGCGGCTGGTGCTGGAACAAACCATGGAGGAGGAGTTTATCCGGTGCGTGCTCTTCTTCGTGGGGTTCATGTCGTTTTTGATGATGCTGTACACCGCCTACCCGGCGGACGCATTATTACCCGTGCACGAAACCATCTCCAACGCGTACAATTTAGGCGACATTTCCGACGTGGCTACGTTGGACGACGTGAAGGAGTTTTTGGCCACCATGGCGAGGCAGAGTCGGTATTTTTCGCCCGGGTCAAGGGACTACGTGTCCGACCCGCTGGGGCGGGCCTATTTGCCGGAAGTGGTAAGAACCCCGCCGTTCTACCACGTGCGCGACGACAACCAGCCAAAATTGACGAAAGAGTTCACTTTGACCGTGTGGCTGAAGACCTCCGTCCGGTACGAAACCATCATCACGAAGCGGAAAACCTCCGACGTCGGTGGGGGGTCGAAAACGTGCTACGACTTCAGCTTGGAAAACGTGCGGTACGGGCAGCACGAGACCGCGTCCTCCTCCATGGTGATCAACCCCTCCGCAGCGTCGATCTACAAAACCGTGGACCAGCAGACGGAGTGGCGCCGGAGCACGCTGAAGTCGGAAATGGAGGACGGGCAGTGGCACCATTTGGCAATTATCGTGAACCAAACGCATTTGGTTTATGCCCACGACGTATCAACTGCAAAAATGTCTGGGTCTGGAAACTTGTAATGCTGCGTTGGGAACAGTGAATGCTCTGTCATGCACCATCAAGCATGAGAAATATCTGCGCTTCTTTGTGTTGCGTTTTTCGCATGACAAACTGCGTTTTTGTATGACAGGCAAAAGGGTCTCTTGTTGGACACGCATCGCAAACTTTTTGGTCATGCCAGACACGCATGACAAGTCTCGCACTCTTCCAGACCCAGACATTTTTGCAGTTGATACGACGCGGTGCTGCAGGCCGCGGTGAGTCTACCGCGCCCGATCACAGACTGCCTCGGGGGGCATATCCCAAGTAAAAACGTCCCCACCCCATAGTTGTCATGCAGATTTGCAATGACAAACAAACTTGTGATGCGCATCCCCATGAAAGGCATTTGCAATCGTGTTTTGAAATTTGTGATGCTGTAAACAGGATGAGCAGCTGGGTTTGTAATGCGGGTGACCTTGCTAACCTGCACTACACTACAGACGGCAAATTGTCATGCACTACAGCCAAAACTTCTGGATTTGTGTTGCGAGATCCCCATCTTGACTCTGGGGTGGGGACGTTTTTACACAGGATAGGGCACGTGGTGCTGGGCAGTGAGAAGACGGCCGGCGAACTGGTCTCCTTCCGCTGGTTTCCGCGGGTACTCACGGCGTCGGAGCTCGGGGACGCCAAGTCTGCGGGGAAACCCTTGGAGGATCTGCTGGCCTCGTCCGGGGCGGAGGCACTGATTCCGTCGGATGTGCAGGTGGTGCAGAACCAGCTGGGCGGGCTCGGCGCGACCTCCACACGGCAGCACAACAGTCTCATGCTGGAGGCCACGAACAACACGCGAAAGCTAAGTATCAATCTATTGTTGCATAAAGAACAAAATCCTGGTGCCTTTTTTTACATCTGACGCTTCCTTGTTGTGAAAAAAGCAAGGGAAGATTTTATTTCGAGTTGTTTGGGATTGCTATGTGTCGTGAGTGTTGTAGTGACAAGAAGTGCATTGGCTTTGTCCCTCGAGTTGTGCAACATCTGTAGCTAGAGTTCTTCATTGTTCTGATTCACAGGTAGCTTGTTGCTGAACACCCTTGCTTCATCCTCGAGCACCTCTGCGTCGACCACACGCAGAAGGCGTTTGCAGGAGGAGGAAGAGGCAAGACGGAGGCTGCTCGCGGGCACCCCGATACCCGAGAGCCAGAAGAAAAGGAACAAGCACCTGCGGTATGGGGTCCATGGCAACCGCGAACTCGCGGAGTACCGCTTTGTCGACGGAGGACATCAAGTGGCCACAGTGGCAAAGCCAACAAGCCATCCAAGCCAACTTCACGAGCCGCAGCAACGTCGGCTAACCGCGCCCGACCCGAACGCGGGGCAGAACCCTGGTCCGAGCAGCCCTGACCCAAACAACCCTGACCCAAACAACCAAAGTCCCGACCCGAATGCAAATCAAAGTCCCGACCCGAATGCAAAACAAAGTCCCGACCCGAATGCAAACCAAAGTCCCGACCCGAATGCAAATCAAAGTCCCGACCCATACCAGAGCAGCCCGGGGATGGCTGGCGCAAAGGAGGAAAGCGGGCCTCCAGTGATCATAAACGGGAACCTCCAGATTTCGCTGGGAATGGACCTCCCCGAGTCAGAAATGACGCCGGAGAGTACGTTTGCGCAAGGCGTCTGCACCGCTGCCGTGCAGGCACTGGTGCAGAACGCGGCAGACACGGCCACAGCGGCAACGCAACTCCAGTGCAAAGTGCAGTCCATGTATTCATTTTTTCGTATCATGTGCTCCTTTCTTGTTCCTACCTCTTCACGTGGTGATTTTCAAAGTGGCTCGAGGTGGTGGTCTCTCATCGTAAAAGATAAACTGGGGCACTATTTGCGGTAAAAATTTGTTGTTTAACGAACTGTCGCAGTCCCTGCACTGGATGAGCGCTATTTTTTCCGGACTCAACTACATTTCACTCTAATACAGCGAAGCGGCACGACGCCGGGAACTGGCTGCAGACGACGCGGTGGACGCCTCTGCGGACACTCAAATTGCTGAAAAACTCCGTAGACTGGCGATGAATATCGTGGTCACGTACCAGATTAACGTGCCTGGCTCTCTAACCCCGACGGTGATGCCAAGCGTCGACCCCGCAATGTTTGACAGCTCCTTTTCCTCGGCGCTCGCAACGGCCACAGGGTACACCGTGTCCAGCCTGGTCTCGGAGAACCAGCCCCAGCAGCAGTCCGCGCCCCAGGCCATGGTGGACTTTTCGGCTTTTTTCTCCAGTCTGGACTTCAGCCAGGAGTCCACGTGCGGGAACACGAACACCACCTGGTGCTTGAGACACATCGAGGGCGTGATGGGCATGCAGGTGGTGTTTCCCGACCTGGCCGAGGCGGTTGCCTCGCTGCAGGCGAGTTTGGCGGCCGGCATTCCGCAGCCGACCTACATGCCCTTTTGCGACGACTACATCATCAGCGACAGCGACACCCGCCTGGTGAACGCCGCGGACTGTTTGGCGCTGTTGCAGCAATTTGCCTACCCGCTCATGACATGCTACATGACGCGGGGCGTCACGATGGTGGTGGACAACCCGGATAAGCTGACGGACTGGATTATATTCCGGTCCGTGAGCGACAACGACAAGCTGGCGAATCCCCACGGGCCGCCGAAGTACAATTGCGAGCAGGACGTGGCCGCGGCAAGCGGGCTGTCGATCACTGACCTGTCCTGGTCCAACACGTACAACGGGTTCGACAAGTGGTTCGTCGGCGCGTTCCGGCGCGCGGAAAACCTGGCGTGCAAGTCGGGCGTCGCGCAGGTGTTGACGGACTGCCAGCGGCTGTGCGCGCAGTGCGGCGTGCAGTACTCACCGGTGGTGTCCCAGGTGCTCGACGCCGTCCAGGAGTGCGCCGACGCCGCGGGCTACACCGACTGGCAGGGCAACGGGTGCGCGTGGTACCACAAAAACGACCCCACCTGCACGCTGTACGCGGACACCGCGACCAGGTATCAAATGCAAATATGTCTGGGTCTGGAAGGATGCAACTTGTGATGCTACCTTTGGACTCTACATAAAATCTGTATTGCATCAACAGCAAAAGTGGCACAATTTGCGCTACGCGGAGAGGGCATTTCTCATGCTGTATGAGCATCAAAAAGCTCTCGCAGAATCTCTGACGCTAGGGCATGCATCACAGACCTCATGGGTCATGCAAAATCTGCGTGAGAAACCCCTGCGTTCGTCCAGAGGACCCAGACATATTCGCAATCCATACCAGGGGCAACTGCACCATGACCTGCAACACCTGCGGAAAGACGCACCTGATGGTCAGCAAGTTCGACATCACCACCGACGAAAACATCGAGCCCAACGAACTGAACGCGCTGCTCGTCTCCACAAGGAAGGAGTCCATGCGCGTCAGCTACCACGACCTCACCCGCGTCATCGGCTGGCTCTGCTGCTACGAAAAGCTGCCCACCGCATTCGTCGCCCAGAGTCCAGCCTGCCAAGGGCTGGCGATGGGTATATTCATACAAGCATGATCGTGGTCTTGACTTGAAGATGGTGCCCCTCTGATCGTGGTTTTTACTTTTTTGTGCACTTGTTTCTGCATGCACATGCAGTTGCAGTCCCAGTCGTCCCCTGCCTTGAGATCGTTTTTGAATCTGAGCTAGTAGCTCGTGTCTATTCAATCCTTTCAGGTAAGTTTGACGACGGTGTTGCGTACAAGTTGCTGAAGACGATCGAGTTGACCTCGGCGAACGCACCCTGGTCAACCGCGAGCACGGCAAAGAAGAAGTGGACCGAGTGGGGGTTTGAGGCCATGATGAAGAAGTACATGCCGGAGTTTTTTTACGACAGCCAGTACCAGGACTGGAAGTTGGAGGTTTTGGTCGACACCATCTGGAAGGAGGAGTGCGTGAACGTGTACAGCGACCGGCAGAAGATGGCGCTGCCTTTGCTGACCAACCCCACGAGTCCGCTGAACATGCCGCTGCTGGATTGTTTAACAGTTTTCGAGTCGTCCATGACCCCGCGGGCCAGTTTGATGCTGGGCCGGGCGAGCGACTCCGAGGTGGTCTACGGGTTCGCCTCGGACATGTCCACCACCCAGATGAAGAACGCGAACCTGGAGCGCAGCTGGCTTACCTTCGACCAGTGCTCGACGCACGCAAATTGCACGTCCGTCTTCCCCTACGCCTGCCAGTACGTGGAGGACAGCAACAACCCGTTTGAGCTGTACCGCCCTGCGTGGAAGGACGGCACCGGGTACGCAAATGGTGCTACGTGCGACCCCTACTCCACCACAAAAAGACAGCCGATGTACTGCGCGAAGCGGTGTTTGACCGGCGGCTGCGGCGCCACGTCCGACGTGGTCTGGGGCGCGCAGGCACCCGCGAACTTCGGCTACTGCCAGCCCTGCAACGGGTGTTTGACCACCGAGACCTTCGACGGCAGCGCGTGTCCGAGCCACTGCCGCACTGGCATGCCGGCGACGGTTACTCTCGCGGCGGGGGAGTTCACGGTGGAGGAGAATCCGAACGCCATCGGGGGGTTCACACTGGACGCGTGGGTGAAGATGTTCAACTACCAGTTCGTGCTGAAAAAAACCAAAACGGTGTCGGGTCTGTACCCGAACCACCGGTGGATGGGGTACGAGGTGTCGGAGGTTGCGGTCGCGAACGTGGACAAGTACTTTCCCGCGGCCTGCCGCGAATTCGACGGCGTCTACGCCAGCACGAGTGGGGCCTTCGACTGGCGCAACGTGCAGATGTTCCAGGCGCTGGAGCATAAAATCAACAAGCACCAGCTGGTGATCTCGGTGGAGTTCGCCGTTTCCCAGTCGACCACCCCGCTCTGGATCCTGCACGTTTCCTCCTCGTCCGGCGTCGCGCGAAATCCCGAGTGCTACGGCCACTTCGGCGGCACTTCGGCGAAGGTTGTTTTTGGTTACAAGCACAGCACGTCGCACGGCCCCTTCAGTACCGGAATCGCCGCCCCCGTGCAGCAGCAGCGCTCTGCGTCTAACGTGCTGTTTTTCCCAGCAAAAACACCCGCGGCGACCGGGTCGACGACCGAAGTCGGCGCGGGCATCAGCTCCCTCCAGACGGCGTATGCAAGCGACATCAGCATCCAGCCGCACAAGGGCGAACTGGCGTGCTTCCGCTTGGACTACAACCAGTTCTGCTTCCGGCAGAAGTGGTGGGAGGCCACGTGGACGTGCGTGTCGAACCCGTACGCCGGCCAGCTGCTCGGGGACGAGGACTGGCACCACTACGTCGTGGTGAAGCGGAGTTCCATGAGCTACAAGAAGGCCAACGCGGACGGCGCACTGCACGACGTGGCCCGGACCGACAGTCTGGAGGTGTTCGTGGACGGGCAGGTGGCCTCGTCGCTGCCCGGACTCGAAGCCGGCACCAATCCGGTCCCGAAGTGGGGCGCGGTGGACTGCGGGGGCGTGATGATGAGCATATCAAATGTAGTAAAAATGTCTGGGTCTGGAAGAGTGCAAACTTGTGATGCGCATTTCACAACACATAAAAATCTCTCATGCATAGGCAGCAAAAGGTACCCACTTTCTGTCACCAAAATCGGGCATTTGTGATGCAGATTCGGCATTGCGGAAGCTTCTCCAAACCTGTGACGCTAGAGCTTCCATGCCAGACCTTGCGTGTCATGCAAAAGCAGCATGACTCTTCCAGACCCAGACATTTTTGCATTTGATAGAGCACGAGCCTGATCAACTCGCCCACCATGGACGGCGCTAATGCCTTGGTGTACCAGAATATCGCCTGGAATCAGGCCGACGTGGAGTACGCCACGACCGGCAACACCACCGCGGGGGTGGCCGCGGATGTCACGGTGCGCACGTTCCGCGAGGACATGGGCAAAATGTTCCCGATGACCGGGACGCTGCCTTTAGGTGGAAACATGACCATCACCGCCTTCACCTTCCCGGCCGTCGAGGTTCCGCGGAGCGGGTACGTGTGGAGCGCGAAGCTGGTGCTGTGCGCGGCGGATTTATTGGCCAACCTGCGGTACTGGCAGATCGGGTGCACCAGCACCACGGAGAAGGCCGCGAAGGAAAGGGTGGAGCTGGAGATTTTCGCGGTCGCCGCGTCCGTGATAAGTTTGGACGACACGCAGAAGGTGTCGGATCCCTGCTACTACCACAACCTGGCTCGAGGGACGAAAAAGGTCACGATGACCGTGCAAGGAGCTTTATGGCGGGAGAAGGCGGTGTTCCACCAGCCCAACGGCACCCGGAGTGCGAACTTCGTGCCGCGGTGGAACCCGGCGCTGGACTGCCAAGAGCAGTCGGTGGACATCATATTACAGTGAAAAATGCCCCCACCCCCAAAGTTGCAATAATTTGCGATGCGAAGTTTCCAACTGAAAACTTTTTGTCATGCATGAAAGGAGCACGAATCTTTCTGATGCAGAGTCTCGGCGTTTATAGCATCGCTTGCATGACGATGACAGGCGCCGCATCTGCTGGGATCTTTTGCAATACAAATCTTTGCTATTCAGGATTGAAAACCTGTGATGCTGATAGATGCAAGAGGGCGAGTGCTTCATTTGGAAGGGTTTGCAATGCAAATGCTGTCAAGTTCTGGGTTGGGGGCATTTTTCATTGTAATGCATCAAAGAAGTGATCGACGAGATCACGAGCGACCCGGGTTGGACGTGGGGCCGGCAAATGACTTTACTAGTTGCGGAGAAGGGCATGATTGACCAGACCTGTTCGGCGAGCCTGATGAGCCAGGAGGTGGTGACCGGCGCGGACATGGTGACGGCGTTGCAAAAGGCCTCGGTGAGCCCCTGCAAGACCATTGAGGACATCAAGAACAAGCTGAACGACCATTTTCCGCTCTGGGTGGCACCCTTCGAGGACGCTTCGAACCAGGACATGACGCCGGCGATGCTGAACGTGGAGTGGTGTCTGAACAAGGAGTGCACTAGTCCCCACTTCAACGGCGCGGGTGCGGACGTGAAGTTTGGGGGCACCTCGGCCACGGCCACCACCACGCCACCGCCGACGACCCCACCACCGCCCATGGGTGGTGGTCCCGGGGGGGGCCCAGGCGGTCCTCCACCCCCCATGCCGAGGCGGAGTTTGGGGGAGCGAGATCATGATGAGTACGACGACCATAGTGCCCCACCTCGCGTTTTCTCGTCACCGCACGAGGCGTACGCTCTGCGCCGGCCCGACGACGAGTGGCCGCCAAGAAGTCAGGTGATGTTCGTGCCGGAGAACGTCGTAGACCACGACGACTTTGTCCGGGATCAAGCGCACCGGAGAACCGAGGAAGAGCAGGAGATTGGGTATAATCAAGGCCGCTCCGTTGCCGCTCACGCAAGGGCTGCGGCCTCGCTCGCGAGCGAGAAGATAGAGCAGATGAGCGCGTTGGCGCGACCAGAAGGACAGCTGCCGGCCTTGCGGAAGGCCAATGTGCGCACAACGAACGGAATCACGCATCATCCCGATACACGGGTTTTAGAAGACGCGGCTCGACGTGAAACGTCCGATAATTACAGTGTTGTCGACAGTTTTTTTAGAAGCCCTGAAGATCTTTCGCCGGGGGTAGCGATAGAAGCAATTGGGAACAGCGGTAAACGACCTCGAAACATTTTCGAAGAATTGAACTTAGCAACCAGTGGGTACTACGACCAGGCTACTTCCGTCGAAAAGAATGCAGGTTCTGTGCCCGCAGCCGTTCCAGTTGTGCTGCCAGCTCATCATGAAGACACTTTTTACGGGCCAACGGGGGCGTTGTCGGCTTGGGATCATGAAAGAGTGACTTCTTCGGAAAGTAGTACATCATCAATCTCCGCCGGTGCAGCTGCACAACTACTTGCGGCCGATATTTCTCCAGTGCAGCGTCAGCTGACTTCGAACGGCACCAGTGCCACGAGCGCTACGCTTCTCGGTGTCCGCCCTGCGACGAGCGCGGTGACGTCCGGAACGCTGCAGCTCGCGGGGCTCCCGCGCGACGGCAAAATGTACGGTCTGAAGTTCACGAACCGGGCCATGAAATCGTCCGAGGTGCAGTTCAACTTCTACAAGGACCGCGACACGGTGAACCAGCTGGCCGGGCCGGTGGACGTGATCCTGCCGGTCGAAGGCAACGACGACGCCACGCTGGAAATCGACCAGTTCCCGCAGGAGGTGGTCTCGATTGTGCCGCCGGTTTTGTTGCAGTCCCGCACCGACTTCAAGCCGTGCACCGAACAGGTGCCCGGGCTGGCGCGGAACCTCCTCGCCTACTTCGAGGCGCAGGTGGAGCAAAAGTGCTCCCGGACCTACAACTGCGACTACCCGCAGGACTCCTCGCGCAGCGGCTTCGCCTGCATCGATCGCGAGGACGACAACTTGTCCACCGGGCGGTGGTTCAGCCGCGAGTCGTTGGAGGCGGAGGGGTTGATGATCCAGGGGTCCGTGTTCCCGGAGTTTTTGGACACGCTGACCATCCCGACGGTGTACAAGGACCGGCAAATTTTGTCCTCCGACTCCTACATCGACATGCGCACCAAGGAGGTCTCCGTGATCAACGTGTTTCTGAATTCCAAACTCCGCAGCGGCACGATCTTGGAGGTGAATTTCAAGTACGGCGGCCCGGGCAAGATCGAGGCTCAGTACAAGATGCTCTCCTCGAAGCAGATGGACCCGGACACGCAGGCGACGTGGAGTGTGTGGGTCACCCTCGTCTACACGCTCTCGATCCTGGACCTGTTCCTCCTTGCCCTGGGCACCATCCAGACCTACCGCGAGCGGCAGAAGTGGAAGCACAACATCGAGATGGACGGGGCGATCCCGTTGAACACGCCGGGCCGCGTGGACGTGTGGAAGCGGATCGACTACGGCCTGCGGTCCGAGCTGCCGCTCTGGTCCGGGTGGGACGTGTTCGACGTGGCGCTGCGGATCTTTAACCTGATCTTCACCGTGAACCACTACAACCACTACTACTCCCCGAAGCTGGGCGTGGCGGGTGTGGAACGAGGCGAGTTCGAGGAGCTGCTGAACAAAATTCTCGTGGTCCCCTGGCCCAGCGCGACGCTGCGGTACGAGGAGAAAGTCACCATTTTCATGCAGCAGCTGGCCAACTTCGCGGTAATGCTGGACCAGGACTCCGCGATCCGCACCACGGGGTATCTGCTGGTTCTGCTTATGTTCTTCCGCATCGTGGCCTACCTGCGCGTGCACCCCCGCATCGCGGTGCTGTACAAAACCATCGAGGTGGCGCTGGATGATTTGTTCCACTTCTTCATCGTCTTCGGCCTCCTCTACGCGGTGCTGGCCTTCATCGGGGTCTGGATGTTCGGGGCGATCAATCCGAAATTCGCATCCTTTATGGACAGTTTCATCACGCAGTTCGAGATGCTGATGGGCGAGTACCCCTGGCCGGAGTCCACGCTGGACCAAAACTTCGGGCTGTTCTTTTCCTACCTGAACATCTACTCGCTCGTCGTGTTTTTTATCCTTCTCAACTTCCTGCTCGCCATCATCGTCGACTCCTACGCGAGTGTGAAAGAGATGGTGAACACCTGCGAGGTGGAGTGCAACATTTTGACCGACATCGTCGCGTTGCTCTGCTATCCCTACATGCGGGTGGTGTACCAGTGGCCGGAGCGCGGCGAGCTGATCCGCAAATTACTCGCTTTAGACGTGAACTTCGACTTCATCAACGACGAGGAGGAGGAGGAGGACAGCGTCGCGGTGACGGAATCTGCTTTAGTCCGCGGCAAGGTGTTCCCGAGCGCGGTGCGCGCGCGCCAGTTTCTCAACTACTACCTCTTCCTCGCCCCGGCCCTGGACGTGGACCGGGAGGAGGACGCCGGGGCGCTGGAGCACCAGCGGAAGCTGCGGGCTTTGCGGAACCTCGACATCCTGCGCGAACGCCTCCTGGAGGCCGCGCTGAACAGCGGGCTGATCGAGCTCTACCGGCCGCCGCCGTCCAAGCCGCCACTGGGGTCACAGTTGGAAACTTTGAAGTCCGAAGTGACGAACCAACTCGACGAAATATTACAGTGAAAAATGCCCCCCACCCCTGAAATTGCAAAAATTTGTGACGCGAAGTTTGCAAATGAAAACTTTTTGTCATGCATAAAAGGAGTATGAATCTTTCTGATGCAGAGTCCAGGCGTGTATCGCATCGCTTGCATGGCAAGCGCCGCTCTTGCTGGGGTCTTTTGCAATACAAGTTTATTCTATTCACGACTGGAAACCTGTGATGCTGATAGATGCAAGAGGGCGACTGCTTCATTTGGAAAGGTTTGCAATACAAATGCTCCCAAGTTCGGGGGTGGGGGCATTTTTCATTGTAATACGAAATGTCGAAGGAAGCAACCTTGATGGAGACTAAGCTGAAGAAACTCGAGGACGGCGGCTCGCTGGCCGTGCAGGATGAGACGCAAAAGCGAAACGAACTCATCAAGAAGGCGGTGGTGGGCGTGGCGAAACTGCACACCGACGATGAGCAGAAGGAAGCCGCGGACAAGATTTTCGGGCACTTCCTGAAACCCGGACCAGAAGCCATGAAGGCGAGTCTCGCGGCGCTCAAAAAGGGGACGGGAAGAACGTCGCAAAAGGAAGACAAAGTAAACGAAGTCTGAGAGGATGAATGCTTTTGCTTGGTTTTCAGCCAAAATTATTTTTTCCAGGAACCAGCCTTAGCCTCGCTATATCGTAAAAAATGTGTCTTGCTGCAGAAAGAAGAATCTTAAAAAACCTTGTACACTTTTTGCTTTGAATACTTGCGCCACCAGCTGTCGCACCTCAATAAAAAGAAAGCATCTCACTTCATGGTCTATGAAGAAATTTTGTGTCACCCACCCTAAACTAGATGAATGAAAGAAACATCTGAACAGACATGTGATACCGAAGTAGAATTACAAGTTCCGTATCACCGCTAGAGCATTTGTCCAAGAGAACGGGAAGAAAATGCTGATTACTTTGCTGAATGTCTAGAACAAGGCATCCGCTTGAAATTTTCTGCGAAATGCAACATTGCGGACTTCAATAGTGTCATTCTCGCACACCAATTCCTGAAGCTGGGATTTCCTACAAAGATGAGAATGAGTTGCTGCTGTTGCGGCTCATCTTCCGTTTTTCGTGGCCTCTGGGCACTAACCTGAAGAAAAATAAAAGTACAGCGGTTCAATAGTCAAGCCAAGCAGTGAAAGCCCGGCACAGCATCGGAAGCGACGTAGCTACAATTTCGAACGCCTCTAATCAGCAGCATGATCCAAAATAAATAGCTGACTAGTGATGGCATAGTTGCGTACACGTGACAAACTTCAACATGGAGGGCCGGGAATCGTCGGAATCGTGGCGCGACGTTCAGATTTCTCGAGCACTATGGCTGGCCGCGAATGGAGGAGCTCGCGGACGGGGGTGTGACGCCCTAGTTCTGCCCCAGTTTCGCTACGATGTCAGCACGGCCCAAATCGTATACGCATGGCCTGCAACAGTGGAGAAAAGTCTTTTTTCGGAGTTCGTCCGCGCTGACAAGAAAGACGAGCTTCGTGAAAACTACTTCGTGCTCCAAATGATTGACAGGAGCGCGGACGATGCCGTCTGCGGGTTCCCGGCGTATAGCTACCAGACAGATCCAAATCGAGAAGGTATTCTACGCCATGGAGTTTACGCCCCGACAGGCTCTAGCGGGACGAGGTCGCACTACAACGTGATCGGGTGTAGCAACTCGCAGTTGCAAAAATCCACTTTTTTGTTCCGTCGTGGAACCTTGCAGGGGAACGCGAAGTTTTTTCGGAGGCTCGTGGGCGTGCATCTGGAAAAACTGGAGGAGAAAAAAGGTATCCCGAAGCGCATGAAGTACGCCGGTCTACTGTTTTCAGGCTGTCAAGTCATCGCCGATTTGCCCCCGGAAACTGAAGTTGTGGAGATTACGGATACCAAGTTCACTGACGGATGCGGACTGATTAGCCACAAACTCGCACTTTGCTTGTCGAAGCAGATGAAACGCTCGGCGGGCGGAACAGAGCGCGACTCGCTGCCGAGCGTTTTTCAGATTCGGTTTGCCGGAGAAGTTTTGGAACTGTCAAAAGAGATTGAGGAACCACGGAAGACGAACAGCTATGTCTGCAAAGGTATTCTCGTTGTTGATCCCGATCAGAAGGACTCCTTCAGAATTTCGTTTCGGAGATCCATGCTGAAAATGCGACTAAGCGACACCAGCGCGCTGCAGAACAAAGTCGGAATACTAGCAACCAGCAGGCGCAATATCGGCAAAATGTCGAAGCAGTTTATTACGCTGCTTAGCGCAACCGTACCGGCCCGAGACCTCCTTGCATTGCAGAAGACGCATCTGGAGGCTCTGCGTGATTTTCCACACCGCCCCCTTGCTCTGGCGTATCTTGCAGCCATGGACCACCGCCCCCTCACCTGGCAGAAGTATCTGAGACTGATCGACCTCATCGTGGAAAGCAGCGGCATGCAAGAAAAACCTGAGCGAGTACCTGCGCTGTACGACGCGCTCATTTCTTGCCTCCGAGGGTTCTACGATGAAAAAAAGTTCCAGATTCATCTCGGCTGTTCGCGCATGGTACTCGGAGCAGCCTGGCCCGAAGCGCTCCACGAGAACTTGGAGGAAGGTGAGTGTGTTTTTTTTACCGACCAGGGCCTATTTGAGGGCGAGGTAATTCTTTACAGGAGTCCATCCTACTCTCCGGGCGACATTCGCCCGCTCCGTGCGGTTGGTCTCCCCGAGAACCACCCCGCTCGGTCCCTACGCAACGTGATCTTCTTCGCGACCAAAGGCGAACGCCCCGAGGCAGACAAGGCGAGTGGTGGCGACCTGGACGGCGATCTTTTTTTGGTAACGTGGGACTCGCGGCTGGTGAAGTATTCCAGCGAGATTGCAAAATGGAAACCCGCAGACTACGATGGTCCTGTAGTAGCCGGAATTTCCGGCGGCGCCGTACATCGCCCAAAAGAAGACTGGATTCTGTACGCGTCGCGTTGGAACAATGACATGCTTGGCATCGTAGACAGTGCGTTTTATTCCATTGTGCGCGAAAGTGGCCTCGACGGCGAGAACGCCCGGCGCTTGAACCTGCTCTTCAGCAGCGTGGTGGACAACAACCCGGCATCTATTCGAGAGTTCAACAAACTCGTCACGTCTACATACGTGCGCTGCGCGGATCCGCTCAAGAGCGGCACGGTGGATCTTCTGAACGACAACGTGAACGACGCTGCTCCTTGGGAAAAAGCGCTGCACATTCACAAGGCTTTTGCAAAGACGTTCAACGGTACAGAGCGAAATAAAGAACAGCGACTTGACGACTACAAAACCTTCTACGAAAATGTGCTGACTTGTCGCGATGCTTTGTCCGCGGAGGAGAGAAGCCACTTTTTCGCTGTACTTGGAGAGCACGGTATGAGCGACTGGGACGAACGCATTTCAGAAGCGATGAAGCGCCTTCTTTTCCTGCAGGAGAGGAGCCCGCGGCATGCAGTGGCGTCCATTTCGGATTGTAAACATAACAAAAAATGCAGACTTGCTGTGCAAGAGTTGGAAGTCATCCGAAACCAAGAGATACCAAACCTGTTCAAACAAGGAATCATCAACCTTGACGTGCAGCGTTTGGAAGCACAAGAGAAGATCAAAGAGCAGAACGAAAAGTGGCTCCGCAAGCTGGACGACTACGAAGCAAGGCGACGAGACTGCAACGGAGCGCATCAGGTAAAGCAGCAAGAACTGATATCTGCTTTGGAAAATATGGATCGAACTTACGAGGTCGCACGAGACGAGAGAAGAAAGAGGCGAATGGAGCTTGAAGGGCAGATGGAAATCATGGAAGAGACGATTCGCTGTCTGGACGATGAGAAACGGAAGAGAGAGACGGAGGTGGATTCGTGCACAGAAGAGCTCCGAAGGATGGGGCGATTAGATAGATATGTGCTCAAGCGTTCCCTAGCCGCCCAGCTTGAGGAGCGAAAGAGCCAAGCAGTGGGGGAAATACAGCGGATTGAAGAAAGGATATCGCGAAGGAGAAGCGAATTGCGGAAGCTCGAAGCTAACAGAAGGGAGTACTTCTCTTGGCGGAAAGAGCAGAGAGACCGTCTCTCGGAACAGAAGGAAACCTACAAGAGTAAGGCATTAGCTGATACCGATTCTCTCATGGCGAAAATCGATAAAGAAGAAGAGGCCTTCAGGTCCGGCGAGCGGCGGGAAATATTGAAAAGTGAGCACGACGTTCTGGCTGTAGAACTCAAGCTGATCAAGGATGAGCGCGAACGAGAAGACGCCGAAAGGAAGCAGTTGCAGAATGATATACGCGACTGCAAAGCGGAGCTTGTACAGGCAAAGAATCGCGTTGCAGAGTTGCAAAGGGAGCACGAAGAAGTCTCCAATGTCCTGCAAATGTGTCGACTGGCGGAGCGAAAAAGTGAGAATGCGGAGGAATTTGGGGACAGTGATTTGTGCTTTTCCACTTACGCAAGGTTTAAGAAGCTTCTCGCTGCAGTCAGTCCTGCTTGTGAGTGTTTCGGGACCCAGGTACCGGAGCCGCGTACTTGTCAGGAGCTGAGTAATCCCAACCTTCTCAGACAGTTCCGGTCCGACGTTAGGGCTGCGCGAAAAGCAGTGGCGCAACATGCAGAAGATGTCGACGAGGATGTCCGAGCTGCCGACGAACTGCTTGGCGAAAGAAGGAAAGAGTATGGGAAGAGCGAAAGGAAGAAGCACCGTACGCGCATCGAAGAAGCAGAGTCAGCGCTCAAACTTACAACAGCAAATCGTACGCGCTTCAACGCGAAACGGAAGGAATTTGAGGAGCTCTACAAGCAGACACGCGGCGAGCTCTTGGACGGAATGACTCCTACCACATTTGCGAAATTTTCCGGGTGCTTTAAATGCGTGAATCAGCCACCACAATCTCAATCTGCGGCTGGCCAGACAAGGGGCATCGAATGTGAAGCGGATTTTTCTTGCAAAGTCTTGAGGGAGTTCAGAATGGAATTCGAAAGCGTTGATGCCGACCTTCGAAGTGAAAGTCCGTTTCTCGACCATAGCGATGTTTTCCGGCGTAGTAAGAAGTTGGTGACCACCATGCTAGAAGAACTGCCGAAATGCAAAGTGGAGATCGAAGCTAGCATCGTCACACAGAAAGAGAAGCGAAATGAAATCAAGCACCAACTTGGAGACTTTAACAGCACGCTCGAGGAAGCGGACGCCACTATCGCGCAGCTGGACAAAGAGATCGAAGACAAAACTGGAGCGGATGTACGAAAGAGAGCGGAGCTAGCAGATCTCTACTCTGCGGAGATTGTCCTCGAGGAGGAAGGCAAGCTGGCATTGCTGGAAGCGGAGGAGGAATGTACTCACCTGGCCATGACGCATCTGCGATTTCGCGTTGACGAAGTGAGTCGGTTCGTAGACCAGCAACTGGACCTGCTCGACGAGGCAAACAACTCGCTCTTTGCGGCGGAGTTTCACAAGCGGCGCCTCGGTATTCAACGGGCAATGGCGACGGAGGAAAATCGGCTGTACGGAATGAAAAGGGCGGATGGCAAGCGCGGCGGCCCCATGCCTGTGTACAACAAGCGGGCGGAGCTGAATCGTGTTTTGCGCGAAGGAGATGCAGTCATTGTCACGGCTGGGACGGGGTGCGGAAAGAGTACACAAGTCCCACAGTATCTCGCCGATGATCTTCGCAGCCTGGTGGCATCGAAGGAAGGCAGCAGCGGCGACCCCGATCGTTCGTTTCGCGTATGCTGCACACAGCCACGTCGCCTAGCCGCGCAGTCCATCGCGCAACGGGTGGCGCAGGAGTACGGGACGGAAGTGGGAAAACTGGTTGGGTTTCGTGTCGGCAACCGCGGCTCAGAGAAAACGGCAAGCTCCAAGCAGATCTCGAGGGAAACTGTCATCGAGTTTGCCACCGAGGGACTGCTTTTGCACCAGCTATCACGGTCGCCTGATAGCATCGCAAACTACGACTGCATCATCATTGACGAAGCGCACGAGCGTAACAAAGAAACCGATTTGCTCTTGACTATTTGCCGCAATCACCTGCGAAAGTCTGATCGCAAACCCTTGAAGGTGGTAGTCATGTCGGCATCGATCGATCCGTCACGCTTCTGTGCCTACTTCGACAACTGTGCGACAGTGGACTGCCCGGGAAAAAACTTCCCTGTGGAAGAGATTTATCTCCCCATCGAAGTAGCGTCGTCTCCCGGTGAGAATCATAGCGGGTCCTTTGATAATTTGGTCGAGCATGCGGTGGAAGTTCTTTTTGAGGAGATCGTAGGCAAGCGGGCCGAAGAGAAAGGGGACGTGCTGATCTTTCTGGCTGGGGCAAAACCCATTAGCGAGTGTGTGCAGAGCATTAAAAGTCGGGCTATGGATGAGGGGCTCGATGACCGCGTGGTTGCTTACCCGCTTTACGCCAGTATGCCAGAGGAGGACAAGGATCACGCAAAAGACCCGGAGCACCGAACTGGACTCGTTGAGCGAGACCCTGACGACATCGGCACCAGCGTTGGAAAGACGAAGAAGAAAAAACCACGACTGCCTTCAGTAGCGACGTACCGACGTAAGGTGATTTGTTGCACCAACATCGCGGAGACGTCTCTGACCATTGACGGGGTATGCTTTGTATTGGACGGTGGAACGTCGAAGCAGCTGTCTTACAACCATGACCTTCGATGCAGCGCCCTGCGTGAAGAGAGGATTTCGCAGGCCTCAGCGAAGCAGAGGCGCGGGCGAGCGGGTCGAACGCGGCCTGGAGTATGTTTTTATCTGTACTCGAAAGATACACACGAAAATGTGATGCCGGACTACGACCAGCCACAGATCCTTCGCGTATCCGTCGACTCGCTCGTGCTGTATGCCTTACACGTTCAAGGTTGCAGTATCGAGGATCTCGGTTTGTTGGACTGTCCAACGGAAGCACACATAGCTGCAGCGAAGCAGCGGCTTCTCGACTTGCGGATGGTGCAACTGAAGGAAGAAAATTTTGTTTTGTCGCGTTTGGCACTGTCACCTCCTACGACAGTAGAGCTGACAGCGGACGGCGAGATTGCGGCAACGCTGAGTTCCAGTATTTCCGCCGAAGGTGTGCGGATGATTTTGGAAGCGCGCGAAATCGGCCATTTGCAGGCCGCGATGAAACTTGCCGTGTTGTTGTCCCTTGACGACGACGTGTACGCACGGAAGAAGAAAAAAGACGCGAACGGCGCTCAAGAAGGTACTGAGGAGCCTGCAAATAGGAGCGAGTGATTTACGTACACTCATTTTACAACGATGCGATAGCGATATTCGTATCTTTTTAGTGTTTCGAATGCACGGTGCGTGGACTGTTTCGCTTTTGACGGTTGTCCAACTACTTCATTGACTAATCTATCTTCCGTTTCACACCAATCAGGTCAAGATGATGAAGGAGTGAGGCATAACGCTCTCGGTGACCATTTGGCCACGTTGGGCGACGTCGAAACTTTTGAAAGAGAAAGACAACGCCAGAGGAAGGACAAGAATAGCAAGCAGCTGCGGAATTGGTGTAAGCGCAAGAAGCTCATCTACTACGTCGTCGAAAGGGTTCTTCAAAGCGTCGAGCAGTGCCACAGCGAGTTAAAGAAGCGGAAAATGATCGGGCAGCAACATCCTGATGCTCTGCCGAATTCCCGGATATTCTCGAAGAACGAAAGTCTTCTGCGAGCAGCAATCTGTGGCTATTTTGATCAAATCGTCGAGTGCGTGAACCCTGGGTCCACCAAGCTCAGTTTCGTGCGGATATCTGAAATAAAAAAGTCCAAGAGCACAGAGTTTGAAACTGCAACGCAGCCTGGCAAAGAAGCCCGCGACAGGCCGACGCTAATTCTCGACAAAGAGTCATGTCTGTTTGAGGTGTTGCAGGAGCGCGACGAAGCGGAGGAAAGCGAGAGCGATGAGGAGAATACGACGGGCGCTTTAGCTGCGGGCAACAGCGACATGGAAGCCGAACCTCCGTGCTCGCACCACCTCGCCTTTCTGTTTTTCAGCCAATTGCTGTCGATCCAGACCAAAAGGGGCGGAGTCTTGACCATAATGCGCGGTGCGAGTTTGATCCAAGGAACATGGATCGAGCAGCACGCACCACAGCAATGGATGGCGCGGCTTGACTTCGATCCGAAGAAATCAAGCGTGTGCCGCGAAACTATCCGCTTCGTCGGACGCACTGTTTTAGCACAGCTGAAGGACAAGCTGCCAAACCGCGACACTTACCCTGGGCTCATGGATACGAAGGTCTTCTGGAACAGCGCAATGGTGCGGATGCTCGGTACACAGGAAGCGACTTCGACTGCGAAGGAAGACCTGCGAATGCGAATACGGGAGATTCGCGACAAGCTCACGCAGGACGAACAAACTTTTCCCACGATTGAGGTCTACAGCAAGGGATACAAGCTGAAGTTTAATCATGGCCTCGTCCTGGCAGACCTGCAAAGCATCGGGAAAACGCGTAGTGCCCACGACTCCGGCGCAAGCGATCCTGTGATAATGTGCGCCGGCATCACTCTCCCATGTCATGCTTTGAAGTTTTCGCCTGCAGCTGCTGTGTCATCAAAGCGCGGAGGCAACGCCGACGGAGACTATTCTCGGCACGACGGATGCTGCTTCGCCGACATGGAGTTTCTCAAGGATCATTATCGCTTCCGCCTTTCGCAAGATGGTCGTGAACTAACACTATTTCTCAATGCCGGTCTGAGAAGTGATGTGTTTGAAGCGCGGATACGTAAAAATGCTCTGCCGCAGGGTATCACCATGGTGACCGAGACGTCCCTCCCGAAACTTACCTTTCGTCACTGTAAGGATTCTGCGGAAGACTCGGATGCACACACCGAATACAACACCGACGTTAGCGCGTCTAGTTTGCCAGTCGCAACTTCTAGCGGCGGTGGCGGTTTTGGAAAAAGTAAGACAGGTAAAAAAAAGGGAAAAGGTAAAGGTGAAGGAAAGAAATCTTCCAAGCCCGTGAAGCTCAAAAGCCCTCCTAACAGTGCGGGAAGAAAAGGAAAGGGAAAAATGAAAGAGTCCGGTGTGGTTGCGTTTCACGCGCTCGAGAACTTCAAATCGACACTGGAATTAAGTGGTGCTCTCGAGCCGTACCGCGTTGATGTCTTGCAAGTATTGATGAAGGTGTATAACCAGGGAGGCTCGTTGGCGGACCGCAGCGTAAGCGTGAGCGAGGAGTTGCAGGCGATACAATCGGAGTTGCGGCAAAGTTACCTGTTCTGGCACACTTTCGTCACGGAATCGCTGGCGCGCATGGGAGTGGTACAAACATCACTTGCGCTCCGTCTGCATGCGGAGCAAAAAAAGAAAGACCACTGGGATATTTTCGTACGACTGAGGTCGTCCACCCCACCGGTGTTTGAGGTCTTCGGAGAGAAAGCGGACCACGCCAAGACCGTGCTCTTCGACGCGTTGCGCAACCTCCTTCGCCCTAGCTCCGTGGCAACGGCATACTACAGACCGACACTGCTGAAGAATGCGAAGTTGCATGTCGCGCGACTGTGTGCAGTGGTGCAGGAGGTCCGCTGTTTGTATCCGCGGGTGAGGATTTTTATCCGGCTGGAAAGTGCAACATGTCGTGCCCGACGCGGAGTCGGAGGCGTCGACACAAGCGATGGCGAATGCGACATGGGGCCTAGCGAAATAAAATCCGCTGCATGTAGTCTCGACACGATCACGAAGGAGCAGTCGGAGGTGCTAGACAACGACTCGTCTTCAAGTAGCGACTGTTCATCGGACGAGGCTCCAAGTCTGGACACCGCGCGCGCCGCCAGTTCTGCGTTTGTTCCATTTCGATGTGAACTAGAGCGCCTTCTTGCTCTTTCATCGGATTGCTCGTCTACCGGGGCGGGTGCCCTAACCGTTGTACTTCAGGAAGTATCTCCCTGCTTGGGACGCACAAAGCAGACTGCCGCAACCGCTAGTGACCTCGAAACTCAAGAAGTGCGCAAAGCTTGCGCACTCGTACGAAACAGATTTCGACTTTCAGGTTCAGCCCCAGCGCTCGCAACTGCAGATACTCTCCATCAAGAATCACGACCACTAGAGGAGGGGGAGCCGGACCCAAAACAGGGACACAGTAGAAGGCGGTGTGTCATGTGTGGGCGTTGCACGACCCGCAGTGAGCGCAAAGATAGAGGACGCAAGTTTGAAGCTCTTCGTGCGTCGGAGAATAAGCAGGATCCACGTAACAAGCCCTGCGACGCACTGGTAGAGCCCCAAGGCTACGAGCTGACTTTGTGCGGATGCAAATATTGCAAACCATGTTTTTTACAATGCGTAATGCTGTCTATCATCGAAACCGGAATAGCAAAATGCAGACGGTGCGAAACGGACATTCTAGCGAAGGACTGTCGAAACATAATCTGTCAGCGCGGAGGAGAGTTGCAGCAGGAATTGGACTGGCAGCTCGTTTGCGATCTGGCTGTTTCCGAGCACTTAACAAGGGATGCTGAAGACAGCCGCGAGAATGTTATTGCTTTTTCCCGAGCAGCTAAGGAAGACGCATCAATGGGCAGATTGTCAGGCCAATCAGTCACTGTGACCGACAACGTGACGTGCCCGGAGTGCAACACGACAAGTGCGTATCTTGCTGGGCCTGCGCAACGGGCGGGGCTTCGATTCGTTCGATGCAGGAACGAAGCTGCTTGTGGCAGTGTAATTTGCACTCTCTGTAATCGTGTCGTGCGCAACAAAAACGACGTTCAGCGATGCAGTGGCGGGTTCTGTTCCGGTGACACACAGGATTGAGTAGTTCGTCAAATTTTCGGCAACGGTAAAGACCGGAAATGATCGTATAAGCAAGAAATTTCCACCGCTGATTCCCATTCCACCGATCCGGCGACGGATCCTCATTCAGGAACATAAAGAAATTTCTACTGCGAAAATTCTGCTGAAGTGCAGTCTCGTATTTTGTCTCAGAAGCTGGATGTTCTTGTTCTTCATGCAACTAAGGATGTCAGGAAACTTTTCCACGTCGCGTGGAGGAAGCAGTGGAGAGTCACTGTGAAGGGCCCGGGCCGCGTTTTTCCTTATCCGAAAAATGGTGCAACTGAGAGAAAAATAACTGACCCCGTGCTATAGCCGAAATTCCCGTTCCTCTGTGACTCATTTGTACGTATTCTTAAGTAGGCAAGAGTAGTATAGTTCAGCCTCGTCAATTCCTCTTGTTCCTTCGTTAGCCTCAATAATGAGGAAAAGCCGTACAACAACGAGCCACGGTTGTGGAGGGGAACCTTCCTGTGGCCCGCTGCAGCACTGCTCGCACTGCATGGAGCCTTTGGCTGCATTTTTATCGTTTTTTCTCTACTTTGCCGTGCTCTGTAACGCTCTGAATGTCGGGGAGTTGGATCCTCGCGTAATTGGTGCCGGTACAGCAGGAAGCCCGTTGCAAGCTATCACAGTGGCTGTTGATCATGATGCAGAGACGCAGGAGTTTTCACCGGAATCGGAAAGCACCGCCGATGTTTCTGAGTTCGAGTCGTCTGGTCTCTCTGACGACCGCAAAACCTCCGACCGTGCGCCCTCGGATCCATCGAGTCGTATCAAAACTACAGCAGCGAATGAAAATGGTTCTTCAACGTACTTGGAAAGCCAGTCTCGACGTGGAGAACAAGCTTCGCAGGAACAAGATATTCCTGGCGCACCACATGCATTGCGGTCAACATCATCTTCCGACATTGCGGTGCAAAGTTTGCGACAGTATTTGGCCCGATTCGAGATTGAAGTGAATGCTAGAATGAAGAAATTGGAAGCGGAAAAAGAACACGTGAACACCAGAATGCACGAGCTGGGGGAGGAAAACAAGATGCTAAACAGAGAACTCGCCGACCAAAAGTAGTACAACTCCCTGCCTCTAATAAATAAAAAGGATAACAAATCAAAGCAACAAGAGCTGAGTCCAGTAAAGCTTTCCTGTGTCCGTCTCTCTATAACAGCGCCAAACAGCAACGCGGCCCGTTCGGATGCACGTAGCATCCATTGATATCCCCCTAGAGTCCACAAAATCGCAAAGATCTCTCTGATCATTTTTTCCGCCCTTTAGGCTAGATAGGAGGTGTCAGGGGGCGAGGTAGTGATATAGGCTCGCACACCTGAGGATGTAGGCTGCCTTGCTAGTTGCAAGTGAGTCATTCCCGACGGTGGGGCGTGATTTTATATGCGAACAAGGTAAGGCTTCACTGCCGAAACGACGAAGAGACGTTGGTTCAGCGTAGCACTGTCAAATGGCAACCGAACCTATGCACAGCTAAGTTTTTCTAGCCACGGCAGTGTTGCTCACTCCGTACCGGGTCCCGTGCGAGCAACCGTAGCCAGCGGAGTGGAGAGGGAAACCACTGTTCAGACGTTACCGGAGAAATTTGGTAACGATTGGATCCCGGGAGCGCACCCACAGAACTTGTCCATGGACCTGTGAAGAACACGACGGCAGCGATCTCCGATCATTCTCATCATCACTCCGATCTGAAGTTGCTTTTGTGATCTTTATGAGTTTAAGGCTAAGATTATGTTTTCAAAAAAAAAAAAAAAGTCGTACAACTCCCGGGCTTTCCGCCGGATCCGGTGGTGTGGTACGTTGACCTACGCCCTCATAAAACTCATCTGGACAGTGCTCTCCGGGAATTTCCGAACGGACCACCACTTCGCCCTGAGTCTCCTCTGCATTGCAAACCTCGCGTGGTTCTGCGGCACATTGCTACCCTGGTGGTTGGTGTTGTTTGGTAGAGTGGCACCGAGACCAAAGCCTGAAGAAGTATTGCAAGAACTGGGCGAGAACAACGCGAGAGAGCGGGGCGGCGGTTCAGCAGATGCAGCAGATGAACTTCGTCAACATGACCAAAAAGACGAAAAATCCCGTCGAATCGGAACAGACGAGAGACTTAATACGGACGCGGCTTCGACGACCCCAGGAGTGATGACTTCTCGTCAGCACTCGCGAGACATCAAAGTCGGACTGGCTGTGCCACAGTTTCGCCTGCACTGGGACTTCCAGTTTACGGGCACTCTTTCTTCGGTCTGCGGAGGGTAAAATGTTTGCCATTTGCTTGATACTCTACATGATCGCATCCCTGCTTTCGCGGTATCCTTTCGAGTGCTACGAGACGTGGTGCGCGTTTCACTTGGACGAAGCAAATCTGGTTCTTGGAATGCCGCGCCTGCCGCGTCTCAGTTCGCGGACAGAGGTTTTGGCGCGGAGTCTTTGGTCCGTGCTTCCAGTGTTCGGATTCGTAATCGTTGCCAGTGTGCCCTCGCAGTCGCGACACCGGGTCCGACATCTTTCGCAGGCCGGCGTACTCACTCACTCTGACGAAGAAGAGATGGACGAGCAGGCCCGGGAATCATTGGAGGAAGCGAGACGCAGCGACTCGAATCAACTACCGGAAGACACCAGGCCAACAAGCGCAACAAGGACTGCACGCGACACGCATCTGTCTGAGCCCTCCGCTACCGCGCACATGATCACGAGAGGCTCCGAGGACGTGGTGTTGCTCGAGCGCGCAGAGTGGACGAAAACCTTGCAGGATTTCATTCACTCGGCCGCCGCGTGCGTGTCCTTTTCTGTGCTTCTGCTCTTCGAGTCCATTCAACTGTTTTGGGGGGAAAACGTCCCCGTGTCGTACATAACTGCCGTGTTCGACTCGAACGCGACAGCGTTCGGTACCGAAGCAGTGGCGTCGCGTGAACTAACGCCGCGATCCCTGCAGGCATACCACGTTGGGTGCATCGACTGGACCACATCCCCGCGACCGTGGGACCTTTTCGTTTGGCTCCGCCTCTGCACGCTCCTGACCACGTTGTTGGCTGGGTTGACCCTGGCTCCCATCATGTTCCATAGATCGTTGGCAGTGTCGGGCTCTTGCAGACAGCGCGAGTCAGTCTTGTTCAAAAGCAAGAAAAATCGGCTGCGAGTGGCTCGATTGAGTTTCGCTCTGGAGGTGTTTGCGTCGTATGGGGTTTTTCTCCTGCCTCTCCTCGCAGCGTATCAGCAGTCCCTCACCCTGAAATTCGACAACAACAGTTTCTTCACGGAGGAGGTCGCCTGGCCAGCCTACCGCAAGTTGACTAGGATCCTGCCGCCGGAGAAGCTGTATCTGGAAGAAAGTGTGCCCTTTGACACCACGAACGATCTGGACGCAACGGGTCCCGACGTGCTGCAAGAGATGGAGATGTTCTCTGCGTGGGACATGGTGCCATTTCCGGTCTTGTGGGAGAAGATCGGCGTCACGGTTGCTAAGGCAGACTTGGCGCTCACCCGGAGGCAAGTGGCGCAGCAGCACAACGCGCAAACGCAAAAAGCACTGCTGTACGACATGGAGCCGGTTGTGCGGGCGAAGAACAGAACCATGCACGAATTCAAAGAGACGGGAACAGAAGAGTGGAGCCTACTGGATTTCAAAAAATTGGGGAAGCAATTACTGAGCGATGAGACAATGCTGCAATTGATTTCGGATGAAGCAGCTGTAATGGAAAAGTGAAGAAGACCGCATGTGCTACGTACACTACAGATGACCAGTGATAGCTGTAAAACTTTGAATTCTTGATTGTCTACATACAGCGCAGAGCGCAACTTTCGTTTGGAGGCACTTGTACAACACCCCTCCTTCGATCTTCAGCAATGCTGCGCCATTTGAAGATTCTCTTAGCTGACGTTGTCGCGGCCTCGTAGTGTCTAGAAGATCAATCACAAAAGAAAAGAAACAACAATTGCTCCTCAGGTCGGAAGTTCATGAAAAATCGATACTGGTTTACAATGATGCTGGTGCTCGTACTAGATCATTCGCGCGACATTGATTGCCCACGGACGGTGCGTCCGACATTTCTGTTTGAAAAAAGGTTGTCCTTCCCTGTTGGATTCCTTGAAATTGGAGTCTTTATCTTATTGCTTTTTTCAAATTGCAAATACCCTAGAGATACGTGTTCGAGAAGCCTCTGTCTTGGACTCCAAGCATTTAACTGTAATTGTAAACGAGATTTGATGTCCATGTCACCGATGGACAATAAGATTTAGAGTCGAACAGGTTCAACTTAACCGCCCTTCCTGTGCTACAACGTTTCGTCGGTCGTAAAAAAGATGGGGCTTATCCGGATAATTTCGGGGGAGGAGGTCCAGGCGACCATTCCAGCCGGTTTCGCAAAGCGGCTTCCACTGGTGAAGCGGTTGCTGGAAGGTGACGCCGGGCGCGTACCCGGTGTCGGGCGCAAGCAGGAGCTCAATTTGGATAGCTTGGGTCAGTCTTGGGGTTGCTTTTTGTTGGCGCTGAATAAAATCTCGCCCATCCCATTCCTGACCGGAGCTGAGGAAGACAAGCTTTGTAAGCAGGAGGGGGTGCTGAATCTGGATGGACAGGATCTGAATTACTTTTGGTTCTCTGAGGATCCCCAGACCGGAGCACTGTCGACGGTCCCGACTGTCTATGAGGTGTGCGAGTTCTTCGGCGGAGGCATGAAAAAAATCCAGAGAAGTCACGATCTCCTCTTTGGCACTCGGGACGAGCGTGCCTTGTTTTCTGTCTTACAGGCGAAGGACCGCGATCAAATGCAAGCTTTTCACCCGAGCACAGCAGATTCCGATGAGATTCAGCAGTACAACTTCGAGGATGCGGGGGCTTCCGGGGGTGGAGGCCATCCGCCGGCAAAGCGGCCGCGGATCTCGACTGGCGGGACGAGTGGGGGGCAAGAACCCAGTAGTTGTAGTGCCGGCGCGTCGCGGCCAGATGAATTTGCTTGCAGTACTAATGCTCGCTTTGTGAAACACCCTCGGGAGATAATCAACATTCATCCAGACCCTGTCACCGGGGCCGCGTTGCCTGTTGTGCGCGATCCTGCTTTCCAAGATGATGGGCACGGATGTTTCCCGCAGGACGTTCGGTTATTTGCGCCAGCGAAGGGTGCCAAGCAGGTGGCGCACTACGATAAGCTCGCCTCTTTGAGGGAGGCACGCGAGGCAGCTGGGCCTGCGTTGGCGGCCGAGTTGCTACGAGATATGGAATTTGATTCATCCATGCCGAAAGGCGTGCGGTGGGTCATGGCAGGCGGTAGCGTAGTAAAGGCTCTAACGCAGCCGCTGGCTAGCTTGGGGGGCAGCGATTTGGATCTCTACCTCGTCATTCCGGAGAAGGGCGTCGATGGCAATTATACGGGAGTAGAGCCTACTAATCCGACCGAGATTTGGAGGCGCGCTGTCCTTGCGCTGTATGCAAACATTCAGCGAGACGCATGCAAATTCAAGGTCGACACCATACACCGAACTGCGCACGCCGTCACGCTGCACCTAGTGGAGCGGCGCGTAGCGAAAACTTTGAACGTGCATGAAAAGCGGCTCGCACCAACACACTCGGGTGGCCTCCTTTGGCCTGACGACGAGGAAGAACAATTGCCTACGACACGAATTGATATTGGCGGTCAGTGGTACTGCGCGCGACATGAACATGATCTGTTGGTGTACCGGGTCCAGCTAATGTCAACGTACTACCCAAGCGTCTTCGAGATTCTCCGGAATTTCGATTTGCCGTGCTGCCAAGTGGCGTGTGAGGTAATGCCACAGCAACGTGGGGACGAGCAGCAAGAAAGCTTTTACACGACCGCACGGGGGAAGCTTGCACTGACGACCCGAAGCAATCTTTTGGCGCAGGATGACTCCGTCTGCATTTTGCGTGCCCGAAAGTACTGGCTCCGAGGCTTCGGCTTTGCTATTCCCACCTGCGGGCCGAGTGTGTCTGCGAAGTTTGACGAGCTGCGGGCTTGGTACAGCGACTACGCAGCCCAGAGCGAGTCTGTGTTTGCGGACACGGCGAAAAAATACCGTGGTGCGGAGTTGGCGGAAGCCGATCGAGTATGCGATTCGGAATTCTATCAGAGAGCCCGTGACGAAACTGACGAAATGTTCCGAAAAATCATATTGGACGACGCTTTCCAGTACAGCCAACCCAAGACCCCAGGGTTTCGTGAAGCCTATGCTCTTGCACGAGTTATTCGGGAAGATCAACGGGCGTTGCAAGCACAGCTGGCGAAGATCACTTTTCCGTGCTTCTGGATTCCCTTGTCAGAGCTCGAGCGGCTGCTTTGCTTCATGTTTGCGACCGAAGAAGAAAAGCCAACTCGACGTCCCTCTACCGTGGAGGCGGACGCGGAGGGTCTTTCTCTCGACCACTTGCGATTCGTGAGGGATTTGCAAGCTCATTGCTCTACAGAGAGAAAGATCAAAAATTCACCTTCGATGTCCACGTGCTCTCGAGGTGGGCTTATGGTGCCGCGGCCCCGCAATTGGCCAAACCATGAGAAACTCGAGTACTGGCCAGACGTGCCCAAACCATTGCAAGACCGCTTGGAGAAAATGTTGAAGGCAATGGGGCTGATGAAAAGCAGCGAAGCAGTAAATACGTTGGCCTCTGAGTCCGAGGTGCGTGGTCCCGCAGGACTTTCCGCGACAGCAAATGGTAGTCAAGAGAACCTGCGGCATTTTCCTGACTACGATACCTCAGTGGCTCCGGAACTTCAGGCCATGCTTTTTCCTTCAGATCATAAGAAATTGCTGTGCCGCACCTTCGGTCCTGCGGACAGCGGCGGCGGTATAAGCGTCAAGCGCATCACTGGCGGCGTCGGTTTCTACAAGCGAGTTTATGCGATGTCGCATAGAGTAGAGCCGTGGCTATATTTCACGGATAACATTGACCACATATTGTACCCAGGACGAGAAAGCATTCCCCTCGACGGCGAAAAATACTGGGCCTGCAAACAAATCATGAGCCGAGTGCCGATACCGTCGCACCTGCAGACGCTTCATGTGTATAGTCCAGCCGAGGCAGCGAAGGCATTGTGGAAGGCTGGCGATTCGCATGACGCGCCCGGTCATGCATATTGGATTTCGATGCGGTCAAAAGTTGGCGCCAAGTGGCACGTGCGACAGGGTATGCCTCTGGACCTGACTGCGCGGGAGATACTTGGTTTGGATTCTTGAGACATTTCAAGACTTCTTCCTTTTTTCATCATCCCTGCTAGCTAACACATAGTGTGAAAGTTGTAATAAGCGCATGCGCAATTTTGGCAGCGTGCATGTCCACGCTTTGTCCTCTTGCAAAAGTGCAAGTCGTCCACCTTTGTTCAACTTACACATCCGATGCTGCCATCGAGAATTCCATGCCCTGGGTGCTTTCTGAGAGTATTGTCACCGGTTTGATTCCTGCAGTTGATCTGCTCTTTCGGCGGTCGAAAACTACTTGGTTCGTTGTTTGAGAAGATGACTTTGGCGAGCGAAAAACGAAAGGCTAAGGTCCATTAACCATCTCAGAGTAGCATTCTCACGATCCAAGCGAAAAAAATGGCAGTGAAAAGTCGCACCGCCCTGACAAGATTGGGCTTTCCGGGTCCTTCTGCTTCGAAAGGCACCACGTCGTTCTGGCCTTCCAAGGCGTTGGAGCCTTTCGCGACGGCAAATAACGTCGTTCTACCCGCTTCGAGCACCCCGACCACCACTCGGATTCCCGATCGGATCGCGACGCGGCACTACCATATCAAATGTAAAAATGTCTGGGTCTGGAAGAGTCCGAACTTGTGATGCACATTTCAGAACACAGGAAAATCTCTCATGCATGGGTAGCAAAAGCTGCCCACTTTCTGTCACCAAAGTGGGGGATTTGTCATGCGGATTCGGCATTGCGGAAGCTTCTCGAAACCTGTAATGCTAGAGCTTCCATGCCAGACCTTCTGTGTCATGCAAAAACAGCATGACTCTTCCAGACCAGACCCAGACATTTTTACATTTGATATACCACCATTGCCAGCAACTCCACACGTTGTTCACGAGGCCGTCTTTGCCTTCCGCCACCGCTATCCAAAGTTTGACGCGCTCTACTTCCTCTTCCGGGCTGCTGCTTCGCGCATCCTCACCTTACCCGGTTTTCTGTGCCTTCCAGACGTTGAGGCGCTCCATTGTCACCGATGTCGAAACCGCCAGTCGCGGCGGGAAAAACCGGCCGCTGGAAAGCTGGGAAGAGGTGGAAAAGCACCACCTGAAAATTCCCACGCTGGACAACTACAAGCGGCCGAAAAACGCCCCGCTGCCGACGGAACTGACGAGAGCCGATTACCATCAGTTCATGCGGGGAAAGCCGCGTCGGTGGCAGCAGCAAACGGTTTGTCCGGCGGTAGGCGCGGCGTTGATCTGCTTCACGTTTTGCGAGATGGCCTACGCCATGTTCAAACTGAAACCGGACGACTTCGATTGGATCGAGGAGGAGAGAGCACGCGCCAGAGCCGCCCGAGAGCGGATCGACCTCGAATTGCGGAGGCGCGAAAAGGAATCGAAGACTGAGGCAAAGAAGATTCTGCAAGGCGGCGAAGATGTCCCGGGAATTACGGGGCCGGTCGCGCCAGCATGATCTGCGTGAGAACGACAGTATGGATCTTTACGAGACAATCTGTACTATACTTGCAGCCATGGAAGCAGAATGAGAGTTACAAGCAAGAACTTAGGTATGCAGACTCAGATTCTGCATGTGCCGCGCCAAGAATGCTGCATAGAGCGCATCGGTACTATAGCTGCTCGTACGATGGTCGCCCAGAGCTATGGAGAATATCGGTCTCAGATAAATAGATTCGAGCTCTTGTTTTCAGTAGATAGGATCAGGTGGGTTCATTCAAGTCTGTTCGACTGATTGATCTCTATAACGCAACCAGATCATAAAGCGATCTCACGGCGCCGCCGTTTTTCCCTGCATCGGCGGACCAAAAGAAGCAAACTTTGTCTTCTGGTCTAGTGCAACGCCCTTTGTGTTGGCGCACCTTTTTCCAAGATCAACTTTCATAATGCCAGCGACTACCGATGTACCCTGGGAACCCCGCAGCAAGTACGCCTCATAAGGTTTTTTAGCTGTGCTACATTACCAATACCCCGATTGTTTTTCACCCGGAAAAAAAGCTTTGCTTTTGGCTTTGACCATTTTCTTCTTGAAGCAGAAAGACAGATCTTTTTGTGTTTTTTCACGATCAACCTCATTTCACAAAGATCTTTTTCAAGGTCGTTTTTGACCCCTTTTTCCCCCGTATTTTATCTCCTCCGATTGAAGAATTCTTCAAAACCCTGAAAGCACTACGACCCACCTCGCCACAGACAAGTCCACCACCGAGTACTTAATTTTCTCGGAGACTGTACCAGGACGACCCGATACAACAACGAACCCCAATAAACCCCGCTGATTTTTACCTCCTTCGCAAAACACGGCATGGCTCTCCTGCAAGCGGACAGGGTCTTCGTCCCTGTGGGTTGTAATAACGAACGCCGAATAATTTTTCCCCTCGCCTAGCCCAACATAACATCGGACGGAGGATGGCGCGGGGTGCGAAAGTGGGGAGCGGCACCATAGGTGAGAGTGTCGATGCGGCTTTGGGGAGGGCGAGAGTCTCCTCGCCGGCGGTGACCGCGACAGAGAGCACGCGCGCCTTCCAGACAGACTTTGGACATCACACGCCGAGCAAGGGGAGCACAGCAGGTGACGAAGCAAGCAGAGTTGGAGGTGCACCGGTACTAGCATCGTCGTCCAGCAGGTCGAAGACGACGATGGACATGATGGCGTCGGCAGGGAAAAAGCTCCCGGGTGCGACGTTATTTCAGCAGGTGCTGGAATACCTCGAGCTGACACCCTGGCTGCTGGCGCTGCACGGCGCGGTATTTTTTGGCGTCCTCAGCCTCATCCTACAGGACAAAATTCGCGAAAAGGCGCACGAGGAGGCGTCAATATCCTTTTTCGCGAAGTCAGGCTTCAAAATCGGCGCGCCGCGGTATTCCTCGCAGTACGAAACGGCATTTGAGTGCTTGTCCTTCGCGAAAATCGTGCTCAGGTATATAAAACGTGCTTCTTCAGCCTTCGTAGAAAAGTGTGTTTCGAAACAACTATGACATAGTTCGTCTTTATCGTGGGGTCCACGAAAGAAGGAAAAAAAAATGGGTACTTGTAGTGAGCATTCTTCTCGCGGATAAATCAAACACAAAACTCAGGTCATTGTGCTTCACTTTTGCCCTTTTTCGCTTTCTCGGGGCGCGCACCCGGGAGGAGAAGAGCGCCACGGAGCGGGAGAGTTGGCTGGGTTATTTCATTTCGAATGCGTTCACCGCACTGTGGCCCGCGTCGACGCGGGGCGTCCTGGCAATTTTCTGTTTCGCGGTATCCCGAGGGCTGGTGGAAAACCTGTTTTTCGTGGTGCAGTACCTGGAAATTGTGAACTCCACCACGACACCCGCTTCCCGCCCCGGAAGTACCGCAGACGCCATCGCCGCCCCTCCACCGGCTCTGGACGACAGCGTGCTGGTTTGCGAAGTGTTCGACGCCGTGCGTTCGGTGTTCCTGAAGTCGATCCTGATTGTCGGACTGTTTGTGGGACATCGCTACATCCAATCGGAGAACGAGCCCGAGGAGTACCTGTCCTGGGCGACGTATATGGCAACGTTCGGCACCGCCACGGAGCAATATGATCCCAACGACATCAGGTCGACACACATGATGTCAACGCCGCATCAGGTATAGTGCGTTCATTTTTTTCCTCTGGTTGTCTATCTCGATGAAATAGAATGGGTCTTGACTTCGCTGTGCTTGCGGAAGGGCAGGCATGTGGTGCTGGCTGCCTGTCTATACTTCATTTTCTACCCCCGACTACAGCGCCAGGACCGAGCGTTTGGCCCAAGTAAAGACTCCCCGTACCATTCGCCGATAGATCGGCCGCTGCCGGATGAGATCGAGATGGAGCCGCTCGACATGTCGGGCACGTCTTCGCTGCCACTCTTGAGTGCGTCCGGGGTCCACCAACCGGACTTCGCCAGCAGCACAGCCGCGATGCAGATGTTGCGACCGAGTCCCACGCCCGCGACGCCCGACGTGCCAGAGCGCAAGAGGCGGACGCTTAGTGACGAGGCCCCGGACACAATGCTCTACGCACACCTGGCGGACAACAGCGTAGCAACAGATAAGTCCTCCCGCGGCACCCCCGACCTCCACGGAGGAGGTGACAAGTCTCCCACTAGCAAAGTGTTTCAGAAGAGTTTTTCGGAAACGCTTGAAAGCGGCGAAGTAGCGGGGGCGGAGCCCATACCGTCGCCGCGCTCGCGCGGGAGCAGCTCGGTGCCATCCCGACCGCCTTCTCCGATGGCCAGTCCAAACGAACCTCCGCCGGTAGACGAGAAAAGCCCGCCAGCGACGTGGCACGGCGAAAGCACCGGGCGAACGGGACTGGACGGCTTGTTTCCCGGTAGTCTGGATAACAGCGGCACGGTTTCCGCCACGGATCAGGAGCTGAACGGCGCAAAGCGAGCGCCCTCGATGGGGAACAAGACAATCGCGTCGTTTGGTTTGCAACAGAAAGCGAGCCCGCTCAATCCCTCACCAAGTGCGGACGATAACAGCTTCGACGACTTGTTCGCCAAACTGGGGCGCCGCCACGCACACACCGTGATGCTTCCCGCGCCCGAAGTGCCGCTGCACACGCACGACGTGCTGCTTAGCGGGGCCGGTTTGGACTTTTTGGATCCGCTCGATAGTTCGAACACGTGGAGCCACCCGCACGGGCAGAAGCTTTTGCAACATGCGATGACCGCGCAGAACCTGTCCTTGGGCACCAGCTCTGGCGCAGCAGCCCAGGGATCAGTGCATCCCGACCGCGAAGTTTCCGGCGAGTCTTCGAAATCGCCCGGCGCGGCGCAGCGACACAGACCTGCAACAGCAGCGTCGACTTTCAAAAACGTGCCGGCGCTCACAACGGACCGTAATTGGTTTCTGATCCAGCCGAGAAAACCCTGGCAACCCAGACAGTTGTGGCGGAAGCTGCGGTTCTGCGTGTTCGGGCTGGACCCGTTTTCCCAGTCGCTGAACAGCTACGCGCAATACTTTGCCGGGTTCATCTTGCTCTGTTCGCTGTTTGAATGTGTTGGAGAGGTCTTTCTGTTCCAAACCGTGGATAGGCAAACGTGGTTGGGCCGAAGGTTGATAACCGGTAATTGGAGGCACGCGGTCTACGTAGCGCTCTTCTACCCGCTCGAGACGCTGGTGCTCTTCGGACTGCTCTACTTTGTTCGCACGCGCGTCTTGGTCGTGCGGAACGAAGACAACGGGAGCAGCACGAAGACGCTGAGCAAGATGGGCATCTCAATCACCACGAAAACGAATACGAAGACGACGACTGTTGTTGACCATGGCAATCATGGAAGCATTGGAAACACCTCCGCCACAGCGACTGCCTCCACCGGTCTCGTGGCTGCTGGCGCTACCGGGAGCAGCACGACGCCGGCGATCCCCGGGCGCAGTCCGGCGTTTTCATCCGCGAATGTCCCGCCGGGCGTCGCGAACAACGACAGACATTGGATTTTCGTCGCGGTTCCCGCGCACTGGTCGCGGATCTTCAACGACCTCGTCCGCGGTTTGATCTGTTTCGGACTGATCTTGATGTCGCACCGGGTTTGCTCCGGCATGCTGTCCTTCTTCATCACCATCGAGTGCAAGCACATCGAGAACGACATCAACCAGTTCGTGCTCAAGTGGCGCTCCTACACGCGGAAGCAGCGTCAGGAGCGGTACCAGAAGCTGTCCGACCGGGTGCGGATCTTGGACAAGAAGCTGTTCGCGATCTTGCACTTCGTTTTCAGCGAGCACGTGATGTACATCGCGTTAGATGCGATTGACGCGCGGTGCGCGCTAACCCGGGCCCGGCACTTGGGGCTCTTCGTGTTGAGGCATCTGATCGGCGTTTGCCTCGCGTGCGTAGCGATGTGGCACGCGGGGGTCGTCAACTACGCGATCTACGAGGGTGTATGGAGCAAGGTGGAGCGCGAACGACTGCACTTAAGAGACGACCAAGTCCTCTACCGCCGAGAACTGAAGGACTGGACGTCGTTCCTCGCGCACGCGTCGCGGTGGTCGCGGTCGGTGTGCATCCGGCTGTTCTGGATGCGGTACGCGCTGACCTCCAACGTCGTAATGGGCCTTATCGTGTCGTTAGTGCTCTGGCCCGCCATTGCAAAGATCGTGCTGGCAATTGGCTAACGTGAGTATCGTAGCTGATGTTCATCATGATGCACATAGTCGGCCTCGGCAAACACTGGTTGCTCGGGGACAGGCGCTGCACTGGAAGCGACACTGCGGGCATTGGGTAGCTCTGTTGTCGCCTCTCAACAGATACTCAGTAGTGTAGGAATTAGAACCTTCACACACGTATGAACAACCCGATAAATAGAAGAAAGCGCAAAGTACAAGTAGTAGAACGTAAAGAAACGAAGAAATCACTGCGGAACTAGGAAGTTTTCCTCTTCCTTTAGCTGCTCCGGTGGTTGTGTTCGATGCGAAAATCGGTCTTTCTGATCTGTCGTTGCGCCGCATTTTTTCACTAGAATATGAAGATCTCGGCGAAACACGGATCAATCCGAGGCAGCGGAATTCTTTCGAGTGCAGCGTACGTGCGGAAGTTCCCGTATTGGTAGCGTTGTTGATTATTAGGTGAAAAGTCAGTTACTTCTGAGTTGTGTAAGAACATCTCGAGAATACAGATATCAAAAATGATGCGTGTCTCGGTGCTTGTCTTGTCAGCCATCGTGCTGAAGGCCTCCGGTTTGTCCGTGAAGAAAGCGTTGAAGTGCTGCGATCCGGAGGCGAAGCCCGACATCGGCGGCGAGGCGGACGCGGAGGTGGCCACTACTCCGAAGGCGGAAACGGGTACCGGTGATGCGACGGAAGAGAAGAAGGAAGAGGAGATCGCCCCCATTGTCGAGGAGGAGAAGAAGAAGACGCCGGAAGCCACCCCAGACGCGTCTCCGAACACCGGCACTGCCCCTGGCTCCGATGTGGAGCCGGCGACCACTGGTATTGTTTGTGCTGAGTGTGGCAATTACGTATGTACTACAAGTAATTTCCCTGCAGATGATGAAACGTAGCCGCCGGCCACATGCAAGTGCGCCTTCCGGATACTCCTCCTCTTGGTGTTTTCGTATTCATCGCGTTGAAACAGAGCTCGTAATCCTTGTGCTCATTCCCTCCACAGGTGGAGCGACGCCGGCGGCTGCATCCTCCTCCTCGCAGGACCCGGGGGCAACGGAGGAAACCGCGGTGGTCCCGAATGCGGACACTGGCGCGGCATCTGGAACCGGCGAGTGCAAAACCAAAGGCAAGAACAAGAAGGGCAGGTGCTCGATCATGTAGAAGGAGACCCGAGGACGGGTCATCTGCCGCTGGGCCTGAAGAAGCTTCTTCAGAACCCAGAGTTGGACTTGGAATAAAGTAGATGTACATTATGAGACTATAGTTCAACAACTTCTGAAGCTCTACTGTAGACCCAGCCTGCTCACGAGGGAGGCATGCTCCTGTGGTTGTCCACGAGGGCGGAGGCATATTTACTCCTGATGGCGTTTCGTGCCTTTGGTTTTGCATCTTTCAATGCACCGATTTTGCCAGTTTTGCCGTACCGTACTACAAGGACCTGTGATCATTGCTAGCACTCCCTCAGGAGTGCAGCCGCACTGCTTGACGACGCCAGTGACTTTCTTCGTGCTTGTTCTGTCCGGTTCCAGGTAAAAATTGAAGATCTGCGCAGAAAGCACAGCCATGTGGATGCATCAAGGTTCTGGTGAGTCGTTACGATCTGCGAATCTGCTCGTGGATCTACGAAGGCAGCACTTGCAACCTAGTCCATGACCACGATCTTCTGATTTTCTTTCCTCTTGTCGATCGGCGTTGACTGCGGTTTTTGCTATCGATCTGCTTTTCCACGCGGCGCCATTTTTTTCTGGATCTTGGTTTGTTTCAATTTCCCTTAGAAATCCATTATCTTACACGTAAATCTTACCTACTTCGTTTTTTCCAAACCGTAGGGCACAGAGGGGGCAAGGTGCACTGAAGAAGACTAAGGCATCTTGTCTCAAGTTTCAGCTGTACTGCTTGTGTGCAACTTCTCTGCGACGTTGAACGCCTCGTGTGTGCAACTTCTTCGCGACGTTGAGCATAAGTTGGTACATTGACAAAGATGGTTCCGCTACCTCGGCTTCTCGACGCCGCTGCGCTCGTGATTGCCGTTCTCCGGCAATCGTGTGTGATCCAGGAGAACGGTGCGACGCCTTCGGTGTCCTTCCTGCAGAATCACAGTACCGTGTGCGTCCATACGGATAACCCGCTACTGCAACAAGGTATGAAGTTGTTTCATTTGCTGTGTGTTTCTCGATTCATTGTAATGTTGCAGTCCCGTATATGAGTAACTGTTTCTTGAGCATGCAGCAGAAAACGAAAACGTTTTTCTCTATGATGTGACAGTGCCTTGGGAATCCGTACTAGAAGTAGTAACCTTCTCAACCCCAGGAACGCGCCTAGCGACCAAAATTTGTTGAACTCAAACACAATAGGTCCGCGCGATGCGCGGTTCAGCACTGTGTCCCCCAGCTTGTTGAAGGTTGCCTCAGCACTTTTGACGACAGCGTCCACCACCACCCCGTTGTCTTGGTCGACAGCCACTACGCTTTCCCCGGTCACTTCTTCGGTTTGGACTGCCAGCCAGCACCGCAACCCCGTAGCCACCGAGGAGCACGCACTGGAAACCTCCATGCGGTACCTGCGGGGCCTGCCTATGTCGCGGCCGAGTGACTGGTTCCTGCGCCCCGACCGATTTGAAGCTGATCTGCGTGGACTAGTTCGGCTGTTGCAAGACGGCGTGGAGTCGGATACTGGAGTGAATTTGCTGCGGAAGACCCGACTTGCGACGGTATTCGGCTGCAGCTCTTTTCTGGATAGTTTGTTGTTCTTTTCTGGCATAGTTTTACGTTCCGAGCTTCGAAGGAGACAAGTTGAACCAAAGAGCGGTAACCTCGTCGCTTTCCCGACAGCAGATTCGCGTTGTGATCATGTGTGCGCTCGGTATCAATACACGAATGTTATCGTATTCCGCTTCTTTCTGAATCTGATATTCAGGTACACGACACTGCCGACGCGCGCGTGACCTTGATCCGCAAAGACACGCCGCCACAGACCCGGTGTATGGGTGAGTGCGCCATTGGTGCGATCGCCGTGTACTGGGCGTGTGCCCTGGAGTGTGTGCACAAACTGGCCCCCAATAGCTGCATCACGACGGTGTGCCAGGGCGTGACGGCGGGCGCAGAGGCGAGTTGCCTGAAGTACTGCAAGGATCACTACCCGGATCCCTACCCAATCGACACAACGACGGTCACGACAACGGCATCAAGAACCGAAGGCACAACCAGTGCCGCGCAGGTCGACGAGGACGCAATGGTAGTCTAGAGGTCGTAGTTCCATCGGTAGAGGCGCTTCGTAAGAGGTTAAATATCCGAAATCTGTATGGCAACTCAGTAGGTAGTAGATAAGGCACTTCAACAGAGCACGTGTCATGACGAAATGCAGACCGTGTCTCTGAGTGAATCCACTAGAGAATACAGGATGTGTCAGCCCTTCCTTTTGCACTCGACAGATTGCTTTCCTTCGCAGGAGTCGCATCGGTTGGGCGATTGGAGTGGGCTGAAAAGTGTACATAGACTATATTTGTGTATTGGTCGTTTGCTCTTTGTCACCGGTATACGTTCACTACTTCTGCCGCAGGAAAGTGTTGCCCTGCTGTAAAAACATTCTGGACACTCCAAAAATGAAGAAAGTGGTCTTTCTAGAACTTTCCTGATGTGTTGCTGCGGCAGCGGAGCTCACTACTACTGCCGCTGCGGCTTCGCGATTGGGTTGGAACATGAAGGGATCCTCTTCTCATCCAGGGGCAGGCTTCGTTACGATTTGTTGTTCGCACTAGGCGAGGTCGTTCTCGTTCCTAGAACATTTGTTAGCAGATATTTATGGCGGAAATCTCCAGAGGAGAGTTGCTTTCTTGTGTAGCGTTCTATGTAGAAATTATCTTGTTTGCATTGCCTTTTCTAACCTTGCAGTTATGTTAGCCAAACCTATCTTTTTCTTGTGCTTTCTATCTCGATGTGCATGTGCGTTGGAATTGCTCGGAAATTGCAGCAGTAGCAGACCGACTTGCGCGATGGATCGCAGGCCGACTTGAAGTCGAAGGATGCCCACTTATTTCTCGACTAGGTCGAAATTGCAAAGGGAGACCTTCGTAAGGCTGCCATGTGTCTTATAGGACCCAGCACGCTATCACTATCGGCAACTCTTTGTGTACGTAAATGCATTCGATAGGGACGCACTGCAGCTGTTGGCCTTCAATGCATCGCACCACAGCCAAGGTGGAGGGGCGCAGCTGCAAATGTTGCTGCCCCGGAGAGTGATACAGCGACCCAATTATAACACGGACGCACTTAATATCAGATTGCGTACGCGCAGTGACTTCTCGTAGAGCGCTAGTTCCTAGAACACGCAATATCTGAGCGTCAATTGCGGAGGGGCATTCCGTTAAGCCCCGTTTCCTAGAAGCCGCAACGTGTTGTAAGTAACAAGAGTCGCAGTGGTGTCAGTATCTATCAGCTCTGAGAACAGACCGAACCTCAGCTGCCTACTAGAAACCTCGCCAGCGCTGCCGCTTACAGAAATGTAGCAGGTCCTTCTAGTGCAACTCTTCTGGTGTGTCGCTGCGGCAGCGTCGTTCATCACGCCGCTGCGGCTTCGCAACTGGAATGGAAGCTGAAAGGAGCCTCTACGTGTCGAGTTGCGGGCGTTGGTATGATTGTGTTGGCAGTAGAAGAGGTCGCTCCAAGAACATAGCAGATGTGTGAGGTCTATATTTCCAGAGGAGAGTGTCTAGCACGTGCTCGAAGCTAGTCTTTTTGCTGCCATATTTCTTGTTTTTTTGCTGCTATGCACTTGCAGAAACTTCTTATCTCGTTATCTTTCAAACGTATCGCTTCGTTTTGCCTCAAAACCACCTTCTTTTTGTCTGTATTTCCTCAAACTTTTCTTTCTATCGCTCTGTAATGTGGCACTGTGGGGCAACTGCAGCAGACCAACTCGCGCTGCATCGGGAACTATTTGTGTAAATGCGAGCGCTGGGGTCGGGCTGTGACGGTTGTCTCTCAATGCATTGCAGTGCCTCAAAGGAGCAGGGGTGTATTTGCAAGAATTTGCAAGAACCCCCCTAGATCTATCAAGCGCTCCAATTACACAAATGTGTTTGATATCGTGATCTCCCAAAATAGGGAACGTGCGTTGCACTTTCGCGCTAGAAGCCGCAGCATATAAGAAGCAGCGAAAGCCGCACTGCTATCAATAGCGACCATTTTCTAGAACAACAACAAGTACTCGTAACATAGCCACCGCAATGTTTTTATCGTGCTCGCGCGCGACTGCTCATGTCAGTTCTTTTTTGCCATTCGGATTTTGACCTGACAGTGCACCGCCTGTGGTCAACAGACACTGCCAAGGTCTTCGTGCACCTTGCCCCCTCTATTAGAAAATGAAAATCGGCGGACGGTTCCGGCCTGACCCGGACAAGAAACGACTTCGCTACGCTATGCCCCAAGTAGCATTTCTGCAGTCTGGCGCGTGTTCTGTCTCTCATGGAAAGTTGGTGACAATACAAGGAATTCTTTGCCCAGGATGCCGGAGAGAAGCAGGAGTGAGTCCATTTCCGCAAAGACAAATCGGCGTGACTTTGGTATCTAGGGTGGATGGTAAGTCACGGACAAAGTAGGTTCTTGCGAGACGCAAATAGATAGGCACATGCACAGCCACTGTTACATCGAAAACAAGTCTCTACCAGTCTGATAAGGCTACGCGGCGATTATGCTACCATTGACATAGACACGCACTACCCAAGATGGCAACCTCCGCTGACGGCCCGGCGCGGAACGAGCAGGGTTCCCATCCAGTGCGCCTTCCGCCGGTGCAGCTGGAGCTCTTCCTCGCAGAGGATGGAGAATCACGCGTAGTGTCACATGCGGAGCTCGTCGAGAACGGCCTGCTGTGGTCGAAACGTACCCAAGCGTCCCGCGTGGGCTACCACCCGACCCCTGACGAAGGCGCATACATTCACGTGGCGCGGCTCAAGGAATATTTGTTCCAAACGCTTGGAGGTGAGCGTGAGGACGCCAAGACCGCGGACGAGATTCCCCGAACGCTCGACGAGATTCGGAAGCGTGATCCGCGGCGGATACAGATGACGCGAGTTGGCGTGCCCCTTGAAACTACCGGGCTCAACAAGACGCAGTTCTTGCCACCGATAGCTAAAAGTACCACTAGAGGAAGTCCACCTGGCTCCGGGTCAGCCTCGCCATCGGGGAGAACCACCTCGGTGTTGAGGCGCGGCTACGACGACAGGTTTGCCGCAAGTGCCGTCACAGCCGCGAGTTACCTTCAGGTGGAGTCCGTTAATTTTCCGGGAAAGAAATGGATTCCCAGTGCAAGGTTCCTGGATCTGCGGTTTCACCCTGCAACGCATTTCCGTGACCTGGGTAAAGAATTTCATCTCTCCATCCCTGTTGCGGACCGGGAGTTTTTGTTCATTCCACAGCTGCGACCCAAGACTATGAAGGTACAGAATTTATCTAGTCCTGAATTGTCAGAATCAAGTTTTTTGCACGAGACATCCTGATATGTGGGTGTGTGGATGTCGAATATAGAGCATGAATATGAATATGAAGTCTAGGAATCTGAAATATCCGCATTGTAGGGAGGTGGTGGACTTTTCGGACGTGCCCGCTGACACACTACCACCGGCGGAGCAACCGGGCCAGCATGGTGATGCAACACTACCCAGTGGACAGGAGGTGCGGTTTCGGTTTTCGCTGAAGCGAAAAGGGCTCTCCCGCGACGCGGTGCGAAAGCTAGTAAGCCGCGATGACTCATTTCCGGTGGTACTTCCGGAAGTTTACGACGTGTTCTCGGATGACGACGAGTCGGATATGGAAAGAGAAAGAAAAGCGGTCATCGAAGCAAACCCGGGTGCATTTTCGCCGAAGCGAAGCTCAGGCAGGGGTAGCGTACTGTCCCGCCGCCCCACGCGCCTCGGTTGGCGCGACGTTGAAACGCAGCGTCGAGTCGTGTGTTTCCGGGAGCCGTGGCGCGCAACGCTGGAGAAACTGCTGCATTCCATGCTTGGCTTCAGCTCTCGGAAAGAGGACGAGACGAAGCAGATGAAAAAGGACTTGGACAAGGCCTTTCAGGAGGCAAAAGAGCAGAAGCGCGGTTCTTCTAGTACTCCTGTGGACCACGAGTCAACCGGCGGGGCGGAAAGAACTTCTGGAGAGCTTTCTCCTGCGGACCGGCTTCTGTATGCCTACTACGGTGGGGAACCCGGGGCGACGAATGCGGAGTCTCTCGCGGCAGCCGGGCTGGTTCGCAAGAAGGACAACACCGAGGAAGATCCGAACGTGCCGAAGCGCACCATGACCCAAGCTGAAAAGCAAGCCCTAGCGAAGGCGAGGAAGCGATTTTCCATTCCGTCGCAGAAGCTGGGCCCGAACTTTGGCACATTCGAGGAATTGCGTTTCACGATGCAAGAGCTGTTCGACATGTTCGCGCAACCCGAGGTGTTCGAAAAAGACGGAAAGGAATCGCTGGAAGCCTTGTTGCTGGGTGTTCCGAAGCCGGACGCCGCCGTGCATGAGGGCAAGGATGTGGAAACGGTTCTGTTTGATTTCAACCCTCTCCGGCTGAAGCCGCTGCAAAAGCAGCTGTGTCTGCGCGCCCCGGGCGGCAATGAGTCCCTCCCCCTTGCGATGCGGAAGACGAAGAAGAAAGAGCAGTCCTCAGTAGATCCTCCTACTCTAGACCCGACGCTCGTCGCCGGGCTTGGCGAAGGCACGAGCCCGGATAGCTCGCCTGCCGCGAAGAAGACTGGCGAGAAAAAGCGGTACCGCTTCGAGTTTGGCTCTGGGTCAAAGGCGGAGATCAGTGACGATCGAACAGTGACACTCACCAGCGACTTAACGGCCACGCTGCAGAAACAGGGGCTGCTGCCGGACGACAAGGCCAAGGTGCTGGAGATGTACGAACGGTGTCTCGTCCCGTTCTTTCACCTCTTATGCGAAAACGGACCGGCGGACCTGCTGGAGGAACTGGTTCGGTTGTGGGACAAAAAGGAGCTGCACGTCCTGGAGCGGTACGTCCTTCCGGACGAGGGCGCACCGCGGCCTGCCTACGCGGCGCTTTCGTATGTGGAGCAGCAGGCGCGGGCGCAGTTACGCGGCGCGCAGTGGCGAGAAAATGCAGGAGACCAGCGCGAGGCCCTTGGAGAAGAAGAGAACACAGGAGCGCCGTCCTCTTCCGGTGGGCCTTTTCAGCAGCATCTCGATGACAACGACCCGAGAAAAGCTCCGCCGCCTTCCGGAAACATTAAAGCAGCGACGGCAGCAGGTTCTAAGAAAAAGTACTCGCCGAAAAAAGTTGTGGGATTTCGGTGCGTCGACGACAGTCCGGTCGTACCGGTCGGGGCGGGGAGCAAGAACATAAAAGGGCACAAAAAAGAGGGCACCAGCAGCTCGGGGGGTAGAAACGAGAGCAACGCCGATCCCACAATATTAAGCAACAAAAAGAGGCAAGTGACTACGCCATTCCTTTCGACGCCGCTGCACGCCGCAGCAAAAGGAAATCGCACTGACATTGCCGAAATGTTGCTGCAGTGCGAGAAGGACGCGTTGGAGCGAGACGCGTACTTCAGGCACTTCCTACCGGACATTCTGCAGGAGACCACCATGTTGCACGCCAAGGACGAAAAGGGTTGGACGCCGCTGCTTTGCGCCGCAGCCCGCGGCCAGATTTCCATGGTTCGCTGGCTTCTAGAGCAGAAGGCGGATGTGAACACGCGGGGGGCTGTTCGCGGCGAGACGCCCCTGTTTCTCGCAACTGCCAGTGGGAACACCGAGCTAGTGCAGGAGCTGTTGCGGCTAGACGAGCACCGCTACCGCTGGAACCACGCGGGCGAAAACGAAGTGACTGCTGTTGGGGGCGACGTTGCTGAGAGAACAACTGCGCTTGTTGAGAAAAACTCTGACCCCGCGAGCATCCTTGACCAGCACGTGCAACAGCAACTGGACGCGCTGCTGAAAACCTCCGGGTCAGCTGGTACAACCGGGGGTGATTTTCAGACGAAAGTTCCTTTGTTTCAGGAATATCTGAACTTCAACACCAAGCTGTACGACAACATGGAGACGCCGTTGACGCGCGCTTGCTGGGAGGGTGATCTGGAGATCGCGAAGATTCTGCTGGACACCTTGAAGGACGAAACTCGGTATGGTATGAGCCAGCGCATTTTGCACATCAACAGCAAAGACGGGCTCGATCGCACGCCACTGCTGCACGCAATTCTCGGCAAGAAGCCGCTGGACATGGTGCGACTGCTTCTCGAGTACCGGTACTGGGCGAACTTCAACGTGCACAAGAAGAAGAAAAAACTGCACTACAAGGAGAAGCCCGTAGTGCATTTATCCCCGATGCAGCGCCGGAAAATGATGGAAAAGAAGGACGGGCACTTCTCGATGGACATTCCTCTCCTGCTGCCGGACAACAGCGCGCTCGCGTCCACGCGGCCGCGCGTGGGTCTGATCAAGGAGAACAACGTGGAGTCCTGGTTTCTCCCCTCCTGGTACGCGGGACCGGTCGAAACAATCGGGCCCTCGCCGAAGAAGAAAACACGCAGCCTGTCGCCGGTGCGCAGTCGCAGTACGCTGCTCGACTTGATGGGCAGAAAGGACACCACCCAGCTGTTGCACGAGAAGCGACCGAAGTACGGGGAAGATTTCTACCTCTACCCCGACCCGAATGACAACAAAAATTTCCGGACCGCGGCCGACGCGCACGCAGTCGTCGCGAACGCGAAGGATCTTCGCGTCGAGGGGCTCGAGTCCGACGACGACCTCGATCTGGTGCCCGACGCCGTCGTGAAGAGCCGCCTACCGGAGACGCAGGTCCTGGATCTGAACGCGACTTTGCTCCCGTCGAAGAAAACCGCATTGCACTTGTCGGTGGGGTTCGCCGAGAACATCGGGCTGGCGGAAAAGTTGGTGCGCCAGCTTCTCCTCGCGGATTTAACGCACCAGCGACTGGTCAGCACGCGCAAGGTTTCGCGGCGCGCTGGCCACGCGTTTTTGGATGTCAACGCGAGGGACGGAACGGGGGAGACTGTCCTGTACCAGGCCGTGGACATGAAGCAAATTTCCTTGGTCAGACTGCTGCTGTCCCACAACGCGATTGACGTGAATGCGCACGTGTTTGTTTCTTGTGACGACAGGCATGATCACACGGCAATACCTGCGGAAGATGGTGATGCGAAGGAGCGAAAGAAGGAGACAGAGGACGAAGGGATGAACTCGCCGAAACAAGCTTCTGAAGTCAATTCTCCCACCAGTGTGCCGGCGTCTTCAACTTCATCACCACAGTCGGTAGCAAGCAAAACGCCCTCGCCACCCAAGTCCCCCAAAGGATTCAGCTCGCCAAAGGCAGGAGCGAAGGCGTCAGCGAGTTCTGGCAAGAGCAAAAAGAGTACCGGCGTTTCCGCGTCATGTAAAGCAAAGCCCAAGGCGGCTTCTCCCAAGGCCGCTGCTGCGGCAGAAGCTACAGCAAAAGTAGCGGTGGAAAAGAAAGTAGTAGCGAAGCCGAAGCGCAAAACCGCATCGGACGGGAAATCTCCGCTGCTCCGTGCGGTGGAGCTGCGGCATGTAGTCATGGTTCGCGCATTCTTAGACTGGGATCGAGCGCTGCGTGCGTCCGACTTTTTTCTCCCGGAAGATTTGGCGGAAATCGCAACGGCAGCCGAGGCACAAGAGGCGCAAGACGTCATTCTGTCTGCAGCGATGAAGGCCGAAGCGCAGCGAAAGGCGGAGAAGTCCACACTGTACGCGCTCGGCGAAGGGGATTTCTTGCGCGAGGTCGCTGCGCGCTTGCAAAAGGAGGAAGATCGTGCCGAAAAAAACAAAGCCGCGTCCTCGTCTACCGCTTCCAGCAAGAAGGGCACGCCACGAGGCAGCAGTATTAAAGCCGAAAAATCTGCGGCTTCCAAAAAGGCCTCGGCGAAAAACACACCGCGAGGGAAGAACAAGGGAACAGCTACTGCAAACAAGACAGGTGAAGACAACAAAGCGAATAAACAACCGAAGTCTAAAGCCACCTCCGGAAACGCCTCGCCAAAAGAAACAGGCACGCCTCAGCATGGAGCAATTTTGCAGGAACCCACGGAGCCGCTCGACGCGACCAGTCCGATTCCTTTCCTCCTGAACGAACCGGCAGGAACAAATGCCGACGGGTCCTCTAAGACGAGTCCGCCGGTTACCTCGTCGCCGAAAAGCGGTAATAAGAAGGCGGGCAAGCAGCTGGTTTTGGACTACGCGGACAAGCCGCTGCCGAAGCTCCCTTTCTACGACGAGGAGCCCGTATTGCAGTGGAAGATCCGAGGCTGGGATGCGGAGATTGACCATATTTTCCGTTTGGCCGTGGTGGTGGATAAAAAGATCCAGATCCGGTCTAAGCGGTTAAAAGTGAACCAAAACATTGACTACGCGACCGTGAAGGTGCTGCGCATCGACGACCCCGACGGGCAGGGCTACAAGAAGGAAACCGCGGAGGGCAACTGGCGGCCGACGGCCAGCGGGGAGGGGGTGCGGGTCTTCGTTGAGATGGAGGGGATCCGGGACACGAAGAAGTTCCTCATTTGCCGCTACCAGGTGAAAGAAGTGTACGACGCTGAGATGGTGAAGCGCCAGCGCATCAAGAAGTACCTGCTCGCGCGCGCGGACCAGCGGAAGGCGAAGGATGTTGGGAAAAAAATTGGGCAGAAAATACTGGCGGAAGTTCTGTTTGGGGATCAAAACTACAACAACAGCTTGTCCCTCCAAGCGGGCCGTTGTAACCACAAGGACGACGACGTATTGGGAACAACCGGTCGTGCCGTTGGCGTGGACCCGGACGAGCCGGTGAGTCCGAAGAACGAGTACCTGAAGTCTTTGGGCGCGAAGTACAGCGATGACCCGGACGCGAAAACGCTTCTCGGTGTGGACGTGATGAGCGTGGACCCGTTTTCCTTGCACCAGCAAAACATGAGCTTCGCCTGGTCGACTAGCACTGGTGCGGTGGAAGCGCCGGCAGGTGGACGAGGGAACAATGGAATGTCCTCGGCGCGCACGAAGAAAAAAAGCGGGAATGTAAACAAAACCGAAGTGACGAAATCCAAGCCGCTGAATCCGAACATTCAGGATCGCGTCACCGGAAAGACTCCACTACACATTGCCGTCGAAACGCAACACATTGACATGATTCGGCTCTTGCTGACGCACCCTTTTTGCAATCCGCACGTGCCGGACCTCCTCGGGCGGACACCCTCGATTCTCGCGACAACCTTGCCCGTCGGGATGGAAAAAGATCGAATTTTGAAACTGTTTGAGAATATGCAACGAGATGACCACGGATGAGCCAGAGGTATGGGCGATCTGTTTCGGATACAGAAAGTGAAAAGGACGAACACAGATGAAAACGATCCTGCAATTCGGAGGCTCGAAAGAATGACTTCTTTCGAAGTCTGGATGGTGTGTTTTTGGTAACACCAGAATGTTCCTGTTCCTGTTCTCATGCAAAGTTTTTTGCATGCAAACTTCAAAATAAATTGATTTTACCAGTCGCAGTTTAGATGATGGGTTTCGGTTGTATGATGTGCCCATTAATTTGCAATCAGCAGATGTCTCTCGTGAAAGAGCCGCCAGATGCTGAAAACAAATGCCTTAGTTAAGTAGCCTAAACTTTATCTTTAACTTTTACGTTTTCACTAAAGTGCAGGCTTCTTTGCACTTGTTGGTTGCTGTAGTTTTCTGCAATACCGTGCAGCCGCAAAATCATGTTGTGGGTTGTGGAAGGTTTGCTCGAGTTGAAACGGACACCGGAGCGTCATGCGGACGCTTGGTCGGGTAGCATGACTTGCTTGATGTTGCTTCTGCCCTCCGCTGGAATTCACGCCTCTGTGGGTAGCGACCTTGGCAGCGAGAGTCCTTGGTACTACGTGCTGACGGTCTTCCTGGTTCTCTTGTTTTGCGTTGCTTTTTACTTTCTGCTTGCGACGTGGCTGACGGATCCGGGGACGCTGCCAAAGAGGTTGGAGACTCCGGATGAGATCTTTGAAATTTGCAACATTTGCCCGCCGGGTGTAGCACCAGAGCCAGACGAGGAAGCGAAGAATGCAAGCTCAACATATCGCGACGCGAATCCGCCGAGGCTCGTCGATTTGGAGGAGGAATTTCTACGAAAAGGACAACAAAATGCCGCCGCCGCTTCGACAACGGAAGGGACTGAGGCTGGAGATTCCACCCTGCAGACGACCACGTTGTTCCCGATTGTTGAGTTGCACAAGGTAGTAGATGCAGGTAGAAGTGGCGGGGCTAGGGAATCAGGAGACACCAGCTCGCAACCTTTTGTCGTAGAGGACGAGCTGGAGCTCGACGAGAAAGGTGAGGTCAAGCGACCATGGATGCAGCCGGACCCAGTCACTGGCAAAATGGTGTATTAAGCTGCATTTTTTTGTGGTCGAGCTTGCGTTTTTAGTACGATCTTTTTTGTGGCGTCTCCGACGTAGCTTATGTAGTTACCGTGCTTCGCCGAATTTTTTCCTCTTGATCGCAAAAACACTACACAGGAGCCGTCCTACTATGCGGAAGAGCCGATTGCGGTGTTCTTTCGGTGCGGCGATCCGGAGAAGCCGACCTGTGTCCTGAAGGAGAAGCTGCGAACCGAGGTGGAGCAGAAGCGCTGGGCCAAAATGAAAAATGACCCGTGGCCGCCTCTAGCGGCGTTGGAAGAAAATCGGCGGCAATACCGGGTAAAAAAGGAGAAGCAGAGAGCGGAGAAAGAAGAAGTCGAACGGGGGCAGCAGCTGCAAGAGGGCAAACACAACTCTTCGATGCCTTCGAAATTAGATCATGCCGACGATAATTCTCTCTTCGACAGTGCCGGCCATTTCCACTGTCCCTTGTGCGCGGTCGCAGATTTCTATTGTACGAGCGCCAGGACTTTCGCCGCTCTTTTCACGAACCATTTGTGCAGGCGAGCGCTGCGAAAACTCGAATTCTTCATTCGATGTCGCCGGAGAAAGATACAGCAGAGGGCCGCGCAGAAAGACATCACCGCCGCTGACAGCTACAACGTTGGCAGTGTTTTTTTCGAGGGGTTGCATACCGCCGCCGCTGCAGCAGCAAGTCGGGACTTCGCGGCAACTGTTGAGGACGGTGGTGCAAAAATTACCTCTACCAACCAGGTGAAAATCGTGCCGCAAACCTTTGACGCTCTTCCGACGCAGCAACCCGTGCTGTCCGCGTTAACACCCCAAGCGAATGTGCCGGGACAGCAGGAGGCGCCGTCGCAGGCGGACCTGGCGCCGGAGTCGCAACAGGCGAGAACTACAACAAGCACGATCCCGAAAGTTCGGGTTCCGTACCTCTCGAGCCACGACTCGGCGACCAACCGGACGTGGCGCCGGGCCCTGGAGTCCGAGCGAATGAAGAACATAGCGTTCCTGCCGCCGAAAAACCAGCTTTTTATGAGGGGGTTCGGGGGCGAGCGGCTGGCGCTGAAATGGTGCCCACCCTGCAGCATCTACCGCCCGCCCCGCAGCGTGCATTGCCGCCAGTGCAACCGGTGCGTAGAAAAGTTCGACCACCACTGTCCGTGGGTGGGGAATTGCGTGGGGCGGTTTAACATGAAGTTCTTCCTCGGCTTCACCGGTTTCACGGGGTTGCTCTGCTTCTGCACCTTCTTTTACTGCGTCCTGCACGCCTGGGTGGACTCGGCCGCACGGGACATCTACATCTGGCGGTGGCTGGCCATGGAGCGCGCGGGAACCACCGTTGTGCTGGTGTTCACGTTTTTTGCCGGGTGGGGACCCACGACCATGTGCCTGGTCGCCGGCTTGCAGACCTTGGCGAACCGTACCACGTACGAAATCATCAAGTGGCCCTGGGCGTCGATCGCGCCGGGCGGCTTGAACCGCCTAGAAAAGGGCTCACGGGGAACCACGTACTACCACATCTACCGTCGTGAAAGCCTCTGGGACAACTTGCGAGAAGTTTTTTACGAGGACCATGTCAGGCGGGCTCCCTTGGGGTCTATTTGGGATCCAAGGCGAACCTTGGCTACAGGAAAAAAAGATTGTTGAGTTTTTTGATTGATCAGCCGCGGTTGAATTGGGCCGCACACAGTTGTTTCGCAGCAAGGACGATGCCCTTGATTCTGTAGGAGAGAACCGCAGGCATCTGATGCTTCCCCCAGGAAAAACACGAGGGTCAGTTGTGATACTACCTCGCGAGCAAGAAGAACGGGATCGTGTTGATGTCGCTGATTATGTTCTCGTTCCTGAAATTTAAGAAAAAATAGATCGCAAACCACGTCAACACGGAGATCTTGATGAATGTACTTTAGTCTTGCCACATCAGTTTCCGCTGGACAATTGCAGCCACCTACCCGTTTGTTTCAGCGCAATTATAGGTTCGAAAACAAATGCTAAACGTGATGCTGCTCACGTAGTCTGAGAAAATGAAAGGGTTTCACGCGACTGTTTGTGGTTTTTTCATGAGAAAATGTTTCGGTTGCCTGTTCCGTTCCGCACCATGTCGTCTTGCAGTTTTGGAGGTTTTGCTACTTGTCACCTTCCAGTGTAGTTTTGTTCCGCGTCACATCGGGCCCGTATCGGGAGCGATTTTATTGCCGACCACGGAACCTCCACGACCCGTCCCAGAGCCGATTGACATTCAAGGAGGCCATCAGGATGTCAAGGAGTGTCCGTTTTGCCTGGAGCCCATCGAGGATGGCGACGACATCATCGCAGACTGCCCTGCGTGCGAGACGCATGTCATGCACTACCGCTGCGCCACCAGTGCGGCAGCCCGACGAGAGCAACAGGCTGCGTCTGGATCCTCCGTGGCACCGACTACAGCTTCGCGAGGCGTATTTTCGCGATCTCCCGGCGCGGGGTCTGCCCGGAGCAACGGCGCGTCGTCGTCGACGACGGCAGCGGCAACCGGGTTCTCGAACACGCCTCGGAGCGAGCTCGGAGAGGACGATCGCGTGGCCTTCAGTTGGTACCAGTCCTTATCGCGCCGCCGCCCGATTGCGGCGCACGTGATGGACGGGCTGATGGCGCTCATGTCGGGTGGTAGACGGAGCGCGACCACCGTGACAGGAGATCAGACAGGAGGAACACCAGCAGAGCCGTCGGCATCATCTCAACTGTACACCCGGCTGCCACTGGATCAGGTGCAAAACCTCCCTCCGCCTCCTGCTTTTCGTCCAATGTCTCCTCCAGTACTACCGCCGATGCCGGTGTTCGCGGGTGAAGAATTTCTGGACGTCGTCGAACAAGAGGCGCACAACCAGCTGCACGCGGCCGGGTCCCGGCCTAGCGAGGAGGGCGATCATGGCGGACCGGAATCCTCGCTGCCGAGCCCGCGCCAACCATACCCGCTCCAACGGAGTCCCAGGTCTGCTGTTACACACGAAGCAACGCCGATCAACTTCGCGGCAACAGCGGACGAACAGCAAAGTACGACTTCCACGATGCTTCCAGTCAGTACAGGAGCCGACGGCGAGCAGACGCCCGATTTTATACCGCCAGACGGTGATCGTGAGGTAATTGTTGATATCGACGATCTAGAGCGAACGCGCGCACCGCCCGGCACACCTTGGCTCACCACGAGAGCAGCCTCGCCGACCGCCGCACCACCTGTGGAAGAGGACAACGCGGGGTTCCTTGCGTGGCAGCAGAGCAAAACGAGCGCTGGAGCCCCGGTTTCCTGTCCGATGTGTCGCTGTACCATGCATCTGTACCGCGGGCGCCGGCTGCACGTGCGGAGTGGTACTTCCATCGCCGGCTGGAAAGTAAAGCCCCGTCGTAGTCAACGACAGGTGGATCATGATGGTACAGAAGGTCGTGCAGGCGTTGCTGACCCGGGACGACCCAACACTTCTTCGTCTGCATCGCCGAACGGGAGTCCTGGGTCCGCTAGGACGTCGCCTGGCGCAGAACGTTCGAACCTCGTTGCCGCGGCAGCAAGTTCCGCCTTGGGTGAGGCATGGCCATACGATGTCGTTACCTCCAGTCGCGAGGGATCATCGTTGCGTTTGTTTGAAGGGAATAGCACGTCGCGGCCGTCGTCACAGAACCAGCAGCGACAGGCGCAGGTTGTGCAACAGGCTCGTATCGACCAGCTGCACCGCTTTCCGATTGAAGTTGGTGCTTCAACAAACTTGTCGGGATCTTCGACAGATGGTACAACCCAGGTGACAGATCGCATGATCGCGGAAAATGCGACCTTCCAGCGTCGTTGGGGAGAGGAAACGGACAAGATCGCCACACCGCTTGCGCGAGTGGAGATTCCTAGCGGCAGTTCGGGCGTGGTCGTTCGCATTGCGCGCCGGGGGAACTCCTCCGCCTTGGAGGAACAACGCCAGAACGAAATGCGCACCGGAAGCGGAGCCTCGCCGACGACCAGCAATGCAACGGCGAGAGTGCTGACCCTAGCGGACGCTCTCGCGGCGCCTATAATTCTCGCGTTTGGGAGGAACCCGTTTGGGAGCGCCGAAACGCGCGTCCCGGCGGAGGTTAACGCCACAGAGTATCAGCCCATGGTTGCCGCGCCCCTGGTTAGCGTGTTGTCCTCCGAGCGGCTTAGTGAGATGAATGCGTCACCGCGACTCGCTGACGTGCGTGCAGACCCTTTTCTCTACCACGAAGCAGCGGCATCGGTAGCGTCGCAGGAATCACCGCCTGGAGTGAATGGACCTCCTGGGGGGCGGGTAGCTCCAGCTGCACCCATGGAGGTGGATGATCACCTGGATCCGTTCTTTGTCAGAAGACATCAACGCGAAGATCAGCGGGACCGAGCGGCACGGGACCGCCCCGGGGCGAACCCTGCTGGTCGTCAACAACCCGGGATGAACTACAGATGGACGGATGCGGCCAATTACCTGTTCGCGTTCGACGCGTCTCCGAAGCCAGGCGCAAAACAAGCACCAGCGACGCAGCCGCCGGAGCAGGCAGAAGCGGTGCCGCCGCGAGGACCGCCAGAGAGCACAGTCCGGTCGCCGCGCGGCACCGCCGCGCCCCCTCCCCATGGGGTTATCGTGAAGTTCGCGCATCTCGATGAGTCCGTGTTCGTTCAGGCGGAGGAGCTCAACGACTCCGTGGTCTTGGAACTGGAAAGCGCCGGCAATATGGACGCACGCGCGCACGATTTTAGCATGCTGATGCACTACCTGCGCACCAATCCGCGGCGCGTGTTTTTTTTGATGTACTTCCCGCCGCTGGTGCTGTTTGCATTCTTCTTTCTGATCGACATGGCCTGCACTTCTACAGTCCTGCTCGCCGGTCTGCGGCCCATGAAGATGCCCCTGCGCGACGTCGTATTTGCCACGGGCGTTGCGGTTCGCGACCCCCACGGCTACATGCAGGTACTGGACCAGCGAAAGCCGGAAGACGAAAGGCTCAACTTTTGGGATAACTTCGAGCTCTTCATTGGGATGACGCCACCGGACTACCGTTCCTACTTTCCGATCCGCCACGGGAGCTTTACGTTGCAGCCGGCGGAGGTCGCCGAGCGCCGCCGCTGGGCGCAGCTATTCCGGGACGCGCCCTACTTGTACGGTCTCCTGGATGATTCGACGGCCGTCGCGTTTCGCGAGGCACACGAGAAGGCGCCCAGAAGAAACCCACATTTTCCAGCACATGCCGAATCGTCGTCCGAGCAAGTTCTCGGACCATACGCGGCGTACAATCAGGCAATGGGTTGGGTTGGGCGGCCGGAGATTTGGTTCATTCCCCCAGAAGGGTTTAAGGGGGAGGATATTATTACCGGAAAGGCGGGCACAGATGTCGACGACAAAAGTGGCATAAGAAACCGCGCGCAAGAGGACAACACTGCGCCATCCGCGTCCGCCAGGACCGCGCAAGAGGACACAAATGTGGCCCCCTCCGGTAAGACTACCCCGTTCCCTCGGCAGATTCTGACGAAGGAACTCACTCTGGCGCCGGTTTACGAGGTGTTGAACAGTTGGTGGCAGACGGAGCTAGCGGTGGTGCAGTGGGCCGCGGCCTTTGAGGACGGCGATGCGTACGTTAACAAAGCCCAGTATTTATCGAATGTAAAAATGTCTGGGTCTGGAAGATTGCTACATTTGTCATGCATGTCTGACATGGCTCAAGAATCTGTGATGCATGGGCATAAAGCTGTCCTCTTACCTGTCATGCAAAAACGTAGTTTGCCATGCGGAACACGCAACACATAGGAGCCCAAAAATTTGTCATGCTTGGCTCCGTATTGCAGTGGAACTCCCATTCACTTTTAGCATTACAAATTTCCAGACCCAGACATTTTTACATTTGATAGTATTGCCGCGAGCTAGCCTACGGTCCGACCGTGGCGGTACGGGACTACGAGGAGGATTTGGCCGTCCATTTCCAGAAAGCGTTGAAAATTGGCGACGAAGTGACGACTAGCGACACGAGTACCTCCGATGGAGGAAACGCGCCGGATCACAATCGCAGCGCCAGAGCGGCCAGAGTGGGCGAGGGCACCAGCAGCGCACGTGATTCGAGCGCAAAGACGGAGGAAGATCGAGGTGGCGCGTCGTGCGAGACTCTGGGTCAACTTTGGCGAGCTTGCGAGATTCAAAAGGAGGAGAGTCCGTCGCAAGATGAAGATCGGAGCGATGAAAATCGGAGAAAAGTCGAGCAGGCATGTGTGCGCCAATTTTCTGGGGAGAAACTGCCACCGTGGGTCAAGGACATCAGTTTATCTCAGATGGAACACAAAATCTTGTCTATCTTCTGGGCGGGAGCGCTGGAAGCAGTTCCCGAGCACTTGGTCTTAAAAGACTCGAAATTCTTCCAAATGTCAGCGCCACCTGATCCAGCGAGTCGGGCCCTGGCCGAGGAAGGCCAGAGGGGTAAAACCGCGGCCAATCGTGAACAGGGGCAAGCAAGGAACAAGTCTCTGCTGCAAGAAGGTCGGGGGCTGCAAGAACGGCCTCGGACGCCGGACAGTAGTACTCCCAGAGGACAACAAGCATTTTTAAACAAAAACACCAGTTCTCAAGCGCCTGCAGCGTCGCGGCAACTAAGCGCGCCAGCAGACCAACGAGCGGCAAACTCCAGCGTCGATCTTAGGCCGCTACACAACTTGAAAGTCGACCTGTCGGATGACGAGAAGTGGCAACACGCACTGAGCGTGTCGCTGGAGCACTGGAACCGCGAGTGGGCAAGTGAGAAGCCGGCTCTGGTTCTGCGCAGGATTGGGTCGGCCCTGCAGACGGAAGTTTGCGACGCCACGCACGTGGCGCAGGTGGAGCGGCTGGTCACACAAGTAGAGGCGGTTCTGGACCGGACGTGCTGCAAAATCGACCAGTTTCGGCGGCTGGACCCGGAGCAGGAACACGCTTGGGTTCGGAACACGGGCCCCGTGCCGGATCCCCACATTCTGCTCGCGGAGGTCGACAGTTCCTGTCTGTGTGCGCAGCTCGACGTGGAAGCCTACACGCACAAGGTAAGGGAAACACTGGTAGAAGAGGAGAGAGAAGAGGCCGCAAAGCTGGAAAGGTCCGCGGAACGGGTGGCCGAACGCGCAGAGGAGCTGCTGACAGCTTTGCAAAAACTTCGTTCTGACGAATTGAAGAAAATGGTCGCCGCAGAGAAAACTATCCACGACGAAGAAGCAGCCACTGGGCCGTCCGGAGGACATGATCTTCACCCGGCGCAAAGCTCGCTCGGGACCACGACGAGGAGGTTGACGGCAGGTGTTGAACATGATCTCCAAGAATCACACCCGAGGGGTCTCGCCAGCGCAATCGAAAGTTTGGCCGAGGGGGAGGTGGATCCAGTTGCTGTGGTGGCGAAGGACGACGTTGCCGTTGGGGATCTGTCGGCGGACGAGCGCAGTGATGCGCAAAAGATCTTGGACGAAGCCAAGCGCTTGAAAGACGAGAAGCCACACAGTGTCTTCGGGCAGCGGCTCAATCTGGGTTCCGAGGTACAGCCGCCCCCGCATATCACTTTTGCGAGGAAAGTCGATCGGGCGGACAGGATGTCAAGGAGTGGCCCACCGGCGGGGAAGAGCGAGTTCGAAGCGGGACGATGGGGGGCCACAACTGCGACGTCTTCCGATAGAACAGCTTGGGTGTTCGAGCCCCTCCGCCACAATCAGGACAGAAACTGGAACTGGCAGTACAGTTACGCGCCGGACAATGCGGAGTTGCCGTCCGACGTATGAGACCAAAAAGTGTCATATTCCTGGAGATGCAGATAAACGGCACTGCTGAGTCTTCCGTCGAAGATGAAAACCTGATGCATAAGTGGTGTGTGACCTCCTCGCGGTTTCTCTGCGGGAGCTAAAAATCGCTCGTGTAGTATTCGAGGGCAGCAGCGTCCGCTTGGAAAGTGCTGCTTGGGGTGGAATTTCCACTTCCGTAGTATCTACGATTTGCTGGCTCATAAAGAAGCAAGTGCTTGTCATCCTCGCGTGCTTAATCTATCAACTGCCACGTCAGTTAATTTTTTCGGGAGAAGAGACACTTTTTCTTTTGCTTTTGAAAACGATATATGGAGTATTTTTTTCGCAACTTTCTCGCGCCTGACTTCGCTGCTATTCCCGATGCCAGACTGAGGTACCAGTTCGCACTACTTCGCAGAATTGCAGACGCGATGGCAAGCGAGAGCACCTATGAAACCCGGCACACGTTTTGGTCCGAAACTGCCGAACGGCGGAAGCTGCGGCAAAAACTCTATAAAGTGTTTGAGAAGTCGCAATACACCTGGTTTCGAACGGGTGCCGACGTTTTGGCGCAAGGCGAAAATAATGGGTACGCAAAAACTTCGACCAGCAGGATGACTGGCTTGGATGCCCAGCTTCATTGGTTGAAGCCAGCGACAGAGGTGAAAACAGGAGAAAGCAACAGCACAGGCTCAGAGGACGATGAAGAAACAGCTTCTCCTAGCAAGATGGCTCTCTTGATTTTCCCGCACGACAAGCCGCTAGACTACTACACAACTTGGAAAGTGACTGATTTAGCAACCCCGGGGTTCACCCGGCGCTTGCGTTTCGACTCCTTGGCCGCGTTCTTGGCCATAGACAACCCCGATCCTTTCGCGGACACGGATTCTCTCAATGCGGTAAGTCATACTCGTATAGGAGTTTGAACGCGTAGTCATAAGGAGTATAAATCTTTTCTAAGCACGTTAACTCAATGATCTTCTACTTATGCTTAATGAACCCTGATGGAATGAATTCGGTGAAGGGCGCTCGTGTAGCGTCCTTGTTTAAATTTAGTTTACGCCAAGAACCTGTGATCGCTCAGATTCTATTCCCGCTGATGTGGCACATTTCGGGCACCCTGGGCGTGAGTGAGGTGATGGCCTATGACCACCTGCACAACAACAAAGAGCTGGATTCCGTGACACAGTTGTCCGCGTCTTGCCTGCAAATGGTGAACGATGTGGTGAATCACTTGGACTTGAAGTACCTGCCCCGGATCGGCGTTTTCGCGTCCCAATTTGCGAACAAAAGTGAACGCCTTCGCGAGTTCAGGAAGTTTGTCGAAGCGGGGCAGCAGATGCCACGAGCGAACGATACGGGGATTTCCGCTAGTACTCGCGCTGCAGCAGGTAACAATCCTGCTGCTGCGAGTCCTCGGAATGCTGAGATCAGGATAGATTTTGCTGAGGTCGAGTCCACGGTCGGCCTCCTGGGGTTGTCAGAAGACGAGAAGTCCGAAGGAAGTCATCGGAACAAAAACCAGGGGCTATTGAGGAAAGACCGCCTCTTGGAAGGCGTTTTGGCCAAAGACCGTGGGCATGAACATACGGCAAGAAATTTTTGAAAATGCTTGTTTTTTTCGACAAAAAATTATGTTACAGCACAGCCAGAGAAAATGCAATCGCGGTTTCTTTGCGCTGTCCAGATAGAGACTCAGAATTTCGAGAATATTAGTTGTCGCCTTCGTAACAAACGTTGCCTACCTAATGCATGCTTTTTGTACAATAAGAATAAATCACACTATGCCCACTACATCGTGGTCTGACGTTGATACATCAAATTTTCACCGGTTACGTTATGGATTTCGTCGGACCTCTTTGCCGGTCTTCTTTACCTTGTCTGTTGCAACCCACACACAGTAGTACGACTTTGTCTTTCCCGCTCTTGATTTGTTGGCAAACGATAGCTGGGAAGGTTTCTATCAAAAAGAAAGGTTTTAGCAATCTGCTTGTTTGTAAAAAGAGAATACAGACATGTGGATAGCCCGTCTTGAAATTTCCGGCGAAATGTGACGCAAAAACAGGAGCAAAAACGCCGCAGGTACCTGCAAGACGATGAACCTTCTTTCATTCGTCCTCTCATTTCGGCTGGTTATTCAGTTTTCATTCTTCGTTGCCACCAGAATCGGTTGCCTTCGCTCTGTTTCGAAAGACAAAAATGGCTCTCTATTGTCACACTTTACGCATGAATCTTCAACAAGTGATATCGTTAGATAAGGCAACTTCTTTTCGTTTTTGTTGTTATACCGCAACCTACTAGCCTCTTTCAGATCGCGTCAGAATGGACGACGGTTTTGACTCAGATCAGGACACGGGCGGGTGGGGGTCTGGGTTGACGTCGAAAAACCTGACGTCCAAGAACAACGACCTCGACCTCTTCGCGCCCAAGCCCTCTGCACAAGCGGATACTCTCGTCTTCAGTTCCCCAGATACCTCGCCCTTGCGCGGCCTGGGGTCTTCAAACCAGTTGCCGAGCACGATTACCGCAGCGCAACAGCGCGCACCTGGTGCACCAGCAGCGCGGGAGGAGTTTACCATCGGGAGTTCGTCTGCAAGCTCAGCCACCGAGGACGGGTTCGAGATGGTCGGTGGACAGAGTTTGCTACCAAAAGGTGCCGACCCCTTCGAATTACTAACGCCAACAAGCAGCCTGAACGCTAGTGCTAGTGCTGCTTCTGCTCCAGCGGCTTCGACTAATTTGTTTCCCAGCACTGACACGAATTTTGCTGTCAACGCCGGTACTGATATCTTGTAGAAGAAGACGGCTCCGCTGTTCCCTAAAGCAGAAAGATTGATGCGAAGGAGCTTCTTCGTGGTGTGTGGACCTACTTACCTTGCTTGCTCGAGAAAAAAATGGCTATGTGCCTGTGCTGTTTTCATCAGCGACGTTGAAAATCTAAACGGAACTCAATAGGTGGCTTTCCGGCGAGCAATCCTCTCACGAGCGATTCCTTCGCTGCACCTTTTGAGGACCTCTCCGGGAGCGATAACTTCGCTACGGGCTTTGACGACTTCAGCGCGCCCGCGGCTGTTCGGCAAAACAAGAATGATGTGGAGTCCATGTTCGATGCGAATTTTGAAGAGTTCGCAGCAGAGGTAGGGACCGCGCAGAAGCCTCCACCAAAATCTACTGCACCGAAGCCCGCAGTGAAAGCCAAGGTGAAGCCCAAAGTGAAGGCAGCGCCAGCGCCGCAAGCACCCGCTAGTAGAGCAGTTCTTGTGCAGCAACCTGGAGGTGGGCCCGTTGCACCGGCGAAGCAACCTCCTGCAGTTTCCGCAGGGGTGAAAGCGCCGGCCTTTGACTTTGATGTGGACGTGGATACGGTCGAGCACGTGGGGACAACTAGCGCGAAAGCGAACGTAAACCGCATATCGGGGTCGCTGTATGGTCAAATCGATCCCACGGAATCCGAAGTGGGCAAGGAGGAACTGTTTTTCGATCTAGAGGCGGGCGGCTTCTCGCAGGACGGCTACGCGCTTGCTGGGGCCTCGGGGTAAGGAACAGATAACAAAGTTTTGTAGGGCGAACAAGTGAAAGATCTTGTTTTTGGTTGGAATTATGAATTATGTTCAAAAGCGTCTACTTCTATACGACCATTTTCTTGTAGGCGAGAAGGTTCAGGTTGATTTTTGCTGCGCAAGACTGTTCTTGCACCACGGGCAGTTCCTTTGAAGTCGTATAGTAAAAATGGACGAGAACAACATCCTGTCAAAAATAACAGCGCTAAGGGTGGTAAGAGCAGCCCGTGCTGCCGGCTGTTTGTGTACCTGAGGAACTGGTGCCTCTACCGCTTCGGCTGTCGCCGGTTCTGCACGGTGCTCCTGGTCTGCGGCACTCTCGCGTTTTATGACAGTGCACAACTATATCTACTCCCCCTTATTTGTGATGCAATTTACCAAATCCACACCGTGCCTTGAAGCACTGTTTGCATCACAAGTTCTGGCCGCCCAAGTAGCAATACATTCCTGTGCAGATTTGAGATGCAAAACCTGCATTCTTGCTGACATTTGTATTGCTGTTCATGCCATACAAATGAGGGGAAGGGGGAGTTGTGCACAGTCATACGTTTTTCGTGTCCTCGTACTTTTTCGGCACGGAGCGGGTCATGGACGAAAGCCAGAAAATCGGAAAGAAGGTCCTGAATGCGTCGATCAAACACGGGTCGGCGGCGTACGAGGAGTCGAAGAAGTGGGTGAGCACGGGCAAAGACGTGGTCGTGGATATGTACAACAAGGCCACAACGCCCAAGGAGGATCCTTTTTCGGCCCGAGCAGGAGCAGCCAACAAGAGGAAAAGGGGCGGGGGTGGCAACAAGGGCGCAGGAGACCCATTTGCAGCAAGGGGCCGCGGGGGTGGTTCCGGCCCGGAGGAGGACGCCGAGCCAGAAGAGAGCGGAGCGGCACAACTAAACCCGGGCAGGAAGAGTGCAGAGGAAATAAATCGCGGTGAGGGGGACGTGCACGAGGAGGATGCTGCAGGGTCGACGCGCGGAGAGGAGCCAACGGCAGACAAAGCGTTGATTTCGCAATTGCGGTCCGCGGTCGAAGAGCACCAGAGCGAGCTGCGTCTGAAGGAGAAGGAGCTCAACGAGAAAACGCGGGAAGCCGGGATGTGGCATATTACAATGAAAAATGCCCCCACCCCCGAACTTGGGCGCATGAAACATTTGCCCTCTTGCATCGATCTATCAGCATCACAGGTTTCCAACGCCTGCGGAGGCTTGCCTCCCCAGCGATAATGGACAATGGCAATGTCGGCGCGGTTGTTTTAGCATCACAGGTTTCCAATCGTGAATAGCAAATATTTGTAATGCAAAAGACCCCAGCAAGAGGTGCGCTTGTCATACAAGCGATGCGATGCACGCCTATACTCTGCATCAGAAACATTCATACTCCTTTCATGCATGGCAAAAAGTTTTCATTTGGAAACTTCGCATCACTTTGGGGGTCGGGGCATTTTTCACTTTAATATGGCAGCAGGAGGTGACCTCCCTCCGGCAAAAGCTCGTCGCCGCGGAAGCCGCGTCCAAATCCCACGTCCAAGAGGCGGAATCACTGCGGGCGCGGGTCTCGCAGCTCGAAGCAGAACGGCGGTCCTTACTCGCTACTAGCAGCGGGGGAAATGAAAATCTTCCAGCGCAAAGTAGAACGAAGCAAGAGCTTCAGCACCCAGAGAAGGTCGCTGGTGCAGCCGCGATCAGTGAGGACCAGAATCAAGTGAGCTCTACTACTTCCGCGCCGTCCAAGGAAGTGGCGCAGCCGGATAATGCCCTCGCGCAAAATAGTAAGCCTATTGAGGATGATCCTGCTGGTTTTGCGAAAAATGCGGAACTGAAGCTCACCGATGCGTCAAAAGACGCACCGGATGCTGCGACCGACGGTGGGACGAACAATCATGCGGCTAAGCCCGAGGAGGAGGAGGAGGACGACAGCGACGACGGAGTCGAGCCGGGGGCTGAGGAAGGAAAAAAGGACGACAACCCTGCAGCCTCTGCCGGCACAGACGGAGGTTCTGCAGGGCAAACCGCACCGGCTGGCGTGGGTTTGACGGCAGCAGCGGCAGAACAAACCACGACGACGTTCACTTCTACGGCGTCCTCGACGGAAGCGCCTACAACCACCACGCTGGCTACAACTACAACAAGTACAACAACACCTACGTCGAGTACAACAACCACTAGCTCCTCGCAAGAACCGGCAACCACTACTCAGTCTAGTAACTACCCAACAGCAGAGGTTCCAAACGCCCAAGCTTCTTCAGTCGCTGCCAATAGCGGTACCGATTCTGGAGCAGTAGATCCCTTTGCAGCGAAACAGCCCAGGGTGCAAGCTTCCAGCACGGCGCCACGGAAAAAGAAGCGCAAAACCAAGAGCAAATCTCGACCAAGGCCGACGCAGAACTAAAGGAATCACTTGGAATTTTTGTACTCCCTTCTTGTCTATAGCGCATAAGTATCAAGTTCAAGTAGTAATAGGACATACCACCAGGTAGTGCCAGAAAACACAACGCATCTGTTCTTCTCATGCACAGAACTTCCTATTTGATCCGCGATTTCTTGACACTCAAAATGCGTTCGGCAAGAGAGTTTGACTTTCCACTGGCGATAGACGATCAAAGTGAAAGAATGGGCGGACAGAGGATCAAAAAGAGGCAATAGATCCAGAGACCTTGTAGTAAGTTCCTCCCGCCTAATATGTGATAAATCAATGACATTGGTCGTGATTCATGATCAGGTGTCGCCGTCGCGATCTCAATTGGTCCTCTACTGTGGAATATCAGACGTGATCTTTCTGTTGATCGTTTTTGCTTTGTCATTCCGCCAGGCTGATTCTGCTGATCTAGCTCTCGTAAGCACTTTATGCTTGCTAAAAACCTACTATGAAAGACTTCTGAGATAATTCGTCCTTCCATGTCGACTTTGATATGATTGGCTCGCCGTCCTGTTTTCCTTTTTTGAAGAGCGATTTTATTTCATCTAGGAAAGCAAATAATATAGAAAAATGTTGACGCAAAAACAGAATATCGAAGTTGTGAAGCGAGGTACGATAGACGACGCGCTGGCGTGCCTACTGGAGGAAGAAGAGATCGCCCTCATGGCTGAACTCAAGAAAGAACGGCGTGAGCCATTAGCGCCGCTTTCCCTACCCTACCAGGAGCTGCGGCAGAGGGTCTTGCACCGGCTTCAGGAACAGGATTCGGACCGGAGAATTGTGGCCGCCCGATTGTGCTTGGAAGACCTGTCGGTCGACCTCCAGATGCAGCACGTGTCGGAGTTCCTCGAGGAAGTGCTGCCCGCGACCTACGTGCCGCCGGTCGAAGCCATGCCGGACTGGAGCTGGTGTTTCGAGGAAACCCTGTGCACGAGTCACGGCGACGTGTACCCGCCTTCCGACGATACATTTTTGCTACTAGAGACCATTTTGCGAAGCGGGGAGCATTTCAAGGCCTGGCGTTCTTCGTCCGAGGAAGTAGATCGTGCTGCACAAGCCGCTGCTGCTGGGTCGTCCTGCGGTGACACTACTACATCAAAGACGTCCATCACCGTTCTCGAAGTCGGTTGCGGAAGTGGGTTAATTTCGGCCTCCATTTTGAGGGCGTTGCGCGCCACGAGGAGGTACAGCGACGTATTCACATTTGCGACCGATATCAACCCGGCAGCAGTCGCTTTTACGCGCGAACTCCTCGAAACGCGTGTTGTGCCGCAGGTGCAGGGAACAGTGGTGAAAAGAGAAGGAGATTATGGTGACGCCACAGCTAGTCGTCCTGTGGAAAAAACGACATCAGCGACATTGGGATTATCTGCGACTGCGAAACACTGCATGTTGCAGTTGTCCACGACAGATGAGAAGGACACAGTTTCCAAGAACCGGGGCGATCTTCAAGATGCGGGCGATATGGTAGCGAAGGCACGCGCGGCGGCCATGTCGTCGGAGGCGACAAAGCTCAGCCAAGTAGCTGAGCAGACTGACAGTGCTGGAGAGGCATCTTCGCCGAGGGAGGGAGAGAATGGCGAAAGGGTAGCTGTGGAGCAAGAAGTGGAGCCACAGCACCAGCACCAGCAGCGAAAGGTTGTGGAAGAGGAACTGGACCACACGCTGGGGGAAGTCGATTTGCAGCAGAGAGCGAAATGCCGGCAACCGGAGACCGCGGTGGACATTCATGTTCATGTGCAGGAGGATAATTTCTTCGACACGATGCTGACTGACAAACGAGTCCAGCCACAGAGCGTGGACCTACTAGTGTTCAACCCGCCATATGTAGTCACAGACGAAGGTGTGATCCACGGAGAAACGGACGGCCCCATTGACCGTGCATGGGCCGGCGGTGCGCGAGGTCGCGAGGTGATTGATGAGATGCTTCCGAGGGTCAAAAGCGTGCTGAGACCCGGGTCGGGCCGGTTCTACCTGTGCGGCATCGCGGAAAACGACCCGTGCGACATCATCGAATTTGCCAGCGATCACGGGCTCAAAGGGAAGCTGCTAGCGCAGGAGCAGCAAGGCATTGAAGAGCTTTACGTATTGGAATTCCGTGTTGCGGAATGCTGAAGCTTGTTTCAGACGGCAGAGCGGCTCCGGTAGTCGTGTCTGGCTCGTCGAGTGACTGTAAAATGGCTGAAACGATGATGTGGACGATATTCATAAAGCTGTACTCAAGCGACAAACGACACATGTGTGCCAAAGCGATTTTATCTCGGAGGCAATCCCAACATGCAGTTGTAATTACGTGAAATGTTTTATCTCAATTTTTTTGTTCAATATCAATGTCAGACTTTGTGTTTGTTCTTTTCAAAAGAGTAGTCGTGTAATTGACTTTCGTGGTATTTCACCTCTAGTTTGTCGATGTTTTCGTTTCCGCCGCGCAGGAATGAAGAGAAGATTCGTTGCGGATGATGGAAAATAGATCGAATGCGTTTTTTTTTTCGTACGTTGTCCCGCCAGTGTCACAGTTTTACAGTCTTGTGATTGGTCTCGGTGGCGCTTACAACCAATTTCTAGAAGTCGTTATTCGACATGTGGGCACCTGCATCCTCGAGCTCACTTCCAACGCCAGGGACGCTGGTAGGCCTGCGTGGGGCCGTCGCGGGAGACTCTGTACACGACGACCTCCGACCGCCCCAACAAACGAGCGAGCTGTCAACTTTTGATCGGTGGAAATGTCAGCTATTCGGCCAAAACGCACTGAAGTGGTGGAAAGTAGAAACGCTGGCTCACGCGTTGTCGGCGATGAGGGCAGCACCGGACTTCTACTGTGTGCGTTGTCCGCCAAAATGTGGTCACGTTGCCGGCTTTTCGCCGGAGAAGAACGCGGTAGGAACCAAGAGACATAGTTTTTTGCGTAGTTTCTTGCATGAAATCTTCTTTGGATCGCCATGCTAGTTCCTTGTGTTGAGGTTTCGAGCACTGAAACAGTCGCATTTATTTACTTGTACTTTATGGCTCCAGGTCTGGATATGTGGGAACTTGGTTCACAACCCGTTTGAGTTCCGTCGCCTGCTGGCCCACGAGCTGGTTCACGCCTTTGATTACGCCCGGGCGCACATGAGAACGCGTGAGCACCTGCTTTGCACGGAAATCCGGGCCTGGTCGCTGTCTGGCCAGTGCGATCTGTGGGTAAATTTCTGGAAGTTTCTGGGTGACGACATGATCGACCGCAAGCAGCGCTGTGTCAAGGAGAACGCCCTGCTCAGTGTCCGGCAAAAAGAAATCTCGGCAGGGACAACACGAAGAGGAAGATCTACTGCGTCCACGCTTAAACCACAAGAACTTAACACCGACTCCGTCGGTCTTGGGGCTATGGTTGAAGGGAAGCCAGGAGGCAGTATGGAAGGTGGAGTGAAGCTCGAGCTGCTGCCCGTAGTAAAGCGTGACGGAAATATAACTAAGCCTGAGAGGACGGGAGCTATTGACGCGGAAATTTTCAGACAGTGTTACGACGACCACTGGCCGTTCACGGCGAAAGCACACCTTGATACGTCTTGGCGCAAGCCCGCGCGTGGAGCATAGGGGATCTCTGAGGATGAGCAACCGAAGGCTGCTGCAGGTACTGACGACGGCCATGTTGCCTCCTGTGGGGCTATTGATTCTACCCTAGTGTTTGTACATGATCCTCGTCGGAGTCGTCAGCTTCAGAGCAGCGAAATATTGTTGATTTATATGGCCAGCGGTCTTGCTCACTGGCTTGCTTGAAGATCCTCGGACGAGTAAGTACAGGCGTGCCTCTCCTGCTGCAAGATCCTAGCTACGAGCGGTCTTATCATTGTCATGAGCATGATGTCGCTCCTCGGGATCTAGATCATCTCATTGATGTGTGGCTCTCACTGCGCGATTCCGATTTGATCTATCTGAAGATCTGCAATTGATGGCGCTCATTTGCATTTTTACACGCAGCGGCGACGTCTCCGCAGCGTCACGAGAGATCCGTGCTTTGCTCTTGCGTTGCTTTCGCGATGATTCCGGTACATCTGATCCTTGTTTTTTCTATAGTTTGCTCTTCATCCCTCACCCTCCTCGAGCAGCTGAGATGTGTATGGAACAGCACCTGAAAAAATCTCAATTTTACACTCAACATCTGAAGAAAATATCTGACATGGAGCCGCAGCAGCCGAATATTTTTTTGAAATCTATGTTTTGCTCTGCACCTGGAAAATAAACGCAGACTTGATCTGCGTCGAATTCGATACAAGACTCACAGCATACAGCTATTGCAATGTTGTTTTTCGTGGCTGTTCTTGTCCAGCCTTTCGTGGTTGTGTGGGCAATCGAGGGGCGATTCATGGGAAGGCACTCCGATTCGTTGCCGTTGTCGCAGCAAAGTGTGGAAGCAGAAGATGAACTGGAGCAAGTCGGCGCTGTGGCATCTTCGGGTGACCTTGGTAATCATGCGCCCTGTTCCCTCTCGCTGACGGACAACTTCTCTGATGAAGAGGCGAGCAACGCGAGCGGAGAAGGAGATGGAGGTACAACTGACCCCTCCCTGCCGCTAGATTTTTTGCCCTTTCATCAGGAGGGAGCAGTAGCAGAGCAGGAGCAAGATAATTCCGGTGCAAGAAGAGCCTCCTCTGCAGAGGCAGACGAGCGGTCTGGAACGAGATTCGCACCGGTAGAAGTGGTCCAAGATGAGCGGGACGAACAGAGCAGCGACGTGGTGCTGCCTCTTCTGCAGCCGAGAGACCACGGATTCCCCCCTGAGGAGGATCATGACGAAGGGTTGTTGCCGACAGCTAGAACCGCCAGTGCCGCAGAAGTCGCCACTCTTCCCCTATCGGAACCATTCACGACAACTTCCACGTCCCCCGAGCACCACCACCAGGCGCCTGCTGAGCACGGCGCTCGAGCAGCTGTTGGAGGTGGCCAGCAGGAGGCACCGCGAGGGACACAGACGATTTCGTCAAGAGTGGCTGCATTCGCACGTGGCGTGGCAGAGAATGATCATGTTGTTAGCCCCCGCCCTGAAGGACCTCCTGGGTCCGCGATGGTGCTGCCTTTTGTGGTGACTCCGCAAACCTCCTCGGACTCGAGTTTTGAAGCCCAGCCTCCGCATGCAGACCCGACGACGCTGCAGGTAGTTGACGACGATAACGGTGTGCAGATTTGCGAGATTAGGCAAGTCAGCAGCGAGTTGACTGTGGCTGACGTGTATACACTTCTCGTCACAGAAATTGAGCTTCTGAACGACCCGCTTGTGAATCTGGCGCTTTATTCGGAGGATGTGCACGAGTCGATTGTTCCGGAGCAAGACGTCGCGGAGCAACCGCAACAGGGCAACAACACTTCACAACCTTCACGCCGTCGTTTGTCTGATCCGGAAGAGCGCGTTCTGGGAACCGTGCGTCGGCTGCGGGTCCGCCTGACGAATGTCGATGCCGATGACTTTGTCAATCATGTGCGCAATTTCGCTGTCATTCTACCCGCGGACGAAGCTCCACTTTTGCGTGATTGCGTCACGCTTCCCAGCAGACGATTCGAAGGAGAGGGAGGGAATCGGAGCGGAACGCTCTATCAGGTACTGGTGTTGTTGTGTTGAGATTAAATCGATTTTGTAGTGCATTTAAGGTGTTGCTTTGGTTGATCTGGATGAAGACATACAAGGGGATAATATCACTCACAGCTCGACACAGTGGCGCAGGTCGAAGAGTACCTCCGAAGACAGTGGATGTCCGCTTCGGAGTCACAGCAGCGAGCGTTTATTCAAGCCACAGAGCTATACTCTGAATACAGTGCGAATCTGATTGCTTGGCAGGGAGGGACCTGAGGCCGCAGGCGATCTGTATGCGAAAAGACGAAGTATGTGAACAGCAACAACGCGAATTGAAAACTAACAAGTGGTGCGGTACCATAGTAAGCGTTTTCTATCCTTGTCCACTACAACACACGATTGCGCGAATGCTTATGCTCCGCGTTAGCGAACGCGAATAAAGATGTCCCACCTCGCTTTGACACGAAAAATCCAACTTGCCGTTTCTGGTGTACTACTTTAGCAGTTTTTGGTTTGGCTTTGAATATTACGAGAAGTGAGAATAGCAAAGAAGGCTGGCGAGGACGACCCCGCCTGGATTTTTCTTCCTCTTGCAGAGTGCTTGGTGTTCTACGTGCAGCCATGGCGAATTACCTCGGTGTAACGAGGTCTTTCTGGTCATGATTTAGATCGCATTTCTACCCTACCACTACCTGTGCCTCTGCCTACAACAGAACAGGTAATCTGGGATCCGATTCGTGCAGGACCTCACCTCTGTAGTCTCCCCGCAAAGAAGTATTCCCTAGACTGTTCACTGTGTTTCGAATGATTTCAATCCCCTGGCGTCACGGAAGTGTAAAATAGTTCACGTTGTCTGGCTTGCTACGGAGTCAAAGCGAAAGCATTAAAATGTTGCATAGGCAAGGAGCTGCTAGTGTTGCGACCACCGCTAAGCGCGTTTTCAAATTTCGGGTACGTTCTTTCGCGGACCAACGTGCTGCAGTGGGGGTATGCTGCGTTCTTGAAGGACGAAGAGCATCCGCATCTCGACAGTATTCGACCAGCCAGGCAACACCGCGGAAGGCGCTTGAGAAAAACAGAAAGAATATTGCATTTTCAGGCAAAGGCGATGTCCCGAACACACGACAAGCTATAACACCTGACCTCGTCCTGCATGCGCAGAAAGCTCTACGACGAGACGGGGTCGGTGTTTTTGACGCGAGCTTCAACGTCGAGCAAATACAGCCCGGGTTCGTCGACAGCGCCAGGAGGCTCGTGGATGCAAAGTTTGCGGAGGCGCTAAGTCTTGCGCTGAGTTACCATGGTCAGAAGAAGGGTGGCCACGGAGCGGAGTTTGATGAAATTCCGGTTGGTCAGGAGCATGGTTTTCGGGAGATCGTGCACCGCGCGCGGGGCCGGTACGACATGCTGTACGGGGTGTGGCAGGAACCAAGCCTGGTGGAGGACAGCAAACTGTACAACACACTCCTAAAACCCGCCGCGCAGGCCATACTTGGCGACGACTGCCGACTGGAATTCAATGGTGCACTCGTCACGAAAGCAGGGGCCGCAGAGCAGCTCTGGCACGCAGACGGGGAGCATCTGTTCCACGACAGCCGAGGAATGGCGTCGAATACCAGTCGTGACGGCGCGCAGGAGGAGCGCGGCCACGTGGATTCTGAGGTTCTCCCGGCTCATTGCGTGAACTTTTTCGTCCCTCTCGTGGACATCGTGGAGGCGAATGCAGGGGGGACGGAGTTTTGCATCGGAAGCCACCTGTACACCCAGCACTTGGGGGCAGACGTGGTGTGGCAGCGCGAGGACTGGAAGCAACGTCTCGCTGCCCGCGGTTGGGACAACGAAACGCGGTTGCTGCGCGTGCAAAAGGGGCAACTGCTCTGCTTCGATTACCGCATTCTGCACCGCGCGCTCGCGCATAACGTTTCCACGCAGCGACCGGTGTTGTACTGGACCTTCGTGCGCCCGTGGTTCACGGATGCTCTCAACTTTGGCGGCCTCCCAAGCCTGACGGATCAGGCGGCAGTTTCAGGAACAAGGGCTACGGTTTCGGCAGAAGATGAAGTGCAACTAGATTCTGCGCTCAGAACAACGACTTCGAGCCAAAGCACGAGAATCACCCCGGACACACCTCTTGCTGCACGCACGCCCGAATGGGTTCTGCAACTGCGAGCCACCCAATACTCTGAAAATCTTGTAAAAAACGCAGGCGTGGCCACCTACGCGGATGGGGCCGCCGGATCGCAAACGCCCGTTTGTGTGGCGGACGCGATGAGAAATCATCTGCTGAAGTGTGGAAGCACGAACCTCGGTGGAGCCTACGCCACTTCCGAGGCCGCCTTGCAGCTGATTACGGGTGCGCGACACGCGGCGAGTGCGTTTCTCGGCTGTCAAGACGGCTCCAAGATTGCCTTCGGCGCGAATTGCACCAACCTCATGTTCCACCTGTCCCGCACAGTAGAAGACTGGGTGCGGAGAGCAAGCAACGGATCTGGGAACAGGGGGAACATCGTTGTGTCGCGGGCGTGCCACGACGCAAATGTGGCGCCCTGGCTCCTGTTGGCGGACAGGTGCGATCTCGAAGTTCGCTGGATCGATTTAGTGGAGGGTGATCAGCTTGACTTTGAAAATATCGAGACAAAAATTGACGCGGACACTGTCGTAGCCGCCGTCGGACTGGCCTCCAACGCATCGGGGCGGGTCTTTTGGCCAGCCATTCGGGACCAGGTTGCACCACGGGTCGAAAGTCTTCGAAGGGACCGAACGAGATCCGGCAGCGCCGGCTCGTGCTTCCCGGTGTTGATTTGCGACGGGACCCATTATCTGCCACACTTTCGGTTCAACCTGGAGTCGTCGGGCGCGGATGCGGTCGTGTGTTCCTCTTACAAGTTTTGTGGGCCGCATTTAGGCGTTGCGGGGTTCTCGAGTCGATCGCCATTTGTTAGTGCGGAACTCACAGAAGGCTGCATCGCCAAAGTCGGCCGACGGGCTGACCAAAGTGACCTGCTGGCTGCTCCGCCGCAGCCGACTCGAGAGTCATACGAGATCTCGTCGTGGGAAATGGGAACGCTGAATTACGAGGCGCTTGCGGGTCTGGAAGCGTGCATAGTGGACTACTTCGGGCCGCTCTCTGGTGGAGGGAAAGTTGACGTGTCGGACCTAGGGAGTTCGCTTGACCAGGCGTTTTCAAAGATAGAAGCGCACGAGATGAATTTGTCGCAGCATTTCCTGCAAGGCCTTTTAAAGTTGCAGCATGCGATTCGTTTTTATGGGCCGGAGAAAGCAGCTGGGCGGACGCCGACCTTTGCGCTGGTGCCAGTGGGTGACTTTTTGGGAAAAGATTTGGTTTCGTTTCTCAATGAAAAAGGAATATTTTGCACAGCCGGAAATCACTACGCGCCGGAGTTAACATCTCGCGTACATGGTGAGTCTGGATGGACTCGCGTCAGTTTCTTGCACTACAACACAATGGAAGACGTTGAGAATGTTCTAGACAATCTACAGAAGTTCGCAGATAATTCGAAGTAGAATCAGTGTAGAAAGTGAAAAAAAGTATAAGCAGTTCACAGCGATCAACCCAAACCACGACAGCCGCCTTGGCAAAAAGACTAAAGCCTGGGTGTTCACGTGCAGCGAGCAGCGCGGTTGGCGATCTATTTTGCTTCTAAACTCAAAGAATTTTTGGCCTCTCTGTGTCGGTCTCGGCCGCCTGTTTAGGAGCAGCCGCATCAAGTTCGCTGATCAAGTGGCCACTCATGGCCAGGGTCCGCGCGGCCCCGCTGCGGCAGCGCAGGGAAGCGCGGGCGCTCAAGTTCATGGCCGCCGAGATGCACTGCGCCGAAGTGGTCGGCACGTGGAGCGCACGCACGGAGCGCGAAGGGCCGACGGCCCAGCTGGCCACTGCTGGACCCGACCGGGGCGGGGGGCCCTCGGGCGGGGGCCGGGCCGGGGGATCGCCGATTGATAGGCGGGGATCCGGACGCCGTCGCGCGGGGTTCTATCTGTTATCACAGTGCGGCATTACTGGAAGACACAAGCTGGCCCCGTCATGTACGCTATCAAGGGCGAGCAGTCTTTCGGATATGGGCCCGGCAACCCAACACCAACGCGCATGCGGGGCGGATCATAGACCTGGACGCGAAGAAGGAGATCTCGCGCCGCGCCCCTTTAGCCCGAGAGTGCTCTACCGAACCCGGAAGGAATCCGGGGGGCGCACGCCGGGGATTTCTGCCACCGGAAGCACACAGCCACGGAGCCCAGCCCGCGATAAAGTTCGCGGCGTGCCCGATCCGTCTGCGCCTGCCGGGGGCCTAGGAGCGGCGGCCTGCGGCCCCGCCCGGCATTAGCGGGGCGCCGCAGGGTTTGCCCGCGCACGTTGTGCAGCGGGCAGCAGCTACGCAGCGCGCGCGCCCCTCGCCTGGCACTGGTGGCGCGCTGTTGCGGCGCCCGATGGACATTGCAGCCGGCGGCCGCCGGGAAGGCGCGGCCGGGCGGTTGAATCGCCCCGGCGCGGCGGCACCTTCGGAGAGAGAGACAGCGCAGTTGCCTGCCCGGCCGCGGGCGTTGTGATTCTGGTTGCCGCGTTCCCTTCGGGTCCGCCAGTGTCTGTGGGGGCCGTGGCAGTGAGTGCCCCACCTGGAGGCGCGCGCCTGCTGGGCTGGCTTGGCTCGCATCATGAGCCGCCCGCGGATTTTAAGGGCGCGGACGTTACGACCCCGGAGAAAGAGGCGGATCCTGTGACGCGAGCGAAATTTATGGCAGAGACCCGAGGCGCGGGAAGCAAGGACGCCTCTAGCCCCAGCATGGTCATCGCTGCCGGGCACGAGGACAACGGTAGCCCCCACGGCGACAAGTTTAAAACGCTCGGCGGGTGCGTGCTGGTTCGCGACGCGGTCAACGGGTTGAAGAAGATTGCGAAGCCCCCGGCGGGCCTGTTCCGCGCGAAGGGCCCCAGGCAGACAGGCCCGGCCGCAGGCGGGCAGGCCGCCCGGGCCGGGGCGAGCCAATGCAGAAACGGGGCGCGGTCGTCTGTAGTGCGCAGAACCGCGGGAGCCCGCCCGGCCGCCGCGCCCCTTTCTGGTGGCTGCCGGCGCCGCGCCCGGGCCGGCCCGCAGAGAGGCCAGGCGCGCGCCCGTTTTGCCGCCGGGGCGGCAGTTGCAAATCCAGGCTTGCGGAGGGCCGTGGCGCGTTGGTTTTGTGTTGCCGCCGGACCTCCGTAATGGATGTATGTCCGGCCGGCCGGCATGTCTGTCGTCGTTCGGGCGCCAGCAAAAAAGGCCCGGGGTGGAGCTGGTGCGCGCCCCTGTGCAGTGTCCCCTACCCGGGTGTTGCCCAGCCAGGATTGGCCTTCGGCTCGCTATTCCGTGGCATTAGCCCCTCCACATAATGGCTCCCGGTTGTTGTTTGTTTCCGCAGTTGTTCCTACAAAACATAGTGCGCAAGTGCGACACTAAACACATTAGATTTACAGAAGCGCAGCGTGTTTTGTTTTTGCGTATCGCTCCCTTGATCATGATGGACCCACCGCAGTAGCAACTGTTTCTGGTGCAATCGCGCGACCAGCATAGACGACTCATCGATAAGAGACAAACTTCTAAAAATACAAAAGAAAAAGAGGAACAAGTCTCCGCAGGCATCGCCCACGATCATTCTGGTTGCTTTTAGCCGACAGTGTGATGGAGACTACTTTTCTACTTGCGGTTTTTGATCATACATGACACCAGTAGACAACTTACTATCGCAAGAGCATGTCCACCGCCCCGAACAACTCAGATGATTTCTCCCCGAAGTTAAAACGCAGAAAAATTGACGCCTTCGAGTCGACAGGCGCGTTGCTGGGACGATTCAGAACCGAGCACAGCAGTCGTTTTCTCGGACCCCTTTCGGGCTCCACTCAGGTCCGCTTACACGTGCGGGAGCAGGACGTTGCCGCGACAGAGAGCAGTAGAAACATGGTGGTTCCGCAGGCAACCGACTCGATGCCGTCAGAGAAGATGCGGCCTGACGATGAGACGGAAAAGAGCAAGTTATACTTCGCCGCGTATGCGCAGCACAAATCACAGATCAACATGCTGACCGACTGGGGAAGAACGGAGTGCTACCGGCGCGCACTGCAGGACGGGCGGGCCGCTCAATCCTGTGTGAAATCCAAGACTGTGATGGATGTCGGTGCGGGAACGGGAATCCTGAGTTTCCTGGCGTTGCAGTCGGCGGGTCGTGATGAAAAAGGGCAGACGAGCGGCGCAGCAAAGGTAATTGCCGTGGAGGCTTCCAATATGGCTCGGACTCTTCGGCAAATTGCAGCCTCGAATGGTTTTGTGCAGGACGACAAGCTCGTGGTTCTCCAAGAGTTGCTCGAGAATGTAAAAGACGCAGATCTTGGCGCGGCTAAAATTGAAGCAGATGCAGAAAAAGACAGCAGTGATGACTACTTGGAGATGGACAAATTTGACCCTGCCGCGAGAATCGAGCAGTGTCTTTGTGTGTTAGAGCATGCGGCTTTTGGGTCTGGGAGCACCACGAAGACGCCGGGAAAGCACACGACAGATGACCAAGCGACCAAACGCGTAGCGAGCGACCGCGTGGAAGTGTTCTTAGAGGAAAGACGGAACAAATCAAGAACTGGCAGGAAAGGGGTTACCAGCAAAGAACCGCACGTATCCACCACCGACTCTACTGGGTTCCTTGACCTCATCCACGCCAAGGCATTTCGCGGCGACGATGCTTTTGATTTTGCAACCGTGGCAGTGCGACAATACCAGAGTACCGTTTTGGAGGTAATGGAGTTCCGGAAACGTGAGCGACGCGAAGAGGCTCTGCACAGGCGCGAGAACAACAAAAACAATTCGGTTGGACTCACGGAAGATAATGCTGCTCCGGAGGACGACTCCACCCCACGAAAGCGCGTAGTGAAAGAGCGTGCAGCGCTGGAGGAATCGCTACCCGAACTCCGCGAAGATGCGGCTTCTGCCATTCGGGACTGGGACGAACAGTGCTTGCAGACGATGCTACGGGAGTATTGCGAGGACGTTGCGGATATCTTGCTCGGCTCAACAAACGCCGACGACCCTGGGGCAACGTCTGGCGCGGACGGACAGACGCCAGCTCGACCGAAGCAAGACGCGCTGGTCCAGGCTGTCGCCCATTTGCTACAGAAACTGAACACGCTGGATCGCGACGGAAAATTTGTCACTGACAGTGCAAAGCGAATCTGGAAGCGGGTGGAACTGGCGTTTGATGAAGACCTGCACGATGCTGCCATTGCCAAAGCTGCAACTGGGAATTCGGATAGTTTCGCTGACGATCAATTGGGGGCAGCTTCGCAGGTCAACAAGAAGGAGCTCGAAGAAATTGTCTTGCTGCAGAAAAAGCTCGACGACAAGACGACTAGTAATGCGGATTCTAAAAAGACAGCGAAGCAGTTGAACGAAAAGGTGGACAAACTGTTGGCTGCAGGGCCCATGGAGGAACTTCGACAAGAGTGGCTGGAGGAACAAGATCGTCTCGCGGAACAAGACGTACAGGGCTCGACTATGGTGCACACAACAGTGGCCACCGGCTGGTCTGACGCCAACCGGCGGCGCGAGCTCACGGCCTTGCTGGCTATCCGGGATGCGTATGAGAGGAAAAAGAAAAGTGCCAGTCGCTCCGGCACCAGCACCGGGCTGCTTTATTGGCACCTGTTTGACTGTCTGCAGAACATTCCGGGGAAGGTCCACAGCATTGTTTCCGAGTGCATTGGCACTTGTTTGGTGAACGAACGAATGTTCGAATCCTTTCTGCACGCCCGTGACCGGTTTCTGTTGCCATTCCAAGAGTTCCGCCACGTCCTCGAGGCTGAAACGCGGGACGGAGCGCCGGATGCTGCGGAAAAGAATGCGAACCCCGGCGGGCTGTTCCCCAACACCTCTCGCATCTGCGTGGCGCCGGTTTGCGACGAAGAGCTGTGGGACGAAGTTTGCGCGGAAGCCGGCTGGTGGACTGAAATTTGTTCACACCCCCCGGCGCCCACACGACATCACGGAAAAAAGCAAAGGAGCAGCTCAGTTGCCAATGGCGCAGCTGCTGGCGCAACGGGAACCGAGAATGGAGCTGGGGTAGCGAAAACGTTGAACAGCCTCACTTTCCCCTACGGGCTGGATCTCTCCTGCGTGACAGACCTGCATCTGGAAGAGAGTTTGAATACACCGGTATGCGACATTTTCGAGGCTAAGTCCGTTCTTCTGGCCGAGGAGACGGCTCCGGTACCAGAGGACAACCAATTCGAGAGGAGAAGCCAAGACCTGAAAGAAAATGAAGTCCAGAACGTTCCCTTCCACACGCGCTCGCTGGCGCCAATGGAGGATTTGAACATTTCACAAAAGTGGTTCGACTGGCACTCCGCCTCGAAATTCGACTTGGAAAAAATCAAAATTCCGTTTCAATTTGTCGCTCCGGCAAGCGCATTTGGATCATCGGTGATAGGAGATGGCGTATCGGAGAAGAAAGCAATTCAGCCGTCTCCTAGCGGCATGCCGCCATCAAATAACCAGGAGGGAAATAATCGACGTGAAGAACCTGATCTCGATGAATATCTCTTTGATGAAGACAATTTTGAGGTAATTTATCCGGAGCTGCATACAGGTGGTGCCGCACAAGATTCGAAAGGTGCAGTCGCGGCGATGAAAAGTGGTGGAGCAAAGCAGGTGATCGGCCCAATCGAGGAGGATGACAGCTTCGACCAGGAAATGTTCGACCAAGACATGGAGGCGTTCGCTTTGGAGATGGCCGGAGGGAGTGGGCCACCAGCAGGACTTGTTCTGTCGGAACCTCCGCATGGCGTTGTGCAGCACCCGGCGCACGCGGCCGCCGGCAGCGTCATCTCGGAAAGCAAACACATGCGTCGCTCGAGCGCGTTGTCGCAGGAAGATACCAAATCCCTGTCGGATGAACAAGAACAATCCGGCCCGGGTGTGATGATTCACGGCCTGTTTCTCTGGTTCGACTGCCAATTCGGGACGCAGTTCGAGCTGTCGAGCAGCCCGTGGAACCCGCCGACGCATTGGCGGCAGGTTTTTTTCCCGTTCAAGGAAGTGATCCGGTTGGAGGCGGTAGACGAAATTTGTCGCGGTACGGTCGTCATGCAGGTCACAAAAGGATTGAGTTATCAGGTCGAGATCAAGCTGGAGAAGACCGAACCCAGCCGCAACACGGCGAAGTACTTCAACTTCGGGCCCTTCGACATTGCGAACCCCGACTACAATTTGTGCGACCGGTTGCGCATGCGGAAAGCTCACCATCTTGTGGCGCAACAAGAACCGGAAAGTACAGCAGGAGGGAAAAATACAGCGGCTCTATCGTGAGAAGAATAAGGTTTAGAATTTGGTGGACTCAGGCACTCCAACGAAGGAAAATGAAAATGAAATATAGTGGTAAATGAGCGAGAAACTACAACGACTGTTTTTGTATTCTAGTAGCGACCTCCACCTCCTCCCCTTTGCTTGCAATCGATGGGTGATGTTGTGGTGCCCTCTTTAGTATTCAGCGACCTGTAATTTGAAAGAAATGCACATAGCGACATTAGATGGATGTTTCTCTTTTTTGCATTTGCAAGACGACAGCTCAAGAGCGGCACAAGCACACCTGCTGAAGTACCGCAAGAAATTTGCTATAGTACCGCTACCTCCTGCGTAAGTATGCAGCGAAGGAACTCATGGTCGTGCGCTGGTATTGGAACAGTGATATCTGTAGTGTGTTCTTTGATCTTGTGCGGAAGAAGAATCCTTGTCGGTACGACTGTCGGTGAACGACAACAGAAACAAACAATTATCCGAGATGAAAGTGGTCTTTGAGCAGGAGCATGTCTTGTTTTGAAGATATTTCGGTCCGAGTGGATCGGTCTTTTATTCGAATGTGCCCATCTTACATAGACCTACCTTTACCTAAACGTAAACCTAGCGCCGTTGCCGTGAATTCCTCTATCGTGTGAAAAAATTTAACGACAGAACCGGGTGTGTCGGATGCAGGCCAAAAGACTGCACATCCCACTAGATCAGTTGTAGGAAAACGAGACTAATAAACGATAAAGGAAGAGGATAAACATTCCGGTTGTAGTTCGATCGGGGCACAACATTGTCATTGCTGCTAGCGATTACAACCAACCAACAGATCGCAGCCCTAAGAGGGTAGTCCCAGAGATACTTTGCCGCTTTGTCGTCTATCAATTAGCTCTTGTTTGACGTAGGAAGCGGTGCCACATACCGAAGATCCATTACCTCGAAATCGGTAGCAAGAAAAACAAAAAGCGAAAGCTGCGTAGCGTAGCCCTTGATTTGAAAATAACGCTAAACACACGACGACCCATCAATCCCCGACGATGTCGGCAGCCACGTCTTCTAGCGGGGGGAAGAAGCCCCTGAAAACGTTCAGCGTGGAGGAGGTGGAGAAGCACAACAAGCTCGGCGACTTGTGGATCACTGTCGACAACAAAGTGTACGATCTGTCCAAGTTTGCGAACGCGCACCCGGGGGGCAAGCACATTCTCCTGGATGTCGCTGGACAGGACGCGACGAAGCATTTCTACGCGTTCCACGCCACTGCGGTCATGGAAAAGTACCACAAAAAGCTCTGTATCGGCACGGTGGAGGGCAAGGAGGAGCAAATCTACCACCCATTGGACGAAGACGAAGACGGAGCCACGCAGGCGACCGTGGTGGAGCAGAGCGGCGGCATTTCGGCCGACAAGGTCGTGCCCGCGAAGATGGACCTGAAGACCGCGCCCGTGGAGCAGCTGTTGAAGCACCCGCTGCTCTCGCGCACGCCGTTCGGCGAGCCGGCCAGCCTGAAAAAGTTTTACGCGACGCCCTACTTCACGGACTCGCACTTGCGGTTCCGCCTGGGCGTGCGGGAGTTCTTCCACTCCGTGTTGTCCGAGTGCGACGAGCTCGAGGATTCCCAGGAGTACGTTCCGCAAGAGCTGTGGGAGCAGTTCGGCACCAGCGGAATCTTCGCGTGCAGTATCGGCTTGGTCGCCATGCCCTACGCGAAAAAGTTGAACTTGACGCTCCCGGGTGGCTTGAAACCGGAAGAGTTTGACTTCTTTCACGAACAGATCCTGCATGAAGAGTCCAGTCGGATGCTGCCACCCAGGTAGTAGTACTTTTTTTGCTGTAAAGCGAGCCTCTTTTTGTTTCCCTCTCTAACAGCGATGTTTATAATCAGATTTAGAGCAAATGCAGAAATTAAAATCTCTTATACGAATCTAGGGCTGTTCATCGCTATTCAATGTTCTATAGGCAGTACTTTCGCGTCGCAGCTGCACAATTCTCACGTTAAAATCTAAACTACGTGCAGTGTTTCGGACGGTATTTTTGCGGGCTTCAACATCGGTTTGACGCCGATCATCAATTTCTATCATGGTGCGGACAAGGAGGAGCTGGTCAGTAGCATCCTGCTTGGAAAGAAAAAAGTGTGCCTGGCGATCACGGGCCCGGAGGCCGGGTCGGACGTGGCCAACCACCAAACGAAGGCTACGGTCGCGCCGGACGGGAAGCACTTCATCGTGCGCGGGCTGAAGAAGTGGATCACCGGGGGCTGCCAGGCGGACTACTTTGTCACCGCGGTCCGGACGGGCGGCGCCGGGTTGAAGGGCATCACGATGCTGCTTATCAAGCGTGAGGAGGGTATTACGACGAAACAACTTTCGACTTCGTATGGAAAGTCGGCGGCCACGGCATTGGTGCAGTATGAGGATGCCAAGGTACCCATGGAGGGCCGTATCATGGCGGTCAAGAAGGGCGACGGATTGAATAAGGGCTTTCAGCTCATCATGCTCAACTTCAATCACGAGCGGTGGATGATCGTGTGCAAAGTTGTCGGTACTATCTTTGCATAGGGTTGATTGATGTTGCCTTTTTGAAATTTCGTTTGAGTACATCGATCTACTCTAGCCGGGGGCGAAACGAAAAATCAATAGAGGTATCTTCCTCTCTGAGCTGCAATGTGTACGATGCATGACTATCCTGTTTGACTTTTGACATGCAACGTCAAAAGCATCATCTTATGTCCCTTTGTTACTGAACTTGACAGGGGCGCAGCGGAGCGTGATCGCGGATTGCCTGCAGTGGCTGACGCAGCGGCAGGCGTTCGGGCGACCGCTGACTGATCAGCCGGTGCTGCGGTTCAAATTTGGACAGATGGCGGCGGCGATGGAGAGTTTGCAGGCGTATTTGGATTACGTGACGTTTCAAATGAAGACTTTCTACGATCGGGTTCGTGACGACCCTAAAACCTGGAAGACTCGGGATTACCTCGCGGGAGAAATCGGATTGCTCAAGTACCAGGCCACGCGGGTCAGCACCTTGATCGCCGACAACGGCTGTCAGCTCTTCGGGGGCCGGGCCGTCACGCGCACCGGCATGGGCAAAAAGATGGAGAGGTTCAATCGGATCTACAAAATTTCCAGCATATACGGTGGCAGCGAGGAAATCATGGCGGATCTCGGTGTTAGACAGGCTCTTAGGGAATGGTCACCAGAAGATAAGCTCAGAGCAAAATTGTAAAATTTTCACAGTTTCTCGTTGTTTCAAAGTAGTTATAGCACATAATCAGGCATAGGTCCTCCTCATCGCAATAGTTATGCGACATGAATTCTTTTGCTACTTGCTTGTGTTGTTTCTGTAAGTCGATTCGCCAGGGTTATACTCATTGAGTAACTCAATGGAGTAGTTTTATTTCAAAACTGTACGCGCTACAGAGCGCCGAGCTCGGTTTGTCAAGATGGTGGTAATCCTCTTCTCGCCGCCGACACTTGTGAAGTGGTAGTGCAAGATAATTGCCTGTTTACTTTTAGTTTTATTTTCGAGCGGTCGGGCGGCGCTTTGTTATTGTTTTGCGATGAATCGGAAGAAATTAGTTTGGAACTGAAACACAGTGCGTGATGTTGCCTGTGGCCAAACAGCAACATAAAATTTTCCAATCGCAATTAGAACATCAGATTCAAACATCTTTTTTCAGGACACCAAAATTCATGGACGGCCTCGCAGTAGATTTGCTGCTGCTCGTCTGTACTAGACATTCTTTGCGAATGTCAACGAGTCGTTTTTTGTTTTTGCGCCAAGAGATATCGTCTGTGGTTTCGTTGGTTTGCTGATGCGGGAGATGAACCTACAAGAGAGGGGGCGACACTGGTAGGTATAAAAACTGAGGGTAAAGAAGGGGCAGTTTTTTTTTGGTGTTGCACGAGGCGCGCCAGCGGGCGGGCGAAAGTATTTTTCCGTTCAGTTTCTCTGGTTTCGTTGGAGCGTTCGCGGATGCCTTTCGTGTGGTGCGTGCGTATCAATAGGCAATTATATGCGCAAGAACAGCTGATTCTATATCGACACACACAAGAGTGGTAGTAGTTGTCGCATCATGTGCCGGCTAGCCAAATAAAGACACCATGACCAACACCAATTCTGGGCGACATAATCGGAAGCAGCCCGACCCGGCGGGCGTTCTTTCATCCCGAGGAGAGTACGGCGGAAAGAAATCGAGGTCGCGGGATTTGCAGGAGTCGAATCAATACCGAACGCAGTCTCCGCCGCGGGTTTTGCGGATTGATCTCCAGATGCCAGACCAGGAGGTCCAGGAAAGGTTTCGGAGAACAAGCCGACGGTTGTCGCCGCGCCACCGCATTCATATCGACGACAACTACCATTCCCCTCCTGAGAAGCCACTTCTGCAGCAGAACCACTCTTCAACGGCAAGCAGCGCGGGACCCTCCTCGAGAGGCACCCGAGGCGTTATTCAAAGAGCTCCACCAGCTGCGGCCCGTATTGACCTGCTCGAAGACGACGACCATGATCATTTCTTCCCACCGCCCCGCGGAGAACAAGCGTCCTCCCAAAAGCAGAGCTACAACCCAATGCGAGAACAATCGCTCGGCACCGAATTATCTCGGCACCAGCGTGCGGGTAGTCCCTTCACGGGAGTCAAGCGCACCGACCGCTACGACTATAATACGTCGTCTCGTTGGCACGAGCAACTGCATCAATACCACCAAAATCGGTTGCGCGGCGGAGGTGTTCCCGGGTACTACGCTTTTGCAGGATCATCATCCTCCGACCAGGATCAACATCCGCGGATGCTTCATCCGGCCGTGCTGCGGGAGGAGCACGAACGTAACCTGAGACAGTACGGTATCCCCGTGAAACAGCTGCCGCGCGACAAGTATGCGCACGTGAGGCCGGCCATCGACACGGGGCTGCACTTCGAGGAGAAACACAGCAATGCTTATCCGTCTGGACCACGCGCAACGAGTCCCTTCGACCTTCGAGGCCAACAAGCCTCGGAACACGGCTCTTCGGGTCGCGTTCCGAAGCAGTTCACTCCCGCACGCAACCTGTCGAGCAAAAGTGGGAGGGCCAAGACCGCGGACCAAATTTATCTGGAGCGCATGAAGCGGAGTCGCCCAACTACGCAACAGAGCACACCTTCGGATGCCGCTCGTGCGACCACCAACGTCAGAAGTGCGCGCGGTTCGAAGCCCGACCCGAAGGTGTTGTTGGCGAAAAACGCAAACATTGCGGTTGTCAGCGTGAACCTGCTGCGGGAAGAAGATTCCACTACCTCCAGTGCGGCACCTAAGCAGGTGCTGGTTTCGCGCAACGGGGTGGTGCCCCGAGACGAGATCGCGACGAGGAACAGGGGTGCCGCGTCGACGCCCGGTGTCGGTTCTACCGCAGGGTCGCAGGCCAGCAATTTTCGTCCGGCGCAAAAAGTGCCCCTCTTCGATGAGGACGTGCTTAATAACGAGAATTTCGCAACTTCCTCCTTGCTGTCCCAGTCGCACGGAGTTTCCTCCGTTCGGGAGGTGGAACCGGTACAACTAGGGCTACCAACACCTCTCTCTGGTGCTTCCGCCGCTCTCAGCAATGCTGTCCCACAAACTGCCAGGGACGAGCCGCGCTTCAAGGACTTGACACCGGCAGAACGCGAGATCGTGGCAGCGCAACCAGCCTCGTACCCCGGTGCCGCCTACCCCGCTGCGGAGTACCTGCCCGCAGGCGCATTGACCGAAGAGCAACTCGAGCAGCAGGAATTGCAGGACTGTATTTCCCGTTCGCAAGAGCGGTCCACCGCCGAACGCGGTCAGAAACGCGCTGGCGAACAAGAACGCGGGCCCCACAACAGCCATCGCAACGAGACGGCCCGAACGAAGAGCGATTTTTCGGTCAGCGAACGTGAAGTTGTTTCACAAAACGCGCCAGACGCGGTCGCTGCAAAGACAATCGCAAGGCGAGATACGGACGAGCGGAGCACAACTGGAGCTGATCCACCTCCGGGATCGGTCAGTACTCGTGTCAGTAACGGTGATGCCGTTGTTGCGGAGTTCATATCCAAGCTTGATTCAGACACCGCTCGAAAGATATCGATCTCTGCCGGACTCCCCGTAGTTCCCGGCGTGTCCAATGCTGACCCGGACTTTGTTCTGGGCTCGAGCTCGACTTCCGAAGGGCTCGGCGGACGGCATCAGACGCACAAATTCCACCAACAGCAGTTTCAGCAGCAAGAAGATTCCAATCGCGCACGGTCGATGTCGGGGGAGCGGCGGCGGGCTTCGCTCGGAACCAGTTGGGTACAGCAGAAGGATGTAGAGGGTTCTGCTTCGGCGGGAACCAAGGCATCATCTTTTTTGCGCAAAAGATCCTCGCTGCAAGTGGACCGGTCTCCCGCGGTTTCGACTTCCGGGAGTCGAACACCCGCACCACGGTTCGTGCCCGTGAGCGCCGGTCCGGTACATGAACACATGCCGAGTGCACCAGCGTCTGCGCCGCGCGCTGGGGAACCGAACTCGACCAACAAGGCAGCGCATGTCGGAGATGCAGAATCTGGTGCACTTGAAGACACTGGAGTCGTAGACGAGTCCGTGTCACCGTCCCCGCAACGGCGCTCGAAGGTCTTTTCGCCGCCCGTCCGGAAGAGCGGGGTCAAACAGCGCTCGATGGGGGCCTCGCGACCGTCTAAAGATCAGTATATGGCCGCTTCGTCTCGGACAAGCTCGAAAAATTCGTTTCCGTCGAGTGCGCACCTGAGCGCCGGAGGAAATAACGAGGATGCAGTCCCGTTCGCACAGCCATCAGTCGAGGCGGAGAAAGCGACAGCAAAGACGTCCGAAGCGGCGCATAGTGCGGCGGCCAACTCGACCGAGCAAAACACCGAACAGCACAGACAGAATTACGCGGTGCCTGCTGGCTCGGGAATGGTAGGCGCGGCTGCCACCGGCCGGGACGATGTTGACCCTAGTCGGCCCCGTGTAGACAGACGGGGCAGTTTGCAGCATCAGAAAAGTGAAAACTTGCAGCAGCTTTCCGCGAAGTATAAGAGACGGGGGAGTGCAGTTACAGCCACGACGCCCACGACTGGCCTTGCAACGGCGTCTACGTCATCGTCGTCCCGGCCTCCCGTGCCTGAAAATCATGCTAGTAGGGCGGCGATTCTTGGGAAGCAGCAGAAGGACCCGGGGACAGAGAAGAATCTGCAGAAGCACCAGAAGGCTCGTCGTGCCTCGGACGCGTTTGCAGTGCTTGAAAACAGCGGCTACAGAAGCCGCAGTTCGACGGAAGACTACTCTGCTGCGGGCAGAGCAAAGGCGGCGAATCGCATACCGCAACGTACACTAAACGGAGGCGCAGCGGCGGCACAAATTCGTTCTGGGATGCTCCCATCGTCTCCACGGCTTCTGGAAAACAATAGCAAAAACGGTACCTCTATCATCATTTGATTCGCGGCAAACGTAAGTATACGGTTATGGTTCCACTTGCTGTATAGTTCATGACTCCGGCCGTCGCTGTGACGTTCAAGTCCGTCCTTTTCGCAACATTTGCAAATTTTCGTAAGTAGGATATGATGCATTTTATTTTCATCTCTATCTCAGGGATGATTCCTGCGACTTCTTCGGACGACGCAATCCCGCCCTCACCAAGCGGTGGCTCGTCTTACCACGCCCCGCGGTCGCGGAGCCGCAGCAACAGCCGCACCGTCGCGCCGGCAGATGATCGTTCCTTTGCGGAAAGCAGCGGGCACGAACGCACGAAATACCAGACGCGCCTGGAGCTGTCCCTGCCAGATAGCCCGCGCAGCGGCCCGCCGATCCGCGAACCGTCGCCCACGAGCCCACGCGAGGTGGATAAAAAACACGTTCGAGCAGATGCGTCATCTGACCCTCTTCTCGCAGAAAGAAAAGGAAATACAACAAGTGAAGACCCAGGCGGCCCGACGACATCTGCTTCGATCGGTCCAGCCACCACGACGCGAGCAGGTGCCTCACCGCCCCCTCTGATTCGCCGGAACATGACCGCGAGCCCGTTGTCCCCGGGCTCTTTGGAACTGTCTGCGTTTTCGATGTCCGACATGCACCAGGGAGATTTTTTCACCAAGTACGATCTCCACCAGCAGCGGAAGCGGCTTGTGTTCCTGCGTTTGGGGTACTTTCCCGAGTCTCGCGTACCCTTCCTGGAGTACTGGCCAACGCGGAAGCAGGGGGTGGGCAACGACCTAACAACCGGGATGAAGTCGCCTGCCGCGGGCGGGCTCTACACACCGGCCATGAGCAGTTCCAGAGGTCGGGGGCAGCAGCAGCTCGACCGGTCTGGTACTACGAGCAGACCGTACCAACCAGCGGCGTCCTCACCGCGGAACGGAGGAGGAACCATGGAAGCGGTGATGGAGGAGCGGCAGCCTTCGGGACTGGCGAAGTACACTGCTCAGGGGGCCCGGTATCGCCACAAAAACGTCACGCCCGTAGCTGCGTCCACGCCCGGCGCTACATCTTCAGCCTCAGCGCTGTCGTCCCGCCGCCGGCTGCGGTCACTCTCTGGCTGTTTTTCGAGCCGAGAGACGAGCACCAGTGCGGGGTCGCTCTTTCGCAAAGTGCGCGTCATTCCGCTTTCCGAGCTCACGCACATCAACTTTGGCCCCAGCAGAAGCGTGCAGGACCGGTACGGGGCACTGCGGGAAGAGAATATCTTCCACCTGGTACTGTGCTTGCTTCGTCAACTTCAACTATTTTTCACTTTTTGCTTTTGGTGAAGAGTCCATGATCCAATTGTTTCACCGATGCCGAAGTTCTTTTGCTGCACGTTTTAGGTAGCGAGCGATCTTATGCAAGCACTCTATCTTTTTCTTTCACTTTCAACGTCTAAATCTAATGCTAAAAATAAACAGCGTGTCACCACGCGGACCTACGATTTTGCCATCGACGGAGACGCGCAGACCTTAGGCTACTGGGTCGGATTTCTGCGGCGGCTGATGATGCCGGGGGAGCTGGAGTTGAACGAGCAAACCGAATACCTGCTGTTTCGCCGAGGCACGTTCGACGTAGTAGAAGACCAGGACCTTCCTCAGCATCTACAGTACATGTCTGAAAAGCATCGCCTTTAAAGCAGGTGTGCTCTTTTCTGGCAGGCTACCTGCAGGAGCATTCTCTCGTCCGATGATACAAAAAGTCCACAAAGAGCAGCAAACTGTTTCTACCTCAGTCGTTTTCACCTTTGCCCAACCGGTCATGTGAGTTTCGTCATCGACCTACAAATGAACATGTGGAGAAGCACGCTCCATTGTGACTGTACTGTCCTGGTCGGACTTCTCGAATAAGTTCTTGTGCTTGAGCTATCGACGAACATTACCTAGAATGGATGCAGTGAATGATGGCGCTAAGTCCTCGTCCTCGAGGTCTTCGCCAGAAAAAGATCGTTTTGCTGTTTTCGAAATCACGAAAAGTGTCATCTTCGTTGTCTGAGGGGGAGCAAAAGTCAGGTTTTGATACCGTAGGCGTGAAGATGTCTCACTACTTGAGCGTCGGCACTAGACGAAGTGGGAGCAGAGCGAAATTCGAGGTTGCAACCCGCTTGCGGATCGAGTAGGAACCAACTAGACGAACTTCTACAGTGACATTTTTAGTCTATTATACGAAGTTGAGAGTAGCACCAGTAGTTGTGATGTTTCGCTAGCATTGACGACGCTGGGTCGTGTAGCACTGAGTGACTACAACCACGAAAATGCGTTGCTTCGCACTTTTCATCTGGGTCCTGCTTCCCCTTGGTGCTACTGGGATCACAGCAAAGTCGGAAGATGAAGATTCTCTTGCAGGTGACGGTCACGGTACACGGATGGACATACCTGCAGATGCTGCAATGCACGCTCCCGAAGAGGAAAATGTAGGGCAACAAGGAGCATCGGCCCTTTTGCGCGGCCGCCTTTCTACTGCAGCGACGGATCAGCATCCCGCTTCGCAAGCACCTTTTTTGGAACAGGAGCAGAGACAGGAGACCGAGATAGACCCGCGGCAGGACCATCATGGTGGAGATGCTCTACTGGGAGCCAAGATCCGGCATCTTGCAGCGAGCGGCGTGCAGAATTTGCAGAGCTTTCTGGAGACCTTTGTCGGTACAGGGTCCCCAGCGACTGGTGCACAGCCGGTCCCCTCTCCGGAAAAACTGAACGGTCCTCCCTCCGCATCTGAAGCTGGCATGGACCAGCACAACGCAGGAACGTCTACCGCTTCCGCGGAGCAGCAAGCCGGCCTGGTAGAAATGCACCAGAAGACGAGCTACAAGTTGTTGCACCGGGATGAACGACAACATCAAAAAGACCTGCTTCAAGTCGATGTAAGCGATTTGCAAGTCACCTGCATTATTCCCGATCACCCTTTGAAGTGCAAAGCGATTGCGGGCACGGGGCTAGAGGCTACCTGCGACGAACCCTATTTGCACTTTACCAGCGATTTCCTTGTGAATTACGAGCAGAATCGGTGCCTGGAGGTCGCCAGTTCCTTCTACTCCGTCGTTAGCTCGGGGGTGGCCGCCTCGACGGTGAGATTGGACTGGAGCTGCGGAGGGACGCCGGACCACGCAACCGCTACCGTTCCCTTCAAACTCCCCAACGCGGACGATGAGAAGAAGAATCCAACGCATCTGGCCATCAAGCGGGTGACCGAGCCGGGAGTGATCTTCGACGAAAACAAAGTGTATCTGCAGCTGTACCACTGTTTGCCGGACTACGACCCCGACAATCTTCCGGACAGCGACGGCAGCGAAGATCTTGCTCCTAATCCGTCCCCCAGTCCGTCCCCCAGTCCGTCCCCCAGTCCGTCTCCCAGTCCGTCCCCCAGTCCGTCTCCCAGTCCGTCCCCCAGTCCGTCTCCCACTCCGTCCCCCAGCCCGTCTCCCAGCCCGTCTCCCAGTCCGTCTCCCAGTCCGTCCCCCAGTCCGTCTCCCAGTCCGTCCCCCAGTCCGTCTCCCACTCCGTCCCCCAGCCCGTCTCCCAGTCCGTCTCCCAGTCCGTCTCCCAGTCCGTCTCCCAGTCCGTCCCCCAGTCCATCCCCCAGTCCGTCTCCCAGCCCGTCTTCCACCCCGTCTCCCACTCCGTCCCCAAGTCCGCCCTCGCCGTCTCCGAGTCCGAGCTCCTCGTCTAGCACGACTTCGAGTACGACCACGACCACCACGACGACCACCTCTACTTCTACAACGACCACAACCTCGACCACGACGCCCGCGGTACCAGTGCAAAAGCGGGTGTACAAGGTCGCAGTGGGGCGGGCGGACGCAAGTCAGAGCTTGTACTCGTTCCTGTATGCAAACGGCCAGGAGTTGAAAAGCTCGGTCACTGAGGCATTAACGCGCTGGTTCGTAGCGTACGGCGGTTCCCACTTCACCGCTTCTGATATCACGTCCATATCCATGACGAAAGCCACCAGTGGAGGCAGCAACTTTGCCGCGCTGCAGGAACTTGTCAGTTCATCGCAAGGAACGGTAGAAGATAAAAGTCGGGGACCAGAAAGAAGTGCTCGTGCAGAGAGCATCATGGAGGAGGAGGAGGAGGAGGTGACATCAGGATACAGCACCGTTGAAATGCAGAGCGGCAGGCGGGCATCCGAACTTGTGGACATCCACTTTAGCATCCAACCACGAACCCAGGCCGAGGCCGACGATTTGCTCGCTGTGTGGCCTTCCGAGGCAGACGGCGACAGCCCAGCCTCCGCGACCGGCAGCACTATTTTGCTCGCGTTTGTGCAAGAGGAAGTCAGCAAGACCAGTTTGGCGAACGATCTCACGGTGGTCGCTGCCGAGGATGCAACACCAACCACCACGACCAAGGCAAGCACGTCCACCACAACGTCGACGACCACTACATCCACGTCGACCACCACGACGACCACCACGACAACCACCACGACAACGACCACCACCACGACCACAACTACCACCACAACTTCCACCACCACAACTTTCACCACAACCACGCCGCTACCACTGCAGACGCGCATGTTTACGGTCGGCATGGAACTGGATAACGGAGTGTACAACGGAAACCTGACGGAGTACCTGCGCAACACGACAATCGCACAAATGAATGGCCTCTCGCTAGCCTTCGCCTGGGCTTTCGTTCATTGGTTCAACGACACGATCAGCGACCCCATGATTCACATGACGTCGATGAACTTTTCGATGCATAGTAACGGTTCTTCCAATACAACGACGACAGCAGCAGCTCTGCAGGTGTCGACTTATAATTCATCGTTTTCTTTCGAGGAGCAATCTTATTTGACGATGGGAACAACGTCAACGGCGCAACTGGTCGACTCGATGTTTGACGTGCAGCCGCTCTCCGCATCCCAAGCGGACGCGCTGAATCAGGCCTGGCCATCGATGGATGAACAGTCCGGCGTAGACGGTGGCCCGCCGGCGGCGTCCTACGCCGACCTTTTTGATCGCGTAGAGGCCGAATTGCAGAAGAACGCCACTATAGCGAGCATACTGACACTACAGCATGCAGTGACCAACGCTAGTGCGGTGAATCAGAACACAACAACATCGACGACGACAACGACGACGACCACTTCGACAACGACGACGACGACCACTTCGACAATGACGAATACAACGACGACGACCACTTCGACAACAACATCGACGACGACTACCGTGACAAATACAACGACCACTAGCACCACAACTACTAGCACAACATCGAGTACGAGTACGACGGTTACTACCACCACAACCACCAGCGCAACAACAACTTCTACCACCACAACATCAACCGCCACCGCGATCGATATCACGCCGGCGAACGGGACAGATGCCACCAGTATGGCAAGCGACTACGGGGACAAGCTCGCGGCCAACCTCTTGGACGGAAACTTCGACCACTTCGTACTACAATGAAAAATGCCCCCTCCCCATATCAAAACGGAAATCTGTGATGCAGATTTGTGGTCACAAATCAGCTCTGTGATGCTAGAAGGCAAAAGATGCGGACTGTCGTGCTGTCTAGTGTGGGAAAGCCTTGCAGCTCCCGGATGACAAAAGGCAACTGGAAGTGGGAAACAGCATGACAGATTACCTGCGACTTAGGTCGCAGCTTCGTCTCTTGGCCTTCTAGCAATACAAGTCGATTTGTGTACTCAAATACAGCATCGGGCTGCTGACTGTTCCACCTCTTCCGAGTGCGATCATGTTACGCCTCACGCCTCAAATACAGCATCACAAATTCGCGCGTCTTCCGTTTCCGATATGGGGTGGGGGCTTTTTTCACTATGATACTTCGCGAACACGGACAAGCACACGTGCCCGTTCGCGCAGATCGACCTGGGCGCTGAGATGACGGTGACGAGCGTGAATGTGACGTCGGCGCTGAAGGTAGGATGGATGCGGCGCATGTTCTTCGTTCGCGAGGACTGGAACGACGACGCTTGGGGCAGCGACGCGATGGATAGTAATGTGACAAGGGACCACGGAGTTCGTGTCATTGTCGCGTCAACGCCGCGGTCGAGTGCGGCCACCTGTAGCTACGCAGGGCAAACACACCACAAGTGTGCGAAGACAGCCGACGGGCCGGTCTGTCCGACTACACCCGCTGACGAAATTTGTGAAACGATCAAGTACGACAGTGGCGCAGGTGTGGCCCGCTTTGTTGCTAACACTGGTACCAGCGCCGACTACGGCACGGCGACCTTCCACTGCGGCGGTGGGAAAACGGGCCGATACGTGGTGATAGAGAGTCCGGGAGCGCAGGTGGGCGAGTTGCGAACGCTGATGGCGAACGAAGTCAAGATCTACGGAACTAGTGCAACAAGTAATGCACGGTGAGATTCGAAAGAAAAATTGAAACAATAACAAACTGAAACTTGTTCTGCGTGTACGATGTCGATAAGGCACGGACGGATAACTCGATGAAAATCCGGCTACTTGAACTTTTCCAATGTACGATGCTGAACTTCTTGTTACCACCGAGGAACGATTTGATTCGAGAATGAAAATGCAAAGAAAATATTTTGAATTTTAGAGCTATTTTCTCCGCGAAAAATTCTGACTCGTTGAAAGAGTTCAAATCTAGAGGACGAAGAATTTCCGCAAGGACACAATCTTTAGGCTCAACATTAGATCGGTCGCGGTTGAGATTTGATTGTTCGAGCGCATAAATATCATTTGTTTTACCGGAACGATACCTAGTTATTTAGAACCCGAGGTACTATCAGCGCGCCTAGTCCACCATGCGAAAAATCTCTACTCTCCTCTTGATTCCCTTCAGTTCGTGCATCATCTATTTTTTCGGTGTACGGCCAACACCAGGACCGGACTTGGGACGGGACTTTCGTATTTACCAACCGACTCCGTGGTACTGGGAGCAAGCAGTTGCGCGAAACCGTAGTGTGGTTCCTGTTAGGTCCGTTCACGATTTCAAGCCGGATCTGCAGGGAAAAGTGGCTATTGTCACCGGCAGCAGCTCCGGTATCGGCCGTGCTGTCGCCAAGGAGCTGTTCCTCCGCGGCTGCGCCGTGGTCATCACGTCGCGGAGCCGGCAGCGATCCGAGAAGGCAGCTAGCGACATGGTGCGAGAAGTGAGCGAACGGGGGGTGGATCAACAAAGTAAAGCCCGTTTAGTGGGTGTGGGATTCGATTTGAGCGACCTAGAAGACGTGCGGAAGTTCGTCGCGAATTTCACGGAGGCGTTCCAGAGGTTGGACTTTCTGAGCACGAATGCGGGGATGACGGCACTTTTGGCCGGGTGGAGCGGACCGTGGGAAAGTCCGCAAAAGTACGAAATGCTCTACGCCGCCAACTACCTCGGACACTTTCTCTTGCTGCAGCTGCTGCTCCCGTTTTTGAAAAAAACTCCCGGCGCAAGGGTGGTGGCAACGTCGTCGATCATGCATTGGCAGCACGACAGCGACTTGGATTCGCTTCTGCCGTCGAGGAATAAAAAACGCAGCGACGAGCACGCGTGGCCTTGGACGAAGCTGAACCAGTATGGCAACACGAAGTTGCTGCAAGTCCTAATGTGTTTCGAGATGCAGAGGCGGATTCCTGAGGTCCCCTGTGTACCGGTAGCGCCAGGGCTGATCTCTACTGCCATAGGAAACCAGAAATTGCAAGCGCGCGACGGCGTCGATCAGTGGATCCCGGTCGTTAGCAAATCTCCTTTCGACGGCGCGCAGACGACGATGCACGCGCTCTTAGCTTCCGAAGAAGAAGGGAAGAATAACACTGCCGGGGTCTTCCTTCAACCGTATTACAGTCCGCTGCACTTTGGAAGACCACTTTTTCCGTTCGGGGCCGTACTATGGGAGCCATTCACGCAGCATTTGATGTGGGGGCTGCACAAGTGGGTAGCACATGCGGACGCCTACAACAGAACCTTCGCGGAAATCTTATGGAAAGAATCAATGGAAGCATGTGGGCTACCAAACTAACACGGGTATGTATCTCGTAAACTTGAAATGCAAACCCACACACAGGGACAAGATGAAAAGAACAATCAATCCCCCACAAAAACGAAATACAAAGAACAATCCACATCTTTTGAGCACTTCAAAAAATCCAAAATCCTTTCAAACACCTTTCCGAACCAATGAATGAAATTGATTCTGATACAAAAAAACATCTTCATAATCAAAGAGATTTTGGATTTTTTTTCTTCTTTTTTCTCCAGGTCAATTCTCGAGTCGAAAATAAAGATATTGATTCTCTTTTTAATTAATTATGGTTACAGCTTGAGCAGCTGTTAATTCCTTGGGCGCGTAAGTTGTTGGTATGATGCTGGTATTTGGTGCTAGCAAAACCGAATTCGTTGCGACTTCCGGCGATTTCTGAAAATGAACGAGAGCAACGATATCGCACGACTAAAATTGATGCTTTGGCTCCTTGCGCGTGCAACAAAAAAAAAGGCTTTGAACGAATGGAATCAGCGACTTATCAATAACGACGGACGGCGACGACAAGCGCAGACCGGCATTTGTACCCCGCCCCGGGAGGCGGCGCCGAACCACGTCCAGTGATACCGAGGCGAAAATAACAGAACACGCAAGGGCGGCGGGGAGATGCGTGACAGCCTGCACGCTGTCCAGGATCCCACGCTGTTACTCCCGAGTCTAGGAGCAGGCTCCTCGAGTGTCTGTTCTCAGATTCAGACACAGACACTCTCCGTTTTTTTTTGGTTATCATTTTTTTGGTTATTATAAAAATTGGCTATCATAAAAAACACGCCGCGCCTGCGGTCTTGGTGGCGGTCAGGTTGTGCCTGCAGGCCAAAGACATTAGCATTTTTTTGATTATTATAAAAATTGGCTATTAATTATAAAAAACACGCCGCGACTGCGGTCCTGGTAGCGGTCGGGTTGTGCCTGCAGACCAAAGACAAGATTAGTATAAAAAAGTGACTAGTGCTCGCGCAAAGTATAAAAAAGCGCCGAGGTTGCGACGGCAAACGAACGCAATCAAGACGGGGGCGCCACGTCAGCGAAGAAGCCGCCGCCCTACCGCTTTCCTGCATCCTCCTGGCCTCCTTCTTCTTCGCTGCTCATGTTGCTGGAACTTCCCGCCTCGCTCGCCGTCTGCTCCCGGCGGCCAAGGAGCAACGCCGCGTCCTGCTCCTCGTCCTCCTCGGGATCCAACTCGCTGTCCAGACGGCGCGCCGTCCATCTTTCGCGGCGGCGCTCCTGCTTTCGCCTCTTCGACGAAGGGTCGAAGAGGTCTTCGTCTTCCGGGGAGCTATAGACTATGTAGTCCGAGGGCGGCTCTGGAGAGCTATAGATTATATAGTCGGAGAGCGACTCCTCGTAGTCCGCTTCGGTGAACAACTCCTTGAACTGCTTCTCCTGCACCTGCTCCAGTGCGTCGGCGATAGGTTTGCTCTTGTACCTGCTCGCGTGCGTGACACACCAGTAGGGCGTGGGCCACCGTACTTCAGTGTGCTCCGGGGCAGCATACCAACCTTCCGGAAGCTTCGCGGCGACGCGTTTGTTCGGTGGCAGCAGTACAGTCACCTGCGTGAGTGTTCGGTGGCAACAGTACCAGACTAAGGCGCTCATGCTTTCCGACACTCATAAATGAAAACAGAGGCGAACAATCTAGATCTACAGCAACATCTACCTGCTGGGTGTAGCCCATCGCGCGCAATTCCCCCTCCGTCGTGAAACCCTTGCGAACCTTTTCGCCCTCGCGCGCAACCTTGGAAAACGACCGCCAGTCGATGTTGTGCTTCAACTCGATCTGGAACACCTCCTCCTCGGAGGCCTCGGGCTCCGCGTCGTGGAATCGCTTCGGGATATCAGCCTCCCAAGGGCCGCGGCTGCGAACCTCACCGTCCAAGAGCCGCTTATACACCCCGACCGTGCGCTTCTCGTCTTGTTCTCTACGGTACGACCGCGCCATAACGGCGACAAGATGGCCTTCCAGGTGTTCTTGCAGTACGTTCACTGCTTCTGCGGTGATGGCAAAAAATGGCGGGGCCTGCTCGGGCTCGCCATTAACGGCGGAGGCAGTGCTTGAGTCGAGGTCCTGGTCGGACTCGGCCGCCGGGTCGTGGTCCTCGGCCGTGTCCTCTACCGCATGGTCCAAAATGTCCGTGATCAGCGCGCGCATCAACTTTTTGGAAAACCCGTGGAAGCGGCCGGGCTGCCGTAGTTTCTTCTTCCCAGTCTCGGGGTTGACGACGTATTCCTCGTATTCGTCTGCGACCACCTGCCACCGCGCCCCGCCCCGCACCACAAACTTCCCGCCCTGTTCGTCCGCTTGAATCTCTTCGTCGCTGTGATGCACCACCTCCTCCTCGCTTTCCCAGCTGTCGGAGGAATCCGAGTCGGGTGCGGCGGCTTTGCCCTTCGCGGGCGCGGCGGCGTTTTTCTTCGCGGGCGCGGCGGCTTTGCTCTTCTTTGCTGCGGGCTTTCGGCCTGGCCGCTTCTTTGGTGCCGGCTTCGCCGCCTTGCTGCTCGCCGCCTTTCTGGCCTCGCAATGCTGAAGCAAATGCGCCGGCAGGTCTTCTGGGATCAGACCCTGCATGAGCTTTTGTTGTTGCGCGCTGGAAATGAAGAACAGCTCCTGCCCGTCGATTCCCCAGTAGTCTTCGAAGACAGAGGGATCGCCCCACTTCGGTTCGACCGAAACCTCCTGCGGCTCGTCGCAGCAATCCCCATCGGAAACCTCCACAGACCAGGCCTCTAGAGCTGCGTCGTCGTCGAGGAAGAAATAAGCCTGCTCCTGCGCGAAGCTTACGCCGTCAATACCCTGCCGCATTTTTTGGGAGATAAGACACTTGTCGCGAATGAATTCCTGCAGCTTGTTCTCCAGCTTCTGAACGCAAATCATCCGCGCGGCCGTCGGGGGGCGGGTCCTGCGCTGGGGCTGCCGGCTAATCACCAGCTGGTTAGCGTACAGCCCGGGCGACCTACCGCTGTTCAAAACTTTCCGCCGGAAGTTTTGAAAGTGCGGTGAGCTCGGTCGCTTCGAAGCGGCGTGGTTGCGAAGCGGCAGTCGGGGGGCTGGAGCTGCGGCTGGGGTGCTGCTCGCGGCAAGGCTGCGGCCGGGCTTGTTTTGGTTTGAGCTGCTGGAGCCGGGCTGATTTTGATCGGCGCTTGCGCTGCTTGAGCTGCGGCCGGGCTCCTGTGGGGCCGGCATCGACATCGTGCGGCGGATCCTTCTCAGCTCGGTGTCGACCTCCTTCGGATCTATCTTGCTCGGAAGAGGACACTGCCCGTCAAAGGGGGAGAAGAACTTCTTGCGCGGAACCTGCGGGCCGTCGTCGTCCCACAGCCCTGGGACCTCCCAGAGGGGGAAGGTTGTGCCGTTGACAACATGCGTCATCTCAACAACTACAAGCGTTTCACTTTAGCACCTACCTACTTACTTGGCCGATGATCCCTACCTATTTTATTTCTATGCTTTGCGTACTCCCTCGCGCGCTTTTTGCTCTGTGTATGGTTGTCACAACTAGCATCGCACTTTTGTGCTCTAATCCCGCCGGCGGTATGACGTGGCCTGTACTTCTTAGTGCACTAATCCCGCCCGGCGGTGTGATCTGACTCATATCTGTAGCTCGGCGGGTCCAGTTTGCTGGTGGATCTCGCTCTGCGTGGTTTGCGGCTCTTTCTCTTTTTCATTTCTACACGTGCGAACATTGCGACCAAGTAGCGGCCCGGGCGCTGCTGTTCTTCTGAGCGGCGTCGCTCATCTAAGAGCGATTCATCGGAGAAGCTACTTCCAGCTATGATGACGATCTCACTTAGCAAATCTAGCAACTTCATGCGACGCTCAGAATATGACGACACAAAAGCCAGAAAAGCACGTTCCAAAAAGTGCCATGCATGTTGTGCGGACTCCTTTGAGGAGCAGGACTATAAAGCGGCGACGTTTTTCCATTCAGTTGCCACTCTTTTCGTGAAGACCTCATCATACAGTACTCGATAGTTTGTGGAGCAGGGATATTCTGAAAAGGAAAACACAACAATGATTACGCTATGCCGAAACTGAAAACGTCTGCTATGAATATGATAGTCAGAAGGAGGAAAGTATATCGATATAAGCGAAGAGAAAATAACTTTGCTGACCGAAGTACTGCAACACAAACGATGGCCATGCAGACGGGTACTGAGAGATCTCTCTCTAGAACATGTTCGCGCGAAAGCCACTGGGGCGCTGTTCTCCTGCCAGCGGGGCGCTGTTGTCCTCCTCCTCCGCGTTAGTGTGCGGCACTTGGAGTTTGCTGACCTTCGCCGCGAATCTGCTGAACCACGCCGCGGCCAGTGGCTGCAACCGGTACCACGGGAGCCCGGTCGGGCGCCGGCACGTGGCCTTCAGGGCCAGCACCTCCCTCCTGGAGGGGAGGAACCCCGCGCCGGACGCGCGCCGGTACGCTTCCTCCATCTCGTGGATTTCTTCCCGACACAATAGCCGGAACACAGCCTCGCCCGCTCTGTTGACGTTCTCAAACATGGACCGGATGCACTGGACATTGTCGCCGCTTAGGTGCGGACTAATCAGGCCGCTGATGGTCTGCGCCCGGGCGTTCCATTCGAACGGAATACCGTAACGCTTCCAGTCCATGGGACGGAGGAACCCGTTGTTGGCCAAACAGATAACGGAGTCCGCTTTGTCGGCGGTCCATTGGGTCGCGCCCGGGGTCCTGATGTGGAAGTTGTGGTTGAGGGACTATAAGTGTTGGGGGACTAGCAACAAAGAAGAACAGCGAAGCAGAGCAACACAAGGCCCTGCGCATGCTTAGCATAGCAACACAAGTACCATTTCCGGTAGTCATCCAAGGAGGCGCGCGATAAGGCTGCGGCATCCGCCCCCAGAATGTCATCCAGTTCCTCCGGCGAGGGCAACTCTTCCACGTACGACCGTGGTGCCGGTGGTACCTCCGTCAAGTAGCAGCCAAGCTGCTCATGGTGCGGGAGCTTATCCCACGAAAGGGCCCGGTATCTCTCATGCAGGCGCGCGACACAGTTCAGCTCCGACAAGAGCTTGTCGATGACGCGAGCCGACTCGATTGCCGCCTGGAGGAGCACCATTATCTGCCGACTCAACGTCCACGTTTTCTTCTGTTGTAGTGGTCAAGAGT